TGTACCAGAGCTGACAGTAGCAGTCGATGTCGCGGAGCTAGTGGAAACGAGGATTGGTTTCTGTTCGGGGGCGGTCTGCTCGGAGGGAGGTGTCCCCGCGATGGTAGTAGTAGCACTCGATTGCGTCACGGATGGAGCACTACTAGTCGTCTTTGTCACAAGCGCGTAGGTGTGAATAGCAGAGGAGGCGGCTGAAAAACTCGGTTGAACGTGAGAGGGGAGGGACGAGGGAGTCTTGCAGCTGCGCCGTGGGTTTCGCTTGCTTGGCGAGAGGAGATTGGCACTCATGTCCGCCGATTGGGCAAGCCGTGCCGCGATTTCATGGTGCTGCAGGGGAGCTCTTACAATGCTTGTAGACCGAGTGATCTGGAAAAGAGAGACGATAAGGAACATTGGGGCCAGCGAAAATACAAGCATAGGCAGAGTGAGAGACGAAAGCTCAAATCCTCACGTGCAACGATTCCGCACTTCACGGTGCAACAGCTCACGTGCAAAGCTTCCGGTCGAGCAAATTATCAAGCCCGGCCAGAGGAGACTAGAAGCGCTGCGACTAAAAAACAGTGCGGGGCCTGTATCTAACCACAAATACAAACTTGCCGCGGGAGACGATAATACGAGATAGGCGTCGATCGTTCACAAGGAGAGATCTCGCTTTCGCAGATCGCTCGTATGGCGTTAGTTCTCATTTCTTGCGTTGAGAGCAAGTTGAGCAACCGACGGCGCTTCAATCAGCGAACGAAATCTCGCTCGCACTCAATTCAGATGACGAAGAGAATGCGAAAATGTCACGGTGACGCTCACGATCACTCTCTTCCCCAAACCACTACCAACCTAACGCTCTTTCCACGCACTGTCCTTCACGCCAACGATGCATACCACTGCTCTTACAATCCTTTCCCTCCTCGGCCTTGTGAACTCACTTCCCATTCGGCGAGGCTTATCTGGTCAGCCCTAAGAGTCTATCGAGTCGACGGCACTCATCTCGTCCATCAGACCCTCGAGTGCTCAACTTTGCCCTCACACTGGGCGAGTTCTCTCTGTACTACATACTTGCACGGACAATGACAGCGTCTTCCAGAGCACCTCGAGTCGGCCTTCTATGATCAAGTTCTCGCTCGTTTCTCGCCTGTCGACTTCACTGCTGCTAAATTTCCGGTCTGGACGCGGGGGCGATTCCAGCAAATCCAAGAACATGAAACGACGCATGTCGCATTTCTCTCCACCGCTCTGACGACGGCTGGTGCGAAGGCTGTCGAGCGTTGCGAGTACGATTTGTGTGTCGACTGTTCACTCAGCGATGTGTTTCGTCTAACGACTCGCAGCGGCCTAACCGACGTCGCGTCCGCAGTTTCCCTCAGCGCGTCTCTTGAATCGGTTGGCTCCGCTGCCTATACTGGCGCGGCGCAGTACATCAACGACAAAGTAAGCGATCTCTAATGAACGCATACACCTTGACCATCCGCCTCCAGAACTATCTCACTGTGGCTGCGAGTATTCTCGGGATTGAGAATCGACATGCCGGTATGTTTCAGAGTTTGTCCTCAGAGTCGGCACTCATATCCGCAGCCTGGCTTGCCTCCTCTGCTTTGCACGGAAGCGCTTGGGATACATCATTTCAAACTGCGCTCTCGCCCAGTCAAGTTTACCACATCGCATCAAAGTTCATCAAGTCATGCCCCTCCTCAAACTCTGCCATTCTCCCCTCTCTCGCATCCTTCGCGTCACTGACTGTCTCGAACGCGCAACCGGGCAAGACTGCTACTGTCGACTTTCCTGTGCCTAAGGACTCCACTTCACAACTGTTTGCTGCGTTTATCTCCGGTGTCGGTGCTCCGGTCTTTTCTCCGGTTCAAAATGGTCAAGTCCAAGTGCCAATCAGTCTTGCTCGGACTGGGTCTGTATATTGTGTGATCACGAGAGATGGAGGCAGGGTTGACGACGACACAATCGTCGCGGGTCCTGCCATAGTACAGTTTCCATTCGGTTCATGATGTTGTCAGAAATATAAGAATTTGCACTGCAGAGCAAGGGTTGAAAGGGTGCGACCACTAGTGAACTCTACAACTGAGGACTAGGGCTATGACGTTGAAGATAGTCCAGTCACACAAATTCCGAACAACCGTAGCGAAAACTGGAAACCCTCTCGCGTGTTTGAAGGCCCCGTTTATTGGAGACAAACAATGAGTACTGCTATAGCGCTGAGTAATCGAACGCCGATATCCAATCGAGCTTGTATGCGCCGAATCCAAATCCGCAGAGTCCAAAACAGACAGCTGACGAACAGACATCGCGTGAGCGGGCATGGACGCCTAAAATGCACTCAACCAGCAGCGTATCACCGCGTCCACAAGTATACACCGACGACACGTCGGTGCTGGAAGCGATCGTCGGCAACAATATGGTGTCCAATCAAAGCCAAGCCCGACCATTCCAGGCGCGTGACATCACTCCACGCGATATCCTCCTGCCATCGGCGGCGGCAGATATCGCCCGGTCTTTGCCGTCGGATCTCCGCAGGGCAGCAATGTCAGGGCAAGACTTATGTGATTTTTGCAACGCTCGATCAAGAACGGAAGAGCTGGGGCCGCATGATGGCCAGCAATGCGAACCAGCAGAGCGACTATCGTCAACGGAACGATCCGTGAGACGACCATGCGGTATAGCTCGAGATCGTTGAGGTGCTGGCCGGCTTCCGCGTCGTGGAGATAGAGCGTGCGCAGACCAGGAAACAGCGAGGATGGGAGGTCGGGACGGAGAGTGAGGGCGGCGACGAATGCATCGTCGAGCGCGATATGCATGTACAGCTCCTCCAGGCGCTGCATGCTTCGCATCTGAAGCCAGGAAAGATGCCATTCGATCCCGGGGTGCTGTGGATCCGCGAGATCGAGTCGTTTCAGGAACGCTTTTGAGCGGATAAGCAGACGGTCCAAGGCTCGAGCGTCATCCGCCACGTGAGGTGCATCGTTGTAATGCACCATGAGCTTGTCCAGACAGGGCAGCGTCAGACAGTCGAACAACTCGGTCAGATTGACTGCTGTTACGGTCATCTTCAGGTCCGAGAGGTAGGGCAGCGAAGTGTGATGCGGGACAAACGTGCCGCCGGATCGGTCCGCCCCGAGTTGAAGAGCTAGGCTGCGCAGCTGCCCGCACCGCCGTAGGGTGTCCAAGAGAACGTCCGGTGTGAAGCAGCCGCCGAGCGATGCGTCGATGACGGTCAACTGGGCAAACGGAACGAAGCTCAAGTTGACGGAAGGAGGGAGCACGACAGAGCGGATCGAGGGGAAGGACAGAAACCCTCTTTCAAGCGTCGGCTTGAGCCCTTGGACCCAGTTCTGAGCAGACACGTAGACATGCGTCAGCAATGGTGCTTTTCTGGGAGCCCAGAAAAGCGTATGGAGCGAATGCTGGAGGGGACTCAGCAAGTACAGGTTGAGGCGACCCCATCGATGCAGCTGGGGAATGAGCAGCCACATAATCTCGTCGGTGTAACGGGGCTGGCGCCAATCCGTGATTTCCGTTTGGGTGATATGAATTGTGAGCGGCTGCTGTCCTGAGCGCTCGAGCCACGTCTTGACCATGGGAATGTGCTCTTGGCTAGGTTGGTAGACCCAGACGGTCGACCAGAGGGTGGCATACGATAGGGCGATAGCTCTCCATCTGCGGCAGACGTGAGACAGTACAAGTGGGCTTAGAACTTGGCCAGTCCAAGTTTTTGAACTGTAGTATGGCTCGCCAGGCTGGCAAAGTAAGAAAATCTCTCGAATTAGCTCTGGTGGAAGGCGATTCATGCATCTGCCGGCATTCGGGTCCAGGGAAAGTATGGCGCGCAGGTTGTTGATAGCAAGGAAGTTAGACACATCTTGTGGAAGAGAAACCAGCTTGCTCTGCAGAGAATGAACCTATAGACTGAAGTTGAACCGATGGACTGAAGCATGGCTACTATACGGACCATGAATTGAAGTGAGCTCGACTCGAAGGAGTTGGTGAAAAGAACGGAAAGAAGTTTGCGGTATCAACATCTCAAACCCTTTAGATGCGAGCATAATGATGACCACGAGGCTTCTGGTAAACAAGGAACAGACTAAAGAAGAACAAGGTCAAGGGGGATGTGAGCGGCACCGCCACCGATGATTCCCTGCATGCCGCAGCCGAGTAGTTCTTGGATTCGAGTTTTGAATCAAACCAAACCAAGCCTTGGAATGCAGGACAAATACACAAACATGAAAAGATAGAGTCTACAGCACGTGCAGTACAGCGACGAACAAGAAAGTGCGTTTCATGCCGCCATTGACTACTAAGCCAGGCTCCCGCGGACTCCGTCTCCGCGCCGTGACGCTGACACACCCCGAACCAGAACGACGATGATCGCAAAGGTAATGAGCAGCCACTCTATCCATGCGAATGCCTCGAGGGTGTTGAGCTGACTGCAGTAAACGAAGACGTCTTGCGTTTTGCAGTTGAGGCCACCGCCGAGCATCTCAGTCACGGCGGCGGCAGCGGCAGTCCACATCAGCCAGGTGAAGCCGAGACTGCAGAGAGCCGGTTGTTAGATCGGACGAACGAAAGGCAGGGTCATTGATGACGCACATGACAATGTGAGCGAGGACACTGGTCAACACCGAGCCGTCGGGCGAGTGCATGAACAGAAGGATGAGCATCCCCGACGTGAGAATAGTCCATGTGGACGTGAAGAGGGTGAACCGGACGCGATCGCGCTCTGAGAGATTTCGGTAGTTGTGCAGGGCATTGAACTTGGATGTGAGCCAGGCGGAGAGTGCGAGCTGCGCCAGGGGTGTCAGACAGGCTGGGCGGGAGCAGAGAGACACATACCTCAAAGATGGCAAATAGGATGACGAGACCAAGAGTGACTGCGTGGAAATCAATGCGAGTGACAACAGGATGGGGTGAGGTACGCACTGGGATGGCCTCGACGAAGGTGGGTACCGAAAGACATGGTGACGGTGGGATATGGAGACAAAGGGTGTCGTTGGATGGGTGCGTTGCAGGGTCGTTATATAGTCGTTCAGGAGAGGCTGAAAGGTAGAAGTCGCTGTCTCACGACGGTGTCTTGGAGCGGAAGGTGGTCAGATTTCAAAATTGCCCGAGGACGTCATCACACGTGATCCGCACAGCCCGTGCTGCTACGCCATAAACTCGAAAAGGAAGGTGGTGTGATACTGCATGCCCACAACTGTGGAACTCCCGCCTCACCCGTAGTTCAAGTGGAGTTCTGAAAAGAATTCGCTTGCGATTTTTGTGCGCTAGGATCGAACGTTTCATCTGGAAAGAGATCTCTCAGACTGTAAACAAATCGGTTCCCGCCTTTCCTCCCTAGCGGATGTCAGTGGAAGACATACGTGCAATCGTCATGATGCGCTCGAAACAGCTGCGGGGGCTACAGATGATTCTGGGACGAAATCATGCGTGGTCGCACCGCAATATTGCGTGCGAATACCGAAGGCTAGAGGCTCGTGTTGCTTGTGCGATCAAGCCAAAATGAGAACACAGAGTGTGAGAGAGTTTTTCAACTTATCCAAACTGTACCCAACCTCCGTGGAGAACCAGGCCAAACTCGGGGTTTCAACCTTGGGCAAAGGCGTGAGGGCTAAATGTATCTACCGCTGTGAAAGATGAAATTGTTTGACTTCAGCAGCTATCCCATGTTCAGCTCTGTCCGCGCACAGCTGACATTTCCGACCGTTATTCATAATAACCTTGGTTCGCAATTATGAGCGCCGGATTTACACTAAGTATCATCCCTAAGCACTCATGAAGCCCTATGAGCGGGACGCACCCGAATACCACAGCGAAGGCTCTAAAAATAGCACTCTAAGATCTTCGTTCAAAGTTGGAAAGATCGAGCCTTGCAGTTCGGCTGACGCGGAGAGATTGGGAATACGAGGTGTTGGTGCGGTCCTCATAGGAGTCCGTTGCCTGCGGGCGCTTTCACGGGCAGAACAGGGCGGGGTTTAACCTCTCAACACTGTCTTACGCACGTCATCTTGTCTCGTAGCATACGGTACCAGTCCTCTTCAAGTTTAATAATGTTCAACCTTGAAGCTTGACTGCCGCAATGGGGCTGTTTCCGCACCTCCCAGTGCAAGTGTCAATGTCAACCTCGGTTTGGGTACTTATCACGCTCGGAGACAAGGCTCAGATGGACCAAAAATCATGCTTATCTGGGAGAGATGGTATAAAGCAGGACCGGAACATACTAGTCCCCTCCAATCAACCTGCAATGGGTTCTTCGAACATTTCTGGCTGTGCCTCCAGCAGTGCTCCCTCACCTCTCGATCGCTCTCTCATTTTCCCGCAGATCCTCGACCTGAATCTTGATGACCCGAATAATGACATTGCCTTTTCGTTCGCGAAAGAGGATCGTGAATTAGGAGTGGTCCAGACCGACATCACTCGGTTTGAGTTCACGCGCGCGGTTCATCGCGCGGCCCACCTGATTTCGACCGAGAACACCAGAGGAGGAGGAGGAGGAGGTCGATTCGTAGCGATGGTGGCTCTCGCGGACGTTCTCATCTATCAGACCATCGTCGTAGGATGCATCAGAGCCGGTCTAGTTGTGAGTGCCTACATAGCACTTCAGATCAATTCGCTCACCAAACTCGGATCAAATTCCAGCCTTTCCCGATCTCCCGCCGCAACTCCCCCGTGGCAATCGTACATTTGCTCAAGTCGACCGGCTGTCATCGCGTGCTCACTACGCGAGCGTCCCTGGGACATCTCGTCGTCGATGTCATCTCTGAGCTCGCTGCACAGGAACTGTCGTATGAGCTGTCCGTGGAAGAGATTCCCTTGCTGGGAGAACTGTACCCTCATCTTGGGCGCGAGTCGGCATCCGACGAGTTTACGCCGTATCAAGTCTCTGACCCTACTCCACGCATGACCGACATCGCATTGTGCTTGCACTCCAGTGGAAGCACAGGATTCCCCAAGCCAATCAGTCTCTCCCATCGCTTGTTCCTCGAAATATCGGCTCTCGGTGCGCGCCATCCCTTCCTTTGAACAGCCCAATGTGGTGGAGTCCTGACACATTCCGGTAGGTGCGCTCCGCCAAATCAAATTGTACGCACCGCGCTTCGCGATCGGTACGCTACCGCCGTTTCACGCGATGGGGTGCTTCGTGCAGCTCATGGTCCCACTGCTCAACCACGGCACGGCCTGTATCTTGCCTCCCGCCTCGACAGCAACCGAGTACCGCGTCCCGCCCAACGCGACGTCCGATCTTGCCCTGCACAACGCAAAGCTCGCGAGAGCCGATGGACTACTCGCTGTCCCTGCGTTCATTTTGGAGTGGGGTCGTTCTCCGGAGGCGGTCGGCTATCTCAAGAGCTTGAATATGGTCGTAAGTCTTTCGATCTCGGTAATTTCGTTGACTGAATCAGGCAAGGCATTCGGCGGAGGATCGTTAACGCTCAAGGTAGGCGACGAGCTCGTCAAAGAAGGTGTGAAGATCGTGCAGTTCTTTGGGGCGACGGAATGTGAGTCGTCGCACGGGATCTTCATCTCCACAGCCTACTCACGAATTGCAGTCGGCTTGCCAAATGTCATCCGGGCCGACAGTGGTCCCCGAGACTGGGCTTGGCTTAAGTTCTCAGAAACAGTAAAACTTCGATGGGTCCCAGAGGGTGACGTCAACACATTCGAGCTTCAATTCCTGGTGAGTCAATGGACTCCAAGTCCAACTCTCTGCGTGACACGCCGCTATCAGAGTTGCGACACCCTCCACCCGGCAGTTGAGAACCTCCCTGACGTCCAAGGCTACTCGACAAAGGATCTGTTCGAGAAGCATCCCACAAAACCTGACCTTTATCGGACTGTTGGGCGGCTGGATGACCTACTCATCATGACCAACGGAGAGAAAATGGCGCCAGCCCCAATGGAAGACATCTTGCTCTCTAGCCCTTATGTTTCTGGGGCCGTCATATTCGGTCGGGAGAGAAATCAGCTCGGAGCTCTAGTCGAGCCGAGCGTGGCATGTGAGGTGAATACCATGGACGCTGCGGAAGTTGCCAAGTTTCGAAATTTGATCTGGTGCGCACTATCTGTGGCGACGGGTGAGGGCTTTAATCATCTTGAAACAGGGAGCAGATGCAAGAAGCGAATGAGACTGCGCCGGCGTTTGCCCGGATCTACAAGGAAATGGTTCTCGTTACTCCCCGTACCAAGCCTCTTCTCCGCACCCCGAAAGGGACAGTGATGAAGAAAGCCAGCGTTGCCTTACACCGGGCTGAGATTCACGCGTTGTGGGTCCAGGGTAGCTTTGAACACATCCGGAAAGCGTTAACGCGTCTTCCAGGTACGAGACGGTTGATGCCAGTATCAGTTCTGCGGACGACATAGCTGCGCCCGCCAGCTGGACCGTGCCTGATCTCGTCCCGTGGCTGTCCGCACACGCTTCATCGCTTTCGGAACGGGAAATCCACGCGGGCAGCGATATCTTCGACCAGGGCTTTGACAGTCTCCACACGACGTTCCTCCGTCACCGGATCGTCGGTGCCCTGAGCAATTCATCGACCTCGAAATCCAAAGCCTCTGCACCGAAGATTCCACAAGATTTCGTGTATTCGCATTCCACGATCGAGTTGCTCGCCACCGCTGTCTCGGCTCTCGCTCTGGGAACACTTCCGGAAGCTATGGATCCTAACGCTGCTGTTGAGCAGATGATCACGACGTATTCGACTGCATTGGGCGGGAGCTCGCCCGCTAAGACTCGGCCGGAAGGCGGCGAGGTTGTGCTGCTAACCGGGTCGACGGGCGGTCTCGGCTCGCATCTGCTCGAGATTCTGCTCAAGCACCCGTCCATTCGCCGTGTCTACGCGTTAAACCGGTACAGCTCGCGTGCGACTTCAGCCTCTCGACAAAGCGCTGCATTTCTGGAGCGTGGACTGGATCAGAAGCTTCTGCTTGACCCTGACAGGCTCGTCTTCCTCGAGGGTACTGCTGCTGATTTGGAGACTTCTATCTTCGAGACTGTGAGTGGATCCTTCTTTCTATCTGGAGTATCGACCCACACAACATTCTAGCTACACAACACAGTCAGCGTGATCATTCACAACGCGTGGACTCTCGACTTCAACAAGTCGCTGGCCTCGTTCGAGCCCCACATCAAAGGCACGCGCAACCTGGTCGATCTCGCCTGGCCTCGAATACTGGAGTCCGCTTCCTGTTCACTTCTTCCGTTGGGACTGCTGTCGGCTGGGATCCGAGACAAGGTCCGTTTCCGGAAGAGCTACAGCCTTGCTCGAGCGCTGCGCTGGGGCTGGAGTATGGGGAGAGCAAATACGTGGCTGAGCGGGTGCGTGTTCAAGATTTTCTTCCTGAATTCAGGGCTGGACCCAAGCACAGATCATCGCTGCCTCCGGACTGGATGCCACGTCTTTCCGCATTGGGCAAATCTGCGGCTCAGCTCGAACAGGGGCGTGGTCCACGTCTGATTGGATCCCGAGCCTTGTCAAATCCAGTATCGCGCTGGGTGCCTTGCCATCTGAGCTTGCCGGACTCAACGCGTGGCTTCCGCCTGAAGCCGTGGCGCAAGCCATCGTAGATGTCGCGGTGTTCGAGGACCGGGCGCCCGGTGCGATGAATCTCGTCCATCCACGACCCGTCGCGTGGGACACCATCATGACTGCGATCGCCGGCACCCTCCATCTGCCGTTGATTGTGTTTTCGGAGTGGATTGAGCGGCTCGAGAGAGCTGCGGTGGGTGCGACTGCGGAGGACTTACAGCGCGTGGTGGGTGTTTTCGTTGATGAGAATGAGACTCCGTTTCATGCCATCCATCACAGCCCGCTATCAAGCTGCTTGAGTTTTTCCGGTCAGCTGAGATGAGGGCTGGTGCCGTCCGGTTTGCGACGTCGGTGTCGCAAGAGTATAGTCCGGCCTTCAGAGATTTGAAGCCTCTAGACCTCGACGACGCAGCGAGATGGATTGGATACTGGCGCGAGAAGCGTTTCATTTAGATCCTTACTGTCAATCTATACCAAATCTTATCAGTTACTGTAGACCTGAGACACGGACCAAGTACAGTGTCACAATCTGATCGTCAAGGACAGACAAAGTACGATAGATGCTATATAGCCAGGCAGAAAATGATCCCTTACGACAAAAAGCTCGTATTTCACACTCTATCATGATTTAGTCGCTCATGAGGTCGGGAGGTAGTCGTTGTCTCGTGGGGGTGTTTCGGGGGTTAGATTTTGTAATCATTCCATCACACACAGCCTGTACAACCGATGTTACTACAGCCGAACTTCCCACGCATGTACCTATGGATATCTCATAGGAAGCCTTATAACTCAGATTCAGTTGAAAAGGATGAAGTGACAGGGTCTCTTTAAATCTAGACTTGATCAAACCGATAAACATGACTATTTGCCCCAAAATACAGATTTGTACGCGTTGAAGCTCATCTTGAGACCCAATTGAGGATCGAACGTCGAGATCGACGTTCTCGAATTTGCTCAAACTTGGTTCAGAGCGGCCAACGGCCTCCAGGTAAGTAATTGGAATGTGTGAGAGCAAATCACGTGTCCGTGAGAGATCCTACATCCGTTCGGTGGATTACTTACTCGAGTCCCGAGTACGAGCTCTACATTTCAGCCTCCATCATCCGTCAATCATGACGCTTCCTGACTCCTTGTGCATCCTGATCCTCCGCCACCATAGCTGTGGGCATCGGTCCCGGCGCCATGCCGCGACGCAGCTGTGGAACGTCGGCACACATCCTACGGTCTCATACATATAATCTATAGCCTTCTGCTCCATTCCCATATCTTTCCCATGACTCCCCACTTGAGGAAACTCTCCCGACGCATCTCCGCCTTGTTCGCCCCTTCGTTGCTGCTCGCGGATCTGGCGTCCATTCTCCGTGACCGTGCATCGGGTTCTGGACGTCAGCGCCGAGCTCTTCTGGTCGGGATACGCGACACCCAAGATAGCGACTATGGTCCGATTCCGTCTGCGCATGACGACGTGAGAGAGATGTACAGTCTGCTCGTGGATGTGTATGTTGTCACACTATATCCATCGAATTTCTGCTCATTTCCCTCAGATGCCATTATGAGCCAAAGGACATTGTCTGTCTTGTTGACGATGGAGTGAGCCCTGATCCCACCAAGGAGAACCTTGTGAGTGTCCTCCGGCGTAAATATACCGCCTCTCATCTCGATCTCTGTCAGCTTCGTGCGATCGACAAACTTGTTCAAGGGGTGAAGAGCGGAGACCATATCTTCTTCCATTGTGGGTCCACGAAACCAAGTCTGCTTGAGGCGACGCTTGACTGAGCCCCCAGATTCCGGACATACGACTCAGCAACTCAACCGCTCCCTGACGGAGGATGACGGGATGGACGAGGTCCTGATCGCTGGCGATGGGGCGCAAATCGTTGACAACGTAAGCTTCCCCTGTGATAGTAGCCAACGCGCTCCACGATCTCACTGTGCTCTAGACACTTTACGATCGTCTCGTCGCCCCGCTTCCCTCTGGCTCTCATCTGGTCGCTGTCCTAGACACGTGCCATTCGGGGACACTGCTCGGTGCGCACCTGCTTGACCAGCATGATGATAAACATGACCATCCGACAGACCTCCGCCATTATCTATGCAACAGACCAGGTTACGACAAGCCTCGGCATTCGCTCTTCTATCCCACCATACGTGAAGTTCTATGTGTTGCGTCGACAGCTGCGCTCGTCCCTGTGACCTTGTCTTCCTCTTTCAGGTTTCATCCGTGGTCCTGTCTCGGGGATTGTCGCAGAAGACCTGGTCCGGAAGTCGCTCGTCCTGGGAAACAGCCTGTGCGCGCGGATGTGATCTGTCTCTCTTCCTGCCAAGACTCCCAAAGCGCATGGGATGTCAGTGGCCATGCGACATTCACCGCCTGCCTGGCTCACTTTCTCCGCACCGCCCCGAACAGCACACTGCATGATGTGCTGAAGCACATGACAGCGCAAGTGGAAGCGATGACGTTCAAGCGGGAAGCACGGGGGAGAGAGAACCGCCGGTTTGTTCAGTGGGCTCTGAAGCACGCGAGGAAGATCGAGAAGACCAGTCCTGCTCTCTTGCGCAGCCTCTCCGACCCGCACACCGTCCCATCGGTTGTGCTGCCCCTCCAGCCAGAGCGGCCTGCTCAGGGTCACGCGACTTTCATCTTGGAGGACCTCGGCATGCGCGACCCCGCTCCCCGCACGAGCACGGCTCGGAGTGACCCGCGCTGGCAACGCCGCCCCCGCCGCCCCCTCTCCCAAGTGGTGGAGAGGGCGCTCAATTTGGGCTTCCTGAAATGGGGACCCCATCATCGCAGGAAGTTTTTCCTGGCGCGTCAGGATCCAGAGCTGTCGAGCGGGAAACCAATCGACATGGGCCGAACATGGATGGATGCCGTCTCAGGGCAAGCGGTGTCTCGCTGACTTGGTCTTTCCAGTGTGATGAATATCTGTGTTACGCTGCCTGTTTGAATATTTATTCAAGTCTGAAATTTGTGAATCTCCCAGTCACGTGGTGGCTCTGGATAATCTGTCCTCTGAGACCTGCGTCTCAAACTTCATATATCGATGAAACATAACATACGTACTCTCCATGTAATCCCAGACATTTGGACTAGGCTTATTGAGAACTCACTAAAAATACCACGGCTCAGTGAGCTAGTCAAGGGCGTTAATGATGAGGGTTTATTTACAGCAGGTGCGGTTGGCTTGTACGTGTGTATAAAATTCCCAATATGGAAATCGTACACACACTCCCATTAAACGATCACTCTGAGCTGCTATATCTGCTATGTCTGGGCTTCCTGCTACTATTAATTCTTACTGGGCGACGTTCTTTTCTATGTCTTTGGCTCCATCTATGTAGATAGGCTGGCAGGGAACTGCATCACTAGGATTGAGTGCCAAATTCTACCAGCGTCAAGGCTTCTTCAAGTCCGATGAGCACTTGGTCGGTCAAGGAGAAGCCGTGCAGCTGGAATCAAGGAGGATGAGCCGCCTCCTCTTCTTGCCAAATTGACCTCCAAATCATCACCGCCGTTGGGGAGTGCGCTGAAGCACACGTGACAAGCGCTGAACGCCACCCTCGACAGATCCAGGTCCGGATCACCCTCCGCTTCCATCTCATCAGCATCGCTGTCTTGCTGAGCAAGAACCAGCTCAACTTGTCTCTCTACGCCCCGATCCCCCATGCTAGGACGGAGGTCGGCGATGCCGTTTGCTCACGTGCTGCTTCGAAATTCAAACTCCGTGGTGGTGCAGGCACTGTGAACCATTCGGGTCCGGCGCTGGTCGGTCATCCTCGCGCGGAAAATCGCATGTCTCATGCGGTGACGTGTCAGTGCTGTCAGCACTGCCGACAGGAGTCACTCGCAAACGAGTCGGCTCGCGGGAGCGGACAACATTGGAGGATGTGATTTGGAGGAATGCTGTCACGTTGAGCAGACTGAACTGGGCGGCGCAAACCAAGCTGCGAAATCCTGTGTGAACCAGCAGCGGGAGAAGCAGGGGAACTTGCTCCGGATCCGGCACAGGGCAGAGGAATGACCTTCACTGCACGTTATACCTACGTCGAGCGCTGTACCCCATCACGTCGGCGGCGCTGTGGATACGCGGTCTAGAGTCACGGCCATTCCAGATTCAGCAAACCAATCGATCCAGATCATCCCGCAGACCGCAGCTCGACTCCCTCATACGCTGGGTGGTGTCGTCGAATTTGGTGTCGTTATGCAACCCTACATGGCTAGCATCTCCCCGGGCAGCGTCACTACCCTTTGTGCGGCTTGTCCCTTTGGCCTTGGACGCTTCTTTGTGTCACCTACTCGCCGGACGGCGAACCACCCTGCCTTCGGTACACGCTGAAATGCGCACTTCCCCTAATCTCAGCACATCCCGAAATGACTCATGCGCAATCATTACTTGCAGTTTTCCCGGCTTCCTCTGCTGTTCACAGTGCCTTTTGCGGTTGAGGACCTGTACGGAATATAAGCAGAGATCATCCTAGGCATCTTATACCTCACCCCCCGTCTCTTTCTACCGATACACTCCCTTTCCCGTATGCTACCGACTCGCTCACGACCCCTCTCGTACACCGTCTCGGGCCGCGCCGCCCCGAGCCCAGTGACTACGACACAGCCCTATCATGTGCTGGGGCAGCTGGATAATGTCCTGCCAGGCGGCCTTTCCTCTCTCTCTGCTGCCCAGCTGGATGATGTTTTGTCGGGCGCTGAGGGCGCCCTCTCACCTCTCTCTGCTCCCCCCATCGGAAAGAAATGGGGCATGCTCATCGCCATTCAAGGTTTCTCGTCGCGCGACTCTCCAAACCCTATGATGGTGCCTCCAGATGAACCCCAGGTCAAGACCGAGGAGTATTCTTCGCTACCTGGCGTTCATGAGGACGCGGAGAAGCTCTATGACGTCCTCACAACTGTGTGCGTGCATCTGTGGGCTGTCTACATGTCCTGATCCGTCAAATAGTCACGGATACCCACCCGAGAACATCATCCGCCTGATGGACGACGGAAAAGAAGGGTCTATCGTCCCGACGCACAACAATATTGTGCGTTGCTCTCTTAACACGTTTTTACCGACTTGTACGCTCATCTGCCTCACAGCTGCGAGAAATCCGGGCTCTGGGCATGCGAGTACGGTCTGGGGACCATGTCTGTTTCTTCTGTGCGTATGAATTGACCCGAGAGTGTTATTCTGTAGCTGATTTATAGCTCCTCAGACGCAGGCCACACTTTCCAGCACCCCAATGCTCGTGGGACCGAAGAAGACGACATGGATGAATTCTTGATCACCCATGATGGAAGGTCTATCATCGACAATGTATGTCTCGCTCCTAATGAACTTCTGCCTGTCTGGATACCCACCTCGCCTAGATTCTATATCGCTATCTGATTGTCCCGCTGCCGAAGGATTCTTTTCTTGTGGCGATCTTAGACTCGTGTCACTCCGGCACTTTGCTGGGTTTGTTTGCCTGCTGGGTGTATTCGAGTGCGCGTGCTGAATCGTCGCCCCAGATATCGAACACACACATTGTAATGCAAGTCCCGGATCAAACCTCGAGCTGATATCATTCTCCGCCACAACCAACCGCATTCCTCTCCGACGTAGAACATCCGAAATCACTGTCGTTTCCCCGAGCCGGCAGATGTCACTAGACAAGGAGAACATTCCCCCCACACATTCAATCGACCCTGCGCACTGGGAACCTGTGCCGAGATGCGGCAGTCCCTTATCAGTTTTGTCCTACCCGGGATGCGACGGAGCTTGCCGAAGCAGAGTTCGTGAGGGTATTTCCGTCGTGGGCCACAAACAAGCCATCGCTGCGAATGTTCTCTGCATCTCGTCCTGCGAAGATTCGCAGCTGACTTCGTACTCGGAGGGCACTAAGGTGACCATGGCCCGTTGCATCATCGACGTTGTTGCTTCGAACCAAGATGTGACCGTTGGCGAGCTTCCGGATATGGTTTCTCGAACTCGCAAGCAGGCGCGGGCCGACGTTTGGGACAATTATCTGCAAAGCCTCCGGTCACCGATGGCGAACCGGGTTGCTCGGATCACAACGCGGATCCAGGCCAAAGCTCCCGAACGACGCCGCACACTCCCAGAAAACATGCCGACCAAGGACTACTTCGTTTGCCCCGCAACTACACGGACGGATCCGCCCATGTCAGCCACAGTAGAGTTGCCGCAGAAACCGAAGACTGTGGCCGATTCGATACAAGTGCTGGCCGAGCGCCGCACATTCTCCAAAGGCAGTATCGCAGCTCGGACTGCGAGTCGTCGTGCATCCATGCCGCTGCCCTATCGGCAGCCGAGGACAGAAACGCGGTGCGATGACATTGGCTGCAAAGGGACGCATCTTTCGGCCGAAGGTGATCGCTGGTTCTCAGAGGTTGTAGAGATGGTTGAATTGGTTTTTGACGCGCTGCGTCCACGTCACCTGCCCCCGCCGCCTGCCGATGTGGTTCTCTCCAGCAAATGGCCGCTGAACCTGCAACAGTACTTACGCAATTGGTTCAGTGCGCCAGAGCACCCCGAAGCCGTGGCCTCTCCTCATTCTTATCATTGAGGCGCTGCGTTAGGTTTCACTTATTTGGACGCTTTGTTTTCTATCTGCTGTGTGTTCTGTGTATCTGCTTTCTCGCTTTCTCGCTTGTCGTTACTTATTGTGATAACGTACAAGTTGTGCATCTGCTGCCGCTCTCTCGCCTTGCATTCTTGGACATCATTCTACTCTGCATCTGCTATCTCGTTTTGTATTACCAGATATTATACCCCTACAATTCGGATCCCGCCTCTTTCAATCCCATCCCGCGTGAGGCATTTCTACTCGGCTTGTGAAGGAGGCGCTTAGGGAAGGGCTGGTAAACGTGAAATGAGACATTGACGAACTCAGGCGCGACTAGGCAATCAGGGGTGTGCTCGATTTGTAAGGACAGCCTGGCCGGCCGATGGGATCTGATATGCGTCGCCTGACACTTACTGCAATTCTTCCAGTGAATTCGGTGCATAAGACTTAGATAGAGACTGAACAGGTGAAACACGTACAACATCTCTGCTACTTGCATCGCGCGGACTACTGTACTTGGTCCATAGCAGGAGTGGCATAGGGCACTACAACAAGTAAGTATATACAAAAAGCGCAGAGGTAATAAAGATCCGTCCATCAAGTCATATCATATCCATCCTAACGACGGACGTAGGGAAGAGGAAGAAGGGAAACTAGTCTAATAGATAGCAGCAGTAAATGTTCGTGTTCGTCTACTGGCGGATCAAGGTCACGCTCTCAATCCCAGTCGATGGCAAGACCACCAGGACCAGTCGCGACACCCATCCCACGAGTCGTCTCGCGCTTCAGCCAGGCAAGGGCCCGCTTGTCATCCTTGAGAAGGGGGCTCAGGATGGTCCAGCAGCGCTCGTTGTGGTCTTTGAGCCAATTCTTCTCTTCTCTCGTGATCATGCTCTCCTTGACCATCTTCGTCTGGATAGGAACACACGTGAGCCGCTCGAATCCGAGCCAGCGCGAGTTGCCGCCGTAGCGACGGCTCATCTGAAGACTTTTGAGCGCCATAATAGTCGATGAAGGAAGCCGCTTACCGAGACCGGGCGCACGATGAGGGCCGATTCGAGACGAATGCCCCACTGGCCTTCGGCATCTACCAACAGCTTTGAGCAAATGACTCCATAAATATCATTCAACGTGACTCACAGAAACCAGGTTCGTTAGTGACAACGTGGCCAGCCTGGAGCGGCACAGAGCTCGAAAAGCCGTGGGAGCCTTCGTGTACAGTCAAGAACGATCCGAAGCCGTGGCCTGTCCCGTGCTGTATAAGATCAGCAACGTGCAACACACGAACAACATTGGCCACCTACCCCATAGTTAAGCCCATCTCGCCACAACGCTCGACGAGCAAGCACGTCGAGCTGCAATCCCGAGGTACCCTCGGGGTACACTGCAGAGTCAATCGCGATCTAGTAAAGCCAGTCAGGATGGAAATGAAGGCACGAGACAGACAGGCACGTACATGACCCTGAAGCACGCGGGTGTACGCATCACTTTGTTCTGGAGTGGGACGGCCGAAATGCCATGTCCTAGTCGTGTCGCATGTTCCATCCCGGTACTGGCCACCAGAGTCACTGCGAGACAATCAATTCACACAGACCAACAGACATTCATGGGAACACACTTCAGGTACGGCGTGAACTTGTCGATCATCCGAGCAGTGCTTCTCCTCGGGGAGTAATGCGGCAATGCTGCGTTCGGCCCGCTGGCGGAAATGTTCTCATATGCCAAGCCCATGAAGTAAGGAGCCTTGCGCCGGAATTCAGTCAATCGCTGAGCGGCTTCGTATTCCGTGATGTCGTAGCCTGCATTGAACTTGTCCTCGAGCCAGGCAAGGAATCGGACCTGAACAAACATAAGTACCACCGGATTAGGTGTTCGTGTGACACCCACATAGCACACTCCGTCTCTGATATACGCTTCCCTCAGTCCATGCAATTCCGTGTCGTTCTTGATGGACAGCATCTCCTCGACGTAGTTGGGCGCCACCGTGTATCGCAAGTGGGTCAGCATAAGCGAGATTGCGAACGAGGTCTGCGGGGTGATGAGCACTTTGCCCGCTCCCCATTCTCTGCGGCGCAGGAACTGCCAGATCTCGACATAATCCCTCCGCTCGACACCCAACGAGTGCAGATACTCGTGGATATCCTCGTTCACTTTCACCGCATCGGCAAAGAGGATGGCTGTGTCCTGGCTGATGAAGAAGTACGCATGGAACAACGGGTTGAACGGGATATCAGAACCACGTAGATTCAGCAGATATGCGATGGCGGGCAATGACGACACCAGCGTAGCGACATGAATCTGAGATTCTGTAGGCGGGCCTTTGGAGTAAGAAGGAATCGAGGGAGGTTGATTGGCGATCCAATCCCGTAAACGTGCCAACTTCTTGTCAGCCTGTTGGCCTTGGGAAAACCAGGGTCAGCATGACGGGGACCGTAATGTGATATTCAGCTCACCGGTGAACTTGTCGGGCTGCCGATACAGGGGTTCCCGCGACTTTCCGATCTTGTCACGCCAAACAAGGTCGACCAAGTTCTGGGGAGGATATATCATCTTGGAGTCCCGCTGGACCAGCTTGCTGTTGAGAACGGCGGCTTTCTCGTGCGAAATCATACGAGCATCGATACCGATACGAGAGTTTCGCGCTCGATCCTGCAGCTCTTTCAGTACCACACCTGATATGAGCACTATCACGTACCACTAGCCACTCGATCCAGTCTTTGGGCAGACCTGGCGAGCCTACACGTACAAGTTCCCAGTTCTCATCCAATTGTTCTTGGGCTTGCAACCAGTAGCGCGAGTCCGTGAACAAGAACGCGTGATTCGGTGTGACGATGGCCTGGCCGGATGAGCCGGAGAATCTGCCACACATCGGATATTAGATCCGACCTCCGTAGAAGCAAGGCGCACTCACCCAGATATGTACTCGCGACGCTTATCGGTTGCAGCAACGTATTCGGACTGATGGGAGTCTTCGCTTGGAATGATACTGTGGGGCAATCAGCAACGAGCCGTGGAGCTGAGGGTCGGGCGCACTAGTAATCCAAGCTGTCCTTCGTCATGATTTTGCGCAGATCGTCGAGACGTACACGCGTGTCCGCCCTCTCTATGCTCGGCTCAACGTCATTGATCTTGCGTTCCAGCGCAGACCCAACGAGCGTGTTTTGCGAGTCATTCCGCACGAGGGATGACGGACCACCGCCTTGAGTTCCCGATCCGCCCGATCCACGGGCCCCAGTACTCCGCTGGCTCGTCTGTGGGCTGGGAGTAGAGCTTTTGCCGGTGGGCTGGGTGTAGCTGCGACTGCGTCCAGAAGAGGGTCTCGTTTCCCCAGACACCCTCGTCTCATCTGACTCACGGGTCTTGTGGGAACTCCGTGATTCTCGTGTGCCCCGGGATTCTTTCGATCGCCGTGAGTCTTTGGTATCGCGGGAAGACCTCGTTTCACGGCTATTCCGCGAGTCCATGCGGGCCGGAGGGACTGGGGGGTCGTATAGCGGTACACCGCGCGGGGCGCCACCATTTGAGGGCAGTTTTTCCGACATGGGTGGTTGGCCTGGGAAAGCGACGACCAGGTCCTTCTGGTTGTCCTTCTCCTTCTTCTTCCCTCCTAAAAAGCCCCACTTGCTGCCCGAGGATGGCTCCTTGGGAGGTTTGGTTCCTGCCATGGTGTTGGCTCGCACCATCCGCGGACCCTTTTTGCCAAGCTGCCAATCCGGATGCTCGCTTCCCCGCACTGTCCCATAGTCCTCCGAGTCCGTCTTGAAGCTCAGAGAGTCCGTTCTCGTCAAAGAGGATGTGCTGGAGTAGGTGTTCGGCCGGTACTTTTCGTCGTAGCTTGAGGGAGGCAGGCCCGTGCTGTACGATCCAGCGACACTCGTAGCGTCGTCGCTAGTGAGACGGCGTTTAGGCTTATTTGAGCCAAAGGGAAAACACAAGGGAGGTGGCGGAGGTGGGGGTGGAGGTGGTGGCGACATGATGGTGGGTGAGCAACCACGGCGGCGAGACCTGACCAGCCAGCACGTTTTCCACGAAGATTACCTGATGGGGTTAAAGCGTGTGACCATTGATTGATGTGACTCGTTTTACTGAGTCTTGCGTCGCCGCATAACCCAAACCTTGCAGGCGAAACAGTGGGACAATCGATGAGGTTGGAGTCACCCCTGTGGAGAGTCCCCTCGGTTGCTGTGGAGCATTAGTCGCAACCCGGAGGGGGCCTAGGGAAGACTTCGCGAATAGTTCCGAAGATTCTAGAGATAGCAGAATTTGTGGCAGGTTGTCACCAGACCATGTCGCCATGATCCGGCAGGCGATAATAAGGTTGCATACGCAAGTGAATACGCAATGCATCGAGCGCGTGGACGCCAGCTCAGCTCGACAAAGCCTCGCCCAGACCATGCTCAGCAGCTGCCGTAGATTCCAGAATACCATTCCAGTTGATGAGTCATGTCCGACCCTTTCTAGAACACAAACCTGCGGCCGGTGCCAATTTCACTCAATGGCCGAGTTCGAGGTCCGCAGCCACAAAAAAAAGGAGGTTTGCCTGCAGGTCACCCAAGACTTCATACATGCAGACTCCTCAAGTAGGCTGAGGACAGAGGTTGAGCTTGTCCGGTACGAGAGTCCGAGGGCTCATGTTTTCTGCGAGAAGCAGCATGTTTTCTAACCTGCGCGCAATGGGACTATCGCTCCGCAAAGCCCTGCAATTAGGAAGTCTCCCCGAGAAGACTCCATGCTGGAATCTTCTCGTCACCTGGGACTTCTGGTTACAAGATTAGGAGAACGGTCTCCTACCAGGATGATGAGAAGAGTGCGCTTGCGACCAGGTGGTCTGAAGTGAGGAGCTGCGTCACAAACGCACAACATACTTAGGGGCTCCGGAAGTATCCGAACCTGTATTCGGTGCACGTGCCGTGCCTCCTGTATATCACAAACTACAACATAAGCGCATTAATTACAAGTCACACAGATATTCCGAGCTCAGTGCGGGCGACTACGTCAAACCCGATTGCGCAATGTGCTTGCGCATGATCACGTCTTGCACTGTGTATGACCCACATGAACTGTCGATCTAGAAGCATGGACGGAGCAAGAACTTACCGCTGGCAATAATGATCTGCGAGGCTTGTACGTCCTGAGTTGGCAGATAGTGAATATTTGACTCTTCCCGGCGGGACTCGATTAGCTTACCACCAAGGAAGTAAGATGCTGCAACAGCGAAAAGATCTCAGATGATCCGGAACCGAGGCTAAGATGAAGGACCCACGACATATAAGCTGCGATTGAAAGGATCTTTCCGCTTATGAGCGGTCAGGAAGTGAGACCGGAAGTAATCGGCCGCGGCCGAGAAATTATTCGGTCGATTCCCGTAACTTATTATGCTAATTCGGATTAGTATGGGCAAGGAAGGAAAAGAGGAACAGCGCACTAGTCCCGAATTTGCAGCCCAGATTCCAGTTTGCGGCGCAATAAGTCGATCTATACACAAATGAGACCATCATTACCAGGAATGGGGAAATATACGCACCTTGTTCAGAAGTAGAACTAATTGCGCATTCTTCAGAAGTTTGTTCGCACAAATCGCCGTCACTAGTTCCAAGGAGTCGTGGATACGATTAGTGAGGGGATCTTCCTCAAGGTACTAGATATGCGGATGTTGGTCTAATGAATGCCTTTTAATCTGGGTCAAACTGCCGCACCTGGTCAAATGCAGAGATTGGAACCAGTATTGCCAATGCATTCACTATCAAAATGCACATTAGCTTGCAGATATGGGAAAGATCCAGCCGCGTCACCGTCGTCGAAATAGGCTGACCATGCGGGTCGCTGTTGATAGTTTACATTTCAGTTAAGGTGAAAGAGTCCAATGACAACCAAGATACCTGTGCCCGCTGTCAAATTATCAATGGGCGAACTAATATGCCGAAATGGGAGAGCTGACTGTACCGCCGACATCATAGATCTTCCAGATATTCGATCTGCCCACTCGGAGAACGTGTTCAATAACGCCAACTGTCTGAAGCCGGACATGCAGAACATCATCTAATGCGATGCGTGAGCAATAAGCACTTGGATAGACACGGAGCTGACCGATCGTGGGGCAGTAATCTGACTGAGATACTCGACTTATTTCTTGTAAAAAGCTGAGAGAACATTGAACTGTGCGCACCGACAGAGAGAAAAAAGTCTTGACGTACAAATGTCCAGATTCCTCCAAGCGCAGCTTGCGAACACGAATCATATACTGCACCGTACGGTGATGCCATAAAAGCTCTAGCAGAGTGCCCAGCTCTGACAGGACTTGCGCCACCCTATTGGTCGCCAACACAGCTCGGCTCGAGTCCCGCAAAGCCGAGATGGGACGACTGCTCGACCTCCTGCCCTTGGGAGACAACAAGAGTGTCCCGTGGCGGTTCGGTGTGAACGCGACATCCTCGCTGAGCTCTGACGACAGCGAGCTCTCGAGCGAGATCAGGGGGAGGAGCTTCCTTCGAAGTACGTTCAGTTCATTTTGGGCTGCGACGTCTGTCGGTCCCGAGCCGTCAGACGGGAGGGGGTATTCTTCCGCGGCCGCTGAGAATTCGAAGTCGAGCTCCTCGAAAATCATCCGGACCGCTTTGATTAGATTCGCGTACACGACGATGCGCCAGGCGGGGCGCTCGGCGTCCAGGATGTGAGATGCGTGGTAGAGCTGCAGCTGTTTCTGGAGTGTCGACTTGCCTGTGATCCCGTCAATTCACGTCAACTACCATCAAGTCCGAGATGAGCACCAACCAGATTCTGCCTGTCCCAGGAGAACAACTAGGAACATTCAGGTCAATCGTGTCAAAAAACCCACCGGAATAGCATCCACACCTTTGACCTCGCGGAGCCTCTCCCCTTGCCTTCTCACGGCGTCTCTCTGTAGTCATATTTGGCCAGGGAACGGGGGAGGAGACCAAGAGTCGCCGCTAACCTTGATTTCCTCGTCGATCAAATTGCTGGTGTGCTGAGCGTCCGGGGCTGAAGACAACGAGCTGCTAGTACTGGAAGAGAAGCTGGGCAAGTAATATCGGAAGGAACCCAGCGCCTGGTGGGAGGGGCGACGAGCCAGCCTTGGTCCTCGGCCGGGAAGTCTGGACATGGGAGCGAAGAGGAGAGGCCGTTCGTGTCGCAATGACGTTCCGAATTAAGTATGAAATACCGGGTGGGGCTGCGTGCCGTACTGGGGAAAGAAGTGTCCCGAATCATCAAGTTGAATCTTACGTTCAAAAAGGCGCTTAAAAGACACCAAAATATAGGGGCTGATTAGCATTATCCACGCGTGTTCCATCGGCTTCCCTTTCGGAGGATCGCAGGTTATGACCTTTTCCTATCCACCCAGGAAGAGGCGATGCTCGAGCGCGCCGCCGCCGTACGTGTCTTTTCCATGTCGCTACTCAACAGCCCTGGGAGAAAGATGTCCGCTGATGACGTTGAAAGCCTCCGTAAATTGTCCCGCGTCCTCATGGTAAAGATGGAAATGAAGAAGGCGAGGGAATGAAGGTCGTAATCTCACGAATGCATCCGATCTTTCTGGTAGTTAGGCAGGGAAGACACAAGGGACTCCCTTATTTGCTCATGCTTGTACACGTGCTAATCACGCGTATCTCACGTGAACTGTAACTGGCTTCTGGCTCGCGTTTACTCCCTGCATTGGAGCCTAGGGACACAGGACTGGCTACGTGGAAACTGGTATATATGCGTTCTCGAGTACTCAGTAGCAACGACTAAACCGAGGCCGCGACAGCGGCGCTGATGACGATAAAGATGCCCGCAGCAGGTATGACATTCCGACTGGCAGCACCAGTGGACGACGGGGCGGGCAGGGAGAACGACCGAGATGCCGGAGGAGAAGTGGAGACACCCGAGGTGGAAGAACCTCTGTAGATAGAACATGAGCGACCGATCACGGTCACCTGCATCCATTACTTACGTCTGAGACAGGCTGATGCTTGTGCTGGTCGTCGTCGTCAACGGCTGGATGAAGGTGCTGGAGGTCACGGCCATGCTTGTCTTGGTCAGAGTGCTGGTTTTAGTCGTTGAAGTGCTGGCACTCTTCTTTGAATGTGACTGCGAGGAAGTGGGATGAGAACCGGAGACGGTAGATTTGGACGACGCGCTACTAGAGCTCGCTAAGCACGACGCGTCGCCTGCTTTGGTGTCAATGCCCATTCATACGCTGCCTTGAGAACACGCACCGGCTGCGATGTCGAATGGGCCAGAAGCTTGATTCGAGCCGGTACTGTCCTTGATGAGAAGCTGACACGCCGTCCCTGAGCACATGTTGTCGTGGGATCCTCCGCTTTACAGGAAGAAAGCACGCACCGGCAGGTTCTAGTACTTTCCAGGTTAAAGATGTGTTGACGAGCTGCCCGAAATTAACGAGGACGGTCTGATCATCGGTTTTCACGAGTCTCTCATGAGGATGAGTTGTGAAGCACGATGCTTGACTTGGAGTAGACGTACAACTGAGATGGGTAAAATAAACCTCCATCCGTTCTCACTGTCATTTAAAAGCACGCACGATGAAATACGGAGCTTCGGAGACATCGCATCAGCGAACGTATTGTGTGCGATAACAACGAGACTTACCTATTCCTCCACCCCATGTCAGCAAAGACGGCTGACAAACGGCTACCGAAGCTCAAGCACAAGAATACAACGAGCAAGAACAAAGCGACAGACTGGGCGTAGGACTTTCAATCGTTTGTGAGCCTCTTGATTTACGACCAGGTGAGAGTCGAGCTACTTACAAAGGCGTGTTGATGATCAATTCAGTTTGACCCAGAGCGACGTTGAAGAACGTAGCCAGGGCAAAAAGCGAGGCAAGCATGGTTGTAGACCGTGCGGCAAACTAGCCAGTGGAGAGAAGGAAGAAGCAGGGTCTGTGTTGGGGCCGATGGTAAGTAGATATTCCCCGCCAAGATCCCACACATTTCGCACTCAATCTCCGCAAATCTCGCTCATTTCCACAGGTCGGGTTAGAATCGGAGTTCGTAGTCTCCATCCAGCTTTGGGCCCTGCGCACGGTTTTGGCGCTGTCCTGGGCTTTGAATTGGACGGCGTGCCGCTTGTATACCACAAACGGTAGTCTGAAGCGAGTAGCTGGCCAGTATAGGTTGTTTTCGTGTTCCCAGAGAATCAAGATTTGGCCGCTCAATCGACGAATACACCGAGCAAAGAGGCGGAGACTCGGATGAGCAAGCTCGGCCATCTAACACGTGTTTGCGTCTCAGTCGGCTTGGTTAAATTGAAGCCAAACATTCCTTCGAGGACTGCGGAACTGATATATCAACGGAGGCGCCAAAAGGTGAGTGCATGCTCACCGCATCTTTAGTCTGTGGAACCCTGATATTTGGCCCGGGGAGGGCTAGACAGTCTCTCAAACTCCCATGTGCATTCGCACAACCCACATGATGCTTCAATTGGCCGCAAACTTGAAGGCTGAGGAAATCAGCCACTGTACATATGAAGCAAAGGCGGGTTTGCATTAATCGACACGGGCGTATGCTGAATGGCGGTGCTGTGCCAGACGTGACCGCTGTGTGACTTGACGCGTTGCCAATCTTGCATGTTTCTATCGCGTACCGGTACGGGACAGTTCGTCACGCATCGCATTCCCCACAAACGGTGCGGGCTACGGTCCTCCATCCTTTTTCGAGCGTACTTCCGCTATCGACATCCTGGCCTCCACTCCGCAATACGGATAGCGAGAACGTCACAGCGATGCCATCAGCGTACAGAAACCGGGTTTCTTGTTATCCACTGAAGCTGACTTTGGATCAGCTGCCAAGCATTTGCTCTCAAGCATTCACTCCGCACCCGGATGAGCGGATGCACGGATGAACAGCGCACAGGACGTCCCGCTCCGTAGTCGCGATGGGATATCAATGCATGCGCAGTCAAGCCCTGAATCTTTCTGCACGCAATCCGTTCAAATAGCTCCTCGAATGTTGCAATGTTACAGAATAATCCCGCATCTTCTGCACTTCCATGTCGCCGCCCACGAAATGGTTCGAAACGCCATATGCGCTCATCGACCTCCCGTCGCGACCAACGACTATCGACGACCCTCGCGCACCTGTGCGTGGCTGCCACGTTCAATCTAGCCGCATCTCTGCTCACTTCGCTCCCACTTTTCTGCAGGAATCAATCGTCGAAAATGTCGCGCGCAATATGGTCTTCGTGCACAACTTCCTCCTGCGGGGACTGAACAGCATATACGCACAAGCGCCATACGTCACCGCCCCAGACGTGCCCTCCTTCCTCAACTACATCAAAACTTGGACGGTCGCTCTGCAAGTGCACCACGACGGCGAGGAGGACCACCTCTTCCCGTTCATCGCGAAAGAGACGGGGCAGGGGGACTTGATGGCGGGGAATATCGCAGGGCACGCGGCGTTTCACGAAGGTCTGGATCGCTTCGTCGCTCTGGTGGCCGAGCTCCAGCAGGACGCGAGCAAGTACGATGGCAGGAGGATCGTGGAGGTCGTCGGCGCGTTCGGTGGATTGCTGAGGGATCATCTAGCGGACGAGATTCCAACACTGCTCGCGCTCGCACCGTACGGTGCGAGATTAGCTGCTGGCTTAGAGGCGGAAATGAGGCGAGATGGGATAGACAGCATGGTGAGCTTGCTGTCTTTGTGCTTTGACTGAACTGACTGGTGGTCACAGAGGAAGTGCGGTCTAACCCAGGGCGTCATTCAAATCTTTTGCCTCGATGATAACACCTGGGAGAATGGGGCGACCAGGGCGTTCCCTCCCATCCCATCACCAGTCGCTGTCGTGCTCCGTAGAGGCCTCTATCTCTTGCACCATGACTGGTGGAGATTCGCGTCGAGCGACCAGTTCGGGAATCCCAGAGCACAGCCTTACGCACGACCGCTGGCGAACTAATAAAATTGAAATGTGATACGTTATGTCAAGTTGCATACTTTGACTTCTGTTCAGGTCTCTGGTATACATCACTGCATGTCTTTGCCTTTTAGTGTTCGACCCATATGCTCAGATGCTCACTACGTATCTGCTACGAGCAGAAAGTATATATCGTGATGACTCCAATTCGTGAATTCCCGAGCATATGCGGATACAAGGGCCATAATATACAGTATCAACAAGCAAGACAGCACATGGATAAACTAGGATAACATCGCGTAGAACAGCAAGCAAAACAACGAGAGCGTATGGACAGAACAGCACAAAACGGTACTATAACAATAACGACAACGCAAAACAGCAGATACATGAAACGGACGTAGAGCACATAGCATAGAAGATTCGAAAACGTGATCACGAATGCGGCTCGGAAGGATGGCAGAAGTGAGGACAAGCTACAGCCATTGAATGCTTCGGGCCACTGAACCAAGTGCGCAAGGACTCTTGCAGATTCAGTGGCCATTTGCTGGAGAGAACCATGTTGGAAGGCGGCGAAGGACGCTTAGGCCGAGGCTGGAGTTCAGCGAGCCGCGCTGCCCGCTCGACAAACTTCGAGAACAAGCGGCGTTCCTTGGGCACAGGATGTGTCCTGCTGGAGGCAATCCCACGAAACTCGGCTCCCGGTCTCGGCCGCGGACTGGGCTTTCCTGTCGATTCGGGACTGGTGCGACACCCGAGTTCGTGCTTGAATGGCGCGTGGCACTGGACCCATTCTCGCAGCGCATCAGCGAGAGTCCTCAGTTTGCGATACTGTCGACGGGCGGGCGTGCGGGGATCAGACTCCTTGGCTGTGAGATGCTCGAAGTATTGGTCGGTGGGCATGTTTCCCGGGAGCGTTTGGGAGCGTTTGGGAGCATTCGCCTCGAGTTGCGCTCTGATTCGGGCACCTCCGTTAGAATTGAATTCATCCCATCGTTGTTGATGTCTTTCCCAAACAGCGGCCCGCTCCTTGTCCAGAGCTCGAGCAACTGCATCCGCGACCTCGCCGACGCTGATATCCTGGCTCGATGCTACAAGATCGATGATGCAGCGGGCCATCGACACCTGAGTGCCCTCCGAGTACGAAGTCAGCTGCGAATCTTCGCAAGACGAGATACAAAGGACATTCGTGGCGATAGGTCGTTTGTGGCCCATGACAGAGATGCCACGCTGAACTCTGCTGCGACAAGCTCCGTCGCATCCCGGGTAGGACAAAGCCGACAAGGGACTGCCGCATCTCGGCAGAGGTTCCCAGTGCGCGGGGTCGATCGAATGTGTGACGGGAATGTTCTCCTTGTCCAAAGACATCTGCCGGCTCGGGGAAACGACAGTGACCTCGGATGTTCTACGTCGAAGAGCACTCCGGTTAATAGTGGCGGAAGTTGATTTCGGCTCCTGGTTTGACCCAGGATTTGCATTACAATGTGTGTGTTCGATATCTGGGGCGATGATTCAGCGCGCGTACTCGAAGGCACCCAGCAAGCAAGCATACCTAACAAAGTGCCGGAGTGACATGAGTCCAAGATCGCCACGAGAAAAGAGTCCTTCGGTAGCGGGACCACTAGATAACGATTCAAAATCTAAGCGAGGTCATTATTCAGACAGGAATAAGTTGATAAAGAGTGAGTCGTACATTATCGATTATCATCCTTCCATCACGGGTGATCAAGACTTCATCCATGTCGTCTTCTTCAGTCCCACGCGCATTGTAGGTCTGAGCAGTGTGGCCTGCGTCTGAAAATGTGTGAATTAGCGGCGAAAGAACTCTCCTGGGTTGATCGACACGCACAGAAGAAACAGACACGGTCCTCAGATCGTACCCGCGTGCCCAAAGCCCGGATTTCGCGCAACTGGGAGGGAGATCAGCAACAAGCTGGAAGAAAAGTGTTACGTGAGTAACGCACAATATTGTTGTGCGTGGGGACGATAGACCCTGCTTTTCCGTCGTCCATCAAGCGGATGATGTTTTCGGGTGGGTATCCGTGTCTGTTCTGCAGGTCAGGACATGTAGAACCCCACGGAAGGACTTACACAGTTGTGAGGACGTCATAAAGCTTCTCCGCGTCCTCATGGATGCCAGGTAGCGGAGGATACTTCTCAGCCACGACCGGTGCTTCACCGGGCCGCAAGGCCATGACGTCGGAGGGGATTTCGAGCGATGCAGAATCACGAATGGCGATGATCATGCCCCATTTCTTCCCGGTGGAGGGCGGAGAGGGAGGCGACGGGACGGTCGGGGGGTCACCTTCGAGCTGTCCAAGTGCGTGGACAGGCTGTGCCATGGCCACGGCACTTGCGCCAGCGAGGCTTTGCATGGGGTAGGAGGGGCGTCGAGAGGGAGTCGGTGGCATGCTGTAGAGGGACTGTATCGATGAAAAGAGAGGGGGGATGAGATGCCTCCCTCTCTTTTTATCTGAGGGCAGTGCAGTAGCAGTATGCGCTACCGCATCTGTTCCGATGTATGTTTTGAGGCAAGGTTGCGCGGAGGGATACGGGCTGATTTACAGCAAATCTCCAATGCACAGCAGAGGAACCGGATGCGGGGGGCGGACGAGTCACTTAGAAGGCTGTGGAAGTAGCGAACGCACGAATTGGTGGCGTAGACCGAGCAGAAGATGGTGTTTGGGTTCCCGCTGATCATGATCTAATCTGGTACTTCCAGAGTCATGTGCCGTCCAGCCCGAGAAATATCGCGAGGATGTGTTTCTCCGGTATCCTTGTGAGTACATTCCTGCAGACAGCATATAGTCCCACAATCGACTCCTTCAATTGTAGGTTGCAGAACCCAATGGCTTGACTTGAAGCATACCATGTACTTCGTAGTTCGGCGCTCGAATCCTCGATCGGATGATACGCGCCGCCAGTGTGCTGAGCATGATGCAAAGTGGCCCGATAACACATTCAATGGGTGTGTGCGAAATCCACATCTACATAAGAACATTCTCAAATTGCCAGGGATCATCTCTGTCCGGCTCTCCGGTCCACAGCGCATCGTCTCCTCTGCCTTCCAGCGGCGTCCAATCAGTGTACGCGCCATGCAAAATACCCAAATACTCTCGCTGTACCTCCAGGCACCGCTGGAAGTCCATGTCGTCCGCTTCAACAATCCCCATCTCCGGATTCTCGAGCATCCAGACGATCCCCGCGAGCACAGCGCTGCTCACTTGCAGCCCGGTCGCGTTTTGATTCGGCACAAGCTGTTTCGCCTCGTCAATGGACAGCGTGCTCCCGAACCAGTACGCGTTGAGAGCGTGTCCGTAGAGCAGAACTCCGAGGGAGTCGACACCCCCAGGGAGGATGTCGTCGGGACCGAGGATATGAGACTTTGCTTGCGGCTTCCAGGCTCGGCCGGCGAGCTCATTCAAGCTCAAGACCGCACACTCCGCCGGGTGGTACGCGTAATGACACGTCGGGCGATACAAGACTCCTGGCTCCCGAACAGTGAGGTAGTCGGAAATGCTCAACGCCTCCGTATGCGTCTGCAGGAACGCAACCTGCGGCCCGGAGGTGGGTGTCCAGCTGCGGATCCGGGTGGATGCCCCAGGCTGGGCAAGGTAGATAGCTAGATCCGGTGCGCTGCCACCGATGTCGTGCATGTGTCCGTTGTGCGGCAGGCGCTTCTCGTGGGTTCCCCAGGCAAGTTCGGCTGGCTGCAACGCCTCGGAAAGGAAGCCTTCCACCGACCAGGTGTTAGTGAACACCCCCATTTCCTTCGGCGTCTTCGGCTGCTGGGTGTCCCGCTCTGCGATGTGGATCCCCTTGACACCTAGACTCATGGCCAGTTCCGCCCATCCCTCCCGCGTCGTCGGCTGCGCGGCGGGGTGTCCAGTGTCACGAGCGATATCAACCAGTGCTTGCTTCACAAGCCAAGAAACCATCCCCGGGTTAGCTCCACAGGCGGAGACAGCTGTCGGACCACCTGGCCGGCGAGAACGAAGGTCGATCAGTGTCTCTCGAAGAGCGTAGTTCGACCGCTCGGACATCGAAAGGTCTGGATCGTAGTAGAAGCCGGGCCAAGGTTCGATGACAGTGTCGATATACAGCGCGTTGATGTCCTTGCACATCTCCATGAGTGCTACGGACGAGACATCGACCGAGAGATGGATGAGAAGGCCGCCGTTTGAGACGAGTGGAGTGAGCACGTCCAGATAGTTCTCCTGTGTCACGGCCAGCTGAACGAAGCGCATGCCACGCTCGGTGACGAGATGGCGGCCAGAGTCGTCGGGATCGATGACGGTAACTTTGCTCTTGTCCAGCGCAACATGGCGGTCAAGCAACGGGAGAAATCCGCGGCCGATAGAACCGAATCCTACGATCACGATTGAGCCGTCGAACTTGGAGTGGATGGCCATATGTATCGTCCCGTGCGACCGAGGATCTTAAATACAGAAACCGCACAACCCACTTCCGTCGCAATCGGGGGCCACGAGTTGGACCCAAGTCGTAAGGGGCGTCTGGCCCTTCCCTCTAGGTGAACATTGCCTTCGAGGTGAGGCGCAGCTTAGCGTGCAGTTAAGAAACTTCATACATCTGGAATGGGTCAAAGTGGAAATGAGGCGAACACCCGCTCACTCGTCCTTAACGTCGAATTCAGATAGACAGGCGAGGCCGGTGCAGTCGGGATTTCTGGCAGCTGCGACGCTTTCAACTTGAGTTCAGGTCCTGGCTAGAGTCGGACTGTGACCCAGTGCAGCCCGCGGTCAAGTAGGACCCGTTCAGGTCGAGCGGCAAGGCCGTAGATAGCCAAAGTCAGGTTTGATGAAGAGCAGCAATACGACAGCAAGTCTTGTCCGAGTGCAACGGCGCCACTGACGATGTTGGCGAAGCTCAAAGAGACCTCACATTGGGCTTCTTTCGTTCATTGAGAAGTCTGCATGCTGTCTTCCATGTACGTCACTGGCAGCTCTGGGCGAAGTCGGGACAAGTGTTTCCAATCGCTTCAGTGCGTTTCTAGCTGGTGAAAAAAGGCCGCAACGCTGATGTCCACGAACAAAAAAGCGCTTGTCCATCCCATGTGGATGCAGTTACAATCAAGTGCCCCCGTGTCTGCTGAATTCGGCTCATACGTCGACTCGAGGTTCTGGACTTGATCAGAGGACGAAAAAGGCGCGATAGGCAGATTCTCCATGACTACCTATTCCAGGTCCTCGACTGCTTGAACCTGCTTTACCACCCTCGCAGGAGACCCGACAGCCACAGAGAAGGCGGGGATATCGCGAGTCACCACACTCCCCGCACCGACAGTGCATCCCTTCCCGATGCTGACGCCAGGCATGATGGTCACGTTGCCGCCAATCCAGCAGTCGTCGCCAATCGACACGGGCCGCGCGTATTCCTCGCCGCGGCGCCGCGACTGCACGTCGGTTTCGTGCGTGGCCGAGAAGATGGAGACGAACGGGCCGAAGAGGACGCGATCGCCAATGGTGACCATGCTGCAGTCGAGAATCACTAGGCTTCGACGCGGGTTAGCTGGGACAGTGACTTGCCCGAGTTGTGACTAGTGCGCACTTGAAATTGGAGTAGAAGCCCTCTCCGACGGAGATATTGCAGCCGTAGTCGACGTTCAGCGGCGGCTCGATGAACACGCCCTTCCCGACCTTCCCAAACATCTCCTTCAGCACAGCTTCCCGGTCAGCGACGAGCGAATCGGGTGTCGCGTCATCGGGGAAGTGGTGATTGTACTTGTGCATGAGCTGCCGCGCGCGAAAGCGCCCGGCCACGAGCTCCGGGGCTATGGAGTTATATCTAAGTCATCGATTGTGTTGTCGTCAGGACGAGCTACCAGTGCAGTGGACGCGTATGTACATACAAGACGCCTGATATCATTTTCTCATAGTCGTCGCACCAGGGCGTGTTTTCGAGAGTCCTGGCTTGCTCGATGATCGCTGCATCTTTGTGGAGACTGGCCATGCTGAAGACTGAGGTGATTCAGGTGAACGCGGACGGTCAATAACCACGACCGGGGTTAAGTCCGATCCGAAGTTGATCCGAACCTGTTGGAGGTGAAATAAATTATATAATTCAGCACCAATTTGTGTTATTGAACCTTTCATCTGTTGTACATATTGATACTTACATCCCAAAGAAAACCGCGAACACGCCTCCAGGTCAGAGCTTCGCTTCAGCGTCCAAAAGAAACTTTTTCGGAATTTCAACATATCTTGACCGCAGAAACTCGGCGACATTCTTGCCGAGGCAGTCGACGCTCATCGTGCAGCTAACACCCCGGTCGAGGTGATTGTGAAGCAAGAAATGAACGGCTCGGATGTTCGGCAACTCGAATCGGTCCTGAAAAAAAATGAGCGCAGGATCCCTTGTTGTGAGCAGAGAATCTTACAATTTTATCACCAGTGTATTCGCTCGCCAGCAGCTCCTTCATGCGCTCAACGTCGAGAAACCTTCTCAGCCATTCCCACTGCTCGTCATCGCTGACAAAGATACCGACATTGGCATCGGATCCCTTGTCTCCCGAACGGGCATTGGCGACGAGGCCCAGCGGCACGCGGACTGTGGGCCCGAAGTAGAGTCCGGCCAGTTTGGACTCTGGATGGGAGGGCTGCTGTCTTGGGAATTGCCAAGTCACAATCGGCGGCGGAAGATCAACCGTCTTGCCGTCATTCAGGTGTGCTCTGTGTCGGATCTCGTGCTGATCAAGCGAAGTCACGAAATATTCGTAGACAGGTCGAGGGAGGGCGGGGCGGATGTCCAGATTACAAGTTCCACCGGGGTAAGACGACATGATCAGATCCATCAAAGGACGCGCGAATTTCAGCGGGCCTAGAGCTTCGGCATCCTGGGCCTGTGCTACAATGCGCAGGGTGACAGTCGCCATATTCTGCGTTCGTGCATTCGGTTCAGAAGAGCCGAGCAGTTGGAATTGGATAGAGCTGAGTTGTTCGATCTGTTCCCGAAGTTCGTAACGAACTTGTTTCTCCATTAGGCGGGCTTTCGCCGGGATATCGAGCCCAACGAGATAAAAGAGCATTTCCGCCTGGTAGCCGCCGAGCGCAGTGATGCCGACTTTTGTCGTGCGTGGCGGCGGTGCCCATTTGATGCCGCTCACAGAGACGCGGTCTACCCCGATTTGAGTGAAAGAAATATCGCTCAATATCGCGGTGACCTACGCATATAAGCTCAGTTGAGACTGCGGAGCAAGTAGAAAACTCACATCAGAGTTGAAATACCAAGGTCCTTGGATCTCGTACAGAAGCTGGGCCGTGCAAGTCTCAACAGTGACCATGCCGCCTGTTCCTCTCTGTTTGGTGATCACGACCTCGCCCCCTGCGCCAATTTCGGCAATAGGGTAGCCCAGATCGAGCCACTTGTCGCGATGTTCGAGTTCTCTGAACCCGCTGAAGTTGCCTCCCGTAACGTAGGTCGAGCATTCGATGAGATGTCCCGCAACGAGCGCCTTGGATATCTGGGGCAGACTATTGCGGAGCCAGCCGTGGTACCATGCTGCGGCGCCAATGACCAACGAAGCGTCCGACACCCGGCCGCACAAAACGATATCCGCCCCATATGTCAGGGCAGCAGCTATGCCCAGACCGCCGAGGTAGGCTTGAGCGGCGATCGGCTTGAACGGCCAAGCAGCGAGTGACTGATCCGTGTGCACATTTGAGAATGTCTTCAGATCGCGATCAAGCATGGTGGCAAGCACGTCGTCTCCTGATATCCACGCGACATTCAGAGAAACACCCCGTCTTCTGAGAAGCTCGGTCACGTCCCGATGGAGTCCACACGTATCGGATCCCCCAGCATTCACGACAATCTACAGGCATAGTAAGATCGCGCACTACGCATAATGTATGCAGCGAGACGCACCTTGATGCGATACTTGGCTACATCCTCCAGCGCGAGTTCCAAGCTCTCCAGAAAGCCTGCATCGTACGCCACTTCTTCCGTGCCCCCCGCCCTCTTGGCCGCCATCGTCGTCATATTCCCCTCCGACATGAAGTCGCCAATGATCACGTCCACCGGGTCATTCGGGAACGCGGCGGCAATCTTAGCGAATCCAGAGCGGCGATCCACAGTAGATCCAGAGCCGCCTGGGATTGAGACTGAGTGCACCGGAGTGGCCAAGTTTCGAGCAAACACTCACCAGCTATGCGAACGGGCGGCCTCGTCATCGTGGAAAATGAAGAGGTGCAAGTCTGTACACTCCACTACTTATGACCCGGACGTTGCAATCTCCGCATTCCATCCGCGGACCGCGGGATCGCTCAAAAAGCGGTTTTCACGTGTGACGCATCTGATTTCTGGAACGTTGGCCGGCCATAGCCTGCCAGAGCGTGGCATAAGCGAGCATAAACGCCAGCCAGAGCGATGACGCACGGTCAAGCATGTCAAGTTTTGTATACAAAATCAGTGATGATTTCTGCGGCTGTGTTATCATACGGGCCGCCATCCCCGCCTTGTAGATCCGACTCTGAGGCGTATCTCACTGCTTCATTTCTCCGTTCCATGGACTCCATTTTTTGCTCCGGTATGTCAGGCACAATTGAGAAAATGTACCCACCTCCTCCAGGGGGTCTTGGGGTGCATTTCCAGCACGTTGGGAAACTCACGAATTTCCTTTTACTGACGTGTTCTTCAGTCTTCTTGATCTCTAACGTGCCAAAACAATTATTCCGTGTCCTGATTCTACTGGGTCGCGAATTGAGCTGCACTTGTGCAAGAGCCGAACCCAGACCGGGACAATCGGGGGAGGATGTCCCAGGGACAATTCAATTATTGACATTGACCACGATCACTTCTGTGTTGAAAGTCATTGCATCGAGTTCATCAATTAATACATCATTCTAAATACAATCTTCCTCGTCGACTCAAATCATGTAGACGTATTCGGGTGACCGATCTCCCAGCTCCCGCATCTGCTGTTTCGTGTAGCTCGGCCCGGTGGGCGACTCGAGGCCGTTTTCCGTCAGGACGTAAGCCATTGCCGCGCGTTTCTTGTTGATGCGGCGGTATGTGACGACGATGATCGGTGCGCAAATCAAGCCGATGCCGACGAAAATCATCTCGAGGCCATCTGGACATCATATCAGTATTGGCCGAAGGTTTGAACAAAAAAGAAAGGAGCTCACGGCCGAGTCGGAAATGAGGGCGGTCCTGGGTGCGGTAGATGTTGCTCGCAATCGCACCGCTAAATAAGAACTATGAGCGCCAGCTGCCGCGAGCGGCTGTATAACACACCCAAAGTTCCCGATTCCAATCTGCAACGCCAGCCCGACTCCGCGCTTGTACTGCCCGCTCAAATTGCTGCCGAGCCAGGCGACAGCACCCGGGAAGCCAGCGTAGCTGCCGCCAACGATCAGGAACGTTCCAAAGTATTTCACACCAGGAGGCGCGTCGGAAATGTTGATGACGAATCCAATTAGACACATCAACAGAGAGATGTAGATGAACGGAGACCGCATCTTCAGCTTGTCTGACCAGAACGCAAACACGAACAAAAGCATGGCTGGTGTACATCCTCAGCACGGGAATCGCGGAGACATTCGTTTGAAGACTCACTAGCGAAGAGCTGCAGAGAGATGCATCAGAAGCATGATCGTTCATACGTTTTCTTTGACTCACATAGGCCGGAACTGTAAGCAATTGAGAGATAGCAGTCGAATGTCCGAACCTGGAGAAGGTGAGACAGACTCAAAATACGTACTCAGTGTTGCTCACGTGCTGATAATCGTCCTGCGAGTTGATTCAGTCGACACATCCGGAGCGAGAATGTGCAAATCACTTACGGGAGGAAGAGGGTAATTCCGTAAACTACAAGGAGGATTCAGAAAGTGCGTGTGGGTACTGCATGCACGACTTACGAGGCGTGACAAGGGAGACGTAAACCAGCGTGTGCATCCAGACCTTCAACATGTCAGTTAAAAGCATGCCTCCGATGAAATTTGACACACCTGCCAATCAGTGAAGGCCTGGAACAAGTGCCGGAACTCGAACTGCTCCTCCTCCCCGACAGACGAGTTGTCGAATTCTAGACACCAGATGAGCGACGAGCCGACACGAATATCCTGTAATGTGCCCACTCTTTCTCCAGATCACGAAGTCGCGCTCAGCCGGCTCGAGGAACTTGGCCGTAGCTGGGAAGTCCACGATCACGAAGAACGCCAGAACACCGGCGAGGACGGTGGCGATCCCCTCCTGCGATCCTCATCAACGACAGATACATCGGCACTTGATTGGACTGGCACGAACCAGAATGAAGATCCACGACCAGCCCCGCAGGCCAGAAATGCCATTCATGAAGTTGATTCCGTAGGCGAGCAGACCACTGAACGCTCCTGCAAGCGAGGCCGCACCGAAGAACAAACCAATCCGCCACTGCAGCATCGCACGTGGGTACCATAGGGACAGGCTGATTACGGTGAGTGTCAAGAAAGCTCGCAAAGTGCTGTAATGTTACTCACTAGTAGACGACACCGGGGAACAACCCGGCTTCGGCGACACCGAGGCAGACACGAACGCCGACGAGCTGCGGATATCTGATATGGATTCATAAGCAGATCAACATCCATCTGCACGAGTGTCTCACGTCTTGACGAGGCCCATTAGTGTCCTGTATCGGTTAGGATCATTTTGATAGCCGCCGGATTTGAGACAACTCACATGACAGTTCCCCAGAGCACCTGACCCCGATCATTAGCCTGGGACCCATACTTCTCTATTGGAGGGGCTCACCGTAATCCCTGGGAGCCATCTGTGAATGACGTGAGTAAGCTGCCCTGAACACAAGCTAGACTGGGAATAATCCTCACAAGGATGGGCGAAACTTCTTCAACGCCAAACTAAAATAATGATGCCCGTCAGACACCGGATAGATACCAGCCCGGCAGGAACAACATACTTCGCCGGGCACTCGAAGACGCAATACGGCTTGATAGAGTCGTTCGGCATGTCTTCTCGATCGCTCTGAGGGAAGAACACTCACGATAAAGTACATGGTCTGGGAAAAGATAAGCGCCACATCGCGAACCGAACACCGGAAGCATACCAAGGCGATATTGTATTTGTTCCCTGTCAGGTTCAACTGTTCTTGCAGTCCGTCAAGTTTGGCGTTTCCTCAAGCAGAAGTCAGCAGATCGCTCAGGTGACGACTGGGGATGACATACCGATGTTTCCTGGAGACACGTTTTGGACATCTTCTCAAGTGTGATGAAGCGGCTCACGCACCTCGGTCCATAAAAGACAGCAGGTACAATAGACCCAGGATAGGCAGGAGACGAGCGTCGACCTATCGGCGACGGGTGGCGATTCAAGGTCAACGATCGAAGATTGAGACGGGCACTCACCTTGCGCCAAAGCTTGCGCTCCTCCTGCTCCGTGAGCTCGAGGGGGCAAGCGTCTCTTGCGAGCCCGAAGCCCTCCTTCACAGGCGAAGACTCGACGATGGCCCCCTTCTCGAGAGACGAGGTGGAGGGAGTTCTAGAGGACATGCCGAGCAGAGAGAGCACGGGTGGACGATGGAGGACGCAGTGGGAACTCCAAAGTTAGCCGGCCACCTCCTGACCCGTATTTATACTTGGTAGTGAATGCCAGCTCCATGGCATTCGATTGGATAAGACCAAGTTGGATTAGTGTCAGCTGATGAGGAGCGTCGGCAAGGCGTGTACAAATCGCGAACTTGACCCTCCCAAGGGTGGTTATAGACAAGAGCGCGATTAGATCGTTGTAAGACCTGTTGATTACCAATCCAAACACGTGTAAGTATAGATGCAGTACCACGTTACCGCGTATGATCCGGCGTGAGACCGGGATCCCTTATCCATATCCGCGCGACTTCAGCATCAAAGAGAAGACGACGCAAACACCTTCTTCTTGCACTCACTCCAAAGGCATTCTGATTCATCCCCCAGAATCGCAAACGCTAAACGAGTCAAGCCTCCAAAATCGTTGTCATATTAGTACCCAAACAGCTGCTCCGCACTGAGATCTCCCCACTGTCAAGGTCTTTACCTCGGAAAAGCGCAAAGCATCGCGGTTTTGCATTTGAATCTTCGATGCGATGTTACGGGCATTCGAATTTCTTCGTTCCTGACCGTCGCCCGCCACTTGAAGCTAAGCAGGGGGTCACGCCGAGAATCGAGTGCAAAATCGAATGCAAAACTGAGGTCGGTGTCATGGCTTGGCAAAAACCTCATTCTTGGGTAGCGGTTCTGGAGAATAGTTCCACATCATCATCCTTGTCCGCGACCCGAAACCATTATTAGAAATGCCTCCTGCCGACGCCATCGCTGTGGCTACGTGCTCTCGTACAAACGCTTCAGTCATTCACAGCTCATGTTAGAATCCTCGCTGACACGCATTGACCTTGATTGTGCCACTGCTGACATTGCTTCTCCTACGGAATCGATGTCGAATAGCCTTGTCCTCCAGATTTCCCAGGCACCGGTCCGAATCTTGACCAAGAACTTGAGCCCGGCGTACCTGAAGCCTGAGTCTGGAACTCTTGATGCTTACCTAGATTCTTGCAAGATTTTTGTAAGAGAGCCGACATGCTAATTCCCATCACGATGCGTCACAAGTGCTGCCTAGATTCATAATCTCGTCGGCCAAGATGACCATGATCCATGGAATTCATCTGGATCAACGATGGCCAGCGCTCTGCGCTGAACGACGCGCTTGTGTTGAAACTCATTTCTACCGTACCCTGTCATCACCTGACCGTGATTTTGATCTGACCGTGAATTGTCGATAGCCTCATTGCGATTTCCCTTGGACCCTGCCAACGCCCCGACTCTTTCAACATTCAATTGCTCCAGAACTGCGCGTGCATCCACGAAGCACGAGGACTTGTCTCTAGACTGTTGATCGGATGTGTCTTTAGTGCCCTCCCGTCAGGACGGGAAACCTGGGGATCTGGGCTGCCGGACTATCGCGCTAGACTGAATCGCGCTTGAGTTGGTATTTTCAAATACAGGATACAAGTATGACGAGTTAAATAAATGGAAGACAGCCCCTCTGCGGGTCACTTTACTCCTCGTCGGTAATGTCGGACCATTCACTGTGCACACTGCCTTCTGGATCCGAATCTACCACCTCAGTAACGAGTGAGACAAAGGCCGCAAAAATGCGCTCGGGACGATGGAGCCGCTTCTGCATCCTTCCGCGGATCCATTCAGCCTTTTTCCGATGCGTTTCTTGCTCATAGTCCGTCTGCACGTCAAACACCGCCGTGTCCAATACCTGCAAGGCATCCAGATCGTCGATGAACCCGATGTGCTCATGGATGGCCCAGGAAAGCATCCCATTGAGCACCGCGCAATCCGCAAGAGTATCCCTCGGATACTTGCGAAGAAATCCGGAGACGGCGTCCGCAAATCGACGTTGCATTTTGGCCGGGAGCACCGAATAAATGCCGTCGACTGTCTGGACAGATTCTAGCGTCTCGAAGTCAAGCTCGCGCTGTGTTTGATCTGGATTCCGGGCGCACTGCTCGAAGAAGGTGGTCACGACACCCACACGCGCACAGTCGAGAATCGAATCACGAGTTGCCTGAGTCGATGCTCGCTCCATCCACGTCTCGTTGTCGAGGCAGATCACTGCGCGAAACCAGTCCTCGTCCTCGAAGATACTGAGCAATTTCGCCGACTCCGACAAATCCCCCGATTGTGACCAATCCAAACGGAAACGTTTGAGCACGACGCCCTGGACGATGACAGCCAAACGGTGCGGGTGTATGTCTGCTGCTTGAGCGCCAGCACTGTGCAGAGTGCGGAGGACCAAAAGATGGGTATCGAGGTCTCCCGGGTATCTTGTGAGTTCGGCGACGTCGAGAGAGTGACGGTAAATCAGCTGGAGGAAGTCAAAAGATTCCTCGAGATGGGATCGCAGCGTAAAATTGAAGCATAGGCAGTGGCATAGGAATCGGGTGTAAGTATACTTTGGACCGGGCTGTGAGATGGCGTCCGGGTCTGAAGGGGCAGCGAGGGAGGGATGTCGGACAAGGAACGGCGCAAGACCAGAGATCCAAACCACCCCTTGATCCGTCGATGCCCCAGCAATTGCGGTGATCATCTGGCGAGCGGAAAAGACGAGGTTGTCCGCTGCTTCATCCGACCCAGATTGGATCAGCTCTTCGAGAGCGGCGTGAAGAGCGATGTAGCCGTCCGGTCCCGTGAAGAGGATTTGTGACCGGTGAAAGAGCGAGTTGGTTACATCCCGTTCGAAGCTGGTAGGGCTTTTGGAAAGTGCCACCAGATACTGCACATACGTCCATTTCTTCTCCGCTTGCCGTTGCTCCCCTGCTTTGGTCCGGTCGTAGTTGCTCGTCTGCGTGAGAGGGTACTCGGGCGCTCGTTGCCGGCTCTCAGACTCGATGATATTCAGACGAACCAGAGCCAACACGGCGAGGACCATGCTCTGCACTTCGTCAGAATCAAGGAATCTCGAGCCGAGCAGCACTTTGTCAGGATCGGTGTCTCCAATCGGGTACTCCAAAGGCGACTCGGTATGTACACAGAACGCGCAGATGGCCCAGATGGCCCGGAGCACAGAGAGCTGTCGGCGGACCCGGACCGAGTGCTCGAGCAGATTGCTGTTGGAGCCAGCCATGAAATCCGCAAGACGCTGGCAAAGACGGACTTGCGGATCCTGCAACAAACTCTTGAACTGTTCCAGATACACGCTGCGAGGCTTGCCTCTATCGAAATCCCAGACCGTCTGGGGGAGGCCCTCAACAAGTGAATCAAGCGCGTCGTCATCAGAGAGAGTGCGGATAGCCCAAGCAACAGCTCGGGTCTCTGTCTCGACAGTGGGATGCAGTGCTGCTGATTTCAGGGCGTCCACCATGCTCTGGGACTGCGGACGAGTGTCTGCAGGTGCAGGAGGTCTGGAAGGGGCCTCGGGGTCCGTCACAGCGACTCTCATTCGAACACAAGCCTTGAGAACATAAGCCCTCAGCACGCGTCCCAAGCTTTGATTTAGCGACCATAGGATTCGCGACAGTGGCGTCTGGAATGGACTGTCGAAGAAGAACAGCGGGAGTAAGGTGAACGTTCCATAGACCGAGACGAAGACGAGCAGCAAAGCGGAGGAGATTCCCATGATGATGTTGTTGACAGGCACAAGAAAGGTCACCAGACCTGCGAAGAACAGGACCAAGGCCCCATGAAGGAGGAGCGGGGGAACACCGACGACGGTATGCATATTGAAGCGTCGCAGACCATAGTAGAGATACATGTAGACACGCGACCGGACAGAGGGGGAGGAGAACATGGATGTGCGGTGCTGGTACTCCTGCGCCCACTGCTTGACCAGTGTCGCGACGAGTGCGCACGACAAGCTGAGCGCGAGGCTCGTGAACCAAAGTGCGTTGCAGACAAGGGAGGAGGGAGGGGGCGCGAAGGCAGCGGAGGCAGCGGAGGCAGGGGGTGCGTCTGCGACCGCTGTGCCGTTGTTCAGGTTCGCGAGCTGGTGAGAGATCTGGCTGAGCAGCACGACGGTCTGGATGCCCGGGTCGGGATTCAGCGTCTTGTAGCTTTCGATGACGAATGTTGCAACGACGCCGGAGAAGAGACCGGCCTGATGGGCCAGGTTCAGCGAGGGAATGAGATTGAAAAACGGACGGGGATGCACGAAGATCAGGAGACCATCCATCTCACTGCGCCAACCATCAATGAGACCGCGATCATAGCTTTGTGCCTCCGAGACGTAGACGCTCCAGAATTTGTTCCCGCTGGCCCTCTCGCGTTCGATACTTGCTTCGTCTGCCTGTCGTTCCTCAAGTTGTGGCATGGTCAACGGCGGGAGATAAACTGTTATGCCTTGTGTCTGAGCAGCGTTTCTCCATACACACTGCCCTACTAGAGAAAGGCCACGATTCACAGCAATCGAGTGCCCAATGCCTGATTGACGGAACTAGACACGGCTACTCAAGCCAGTGCAAGCTCGGGCGGCACAAAGATTGGCCGGTAGCGCTTGTTGGGGCACGCGAGTCAGCTCCCAGGAGATTGGCAAATCGCATCGAGCACTCGCAAAACAGCATCATTTCCCGGAGGCGCGCATGTGACCATTATTCGCCGAAGAACCGCAGTGAGCAAATAGGAAGTCGTGAAAATCAAGCCAGACGCATAATCTCGCAAGTGAGAGAGAAGAGTCGGATGCAGTTGGTCGCATGCGATGTCACGCAATCGTCTCTTCTCTCGCAGCTCTTCTCGAAATCGCACTGCCAAGGTCAATCCGATGCATAGTCATGTGGTGAACGGCTCCCCCGTCTCACACCGGCCGAGGCGTCTCTCCCCGTGGAACACCGTGCTCGCGCGCTCTGCAACGATATTAAATGGACGCTGAGCCTCGCCGTGGATGCGGTGCACACCAATTCGCAGACATGTGCGGTTCCCATCGTCCCCCAGAATGGTTGCTCACAGATGCCTCTCGTCCAGAGTCGTTTGAAGAAACGCGTGCTGTCAGACCACGTGAGGCTCGTCACGAGTTCGGCAACAACATTATGCACTCCCGTTCTCCGGCAACATCGACTTAGAACCTTGGACTATATGGTCAGCCGTTCCCCGCCATACTAGGAGATAGCCCGTCTGTGCGAGCTGTCCTTGGTGCAAGCCCGTGGGTTTCCGGTGCTGACATTTCAAGTCCAGCGACGGCGAGATACAGCCGCTGTGGTATTTCGATGCGCCAATGCAATCGACACGAGGGGACAGTTCGACGCCCATCGGTAACGCGCACGACCTGGCGTTTCTCTGCCTTGTCTTGTTCTTTGGTGCACTGGGTGACGTGGGACCGCCGTTCCCTACAGCCCACGATCCGAACATGGCGAAAACAGTCCCATACGCGGGTGCCGTAGTAGAGGCTCGGAGTACTATTATGCGTCAGTGGATTGCATCCGTTTCCTTTCCCGACTTGCCTAATCCGATCTTCCTCTCCCAGACCATGAATGTGCTGGGTGGGGTTTGAAAGCACCCGAGGTCTAGAAACAGCGTGCTGTCGTCTATGAGCTGTTGATCACAGATGGCTGGCAGGTGTGTCGGCTTCCTTGCGTTGGCTCTGTTTTTCTGTTCATTATGGCTCTCAGGTTCCGGCGACGGGCCGGCTGACGATACTCTCGCTGCATTTCGTGGACTGCGAGCCATCGCAGGACGTTGAGCCGACCCTGACCGATGAAGATGCTCTCGATCTTGATGCACCCCATTCACGATAGAATCCCCCTATGGGCATTCATGAGTCACTAGATGCCGACAATGTATCTACAAGGCCTGAGGCAACATGCGCGTCCATCAAATCAACACATCCAGCGCTACTCTACGTTGACCAATGCTTCTTTGGCATGCCATCTCCAACCACCCGAACAATCCGACCAAGAGCCCTCATCCCCGTCGTTCCTGGCCGGCTAACAGAGTGCATGGGGACTCCATTCTGCTCTGGGAAAGCGGCTCTAGGTGTATCCGTCTGAGATTGTTCGCTTCTGGGTGCTTTGGATCCATGCTTTCTCTACGTCGGTGAGTGGTCCTCCGCGAGTGTTTATCTGCCTCTTTATCTCGAACGCCCATAGATCATGTTCTTTTCCGTTATCACTCATGCGCCGCAATCCAAAGTGGCGCAGGCCATTCTGATTGAGCTGCAGAAGGCATACGAGCAGCTCGATCCAGGTGCCAAGATTTACCCAAGCTCCAGAGCACGCAAGTGCTTGCCGGTCATCCAGCGGCTGGTTGAACGGGCATTGCATCTGTTTGAAGAATCGCGCAACGGCGTTGTAGCGATGTTACATCTGGAAACCTTCCCGGGCCGAGAAGGACAAGCTGTCAATCCTTCAGCGGGAATACGCATGCTCTGACAAAAAGAGCTTAGCCGGCCGAAAATCCACTTTGTGGGTGCTCATTATCGGATTCGCCCAAGCAGCCGTTCGCGGACAACTCGTCGTTTGCGAGTGCATCCGAGTCTGATCAGCGAGCTGAACAGATTCCATGTCACGTGAACGCCCAGATCCAAGGAGGGTGTCACCCATTGGTTGACCCGCGCAGTATCAGCAACCAGCAACAAGAGGAAGGGCAGCTCGAGGAACAGCTTCGGTCGTGGCGTGTGTGGAGAGATGCGGCAGAAAGAGCCCCGAATGCAGCAGCGACAGCGACGGCCGGCCACATCCTCCTCGTCTTCGTCCCGTATCGTCTGGTAGCTGAGCGTGCCAGCCAAAGTCATCCGCACTCGCCCCTAACCGGTGTCCGGACCACAGAGCCATGTAAAGGGACACATCACTCTGCACATGCTATCAATAGCGGTCCTGGCAGCCGCAGCGGCAGTGACTATACCCGTGGTGCGGCTGCCAATACGAGCACTAGCTGGCGGCGCAGCGTTTCGACTCGCATTTCACCCTGGACGGCGCAGTGCGTGGGCTGCCTGCGGAATATATGAGACTGCGAGAGTATTGGCAGCAGATGTATCTGTCAAAGGTCGGGTCTCAGTCAGGTGCAAAATGTGAGCGGCAAACCGACTAGTTATGATATTGAAAACTTCAAGCGTGTGACTCAGCTTCTCTGGCTCAGTTGGTTAGAGCGCCAGTCTCATAAATTCATATGAGTGATGTTGCATCATCAATCTGGAGGTCAACAGTTCGACCCTGTTGAGGAGCAATGATAGTTTTGCTGCTTTCTGCTCTTGTCTTCCTTGTGTTCCCGCGGACATCCTGCCAATCGCCCTTCGTATTCATTCGCCAAATACTCCAGACCTGTCCATACTGGAGCGAAGTTATCGATGTTTTCGGATATATTCAACGGCAACGAAGCCAAGGCACTCATGCTCATGCATGGCAAGCCAGGCCTGGGCCTTCTAAAATTTACAAGCTATTTGGGTACAAGCCTACATTGGGCGAACCCACGGGCAAAACAAGACAGAACAAATATCAGAGAGATCGCAGGTCGTCCAAGCGGCCCAAGAGCAGGGAGGATAAGCCTGATGGCAGTGGCAATCAAACGTGCAGTCAGATGTAATATGACAAGGGGAGAGAGATTCACACACCGGGATGTGGATTGTCCCACTCGAATGGCGAGGGCCCCAAACTCTTCCCGAACCAGACGAGGCAATAGAATGACGCGAGAGAGAGCACAACTAGAACGACGAATAGGATTGACGCCCCGACGTATTCACCCCAGGTGCGCTCGCGCGGCTCGGGGGGCGCTCCTGATTGGTCGTGAGAGTCGTCATCATGAGAAGGGGTACGAGTGTGAGTCTGAGTGTTAGTGTGAGTGTGGGTGTGGGTGTAAGCGTGAGTATGAGCATGAGTTTCATGGTCGTGGTCGTGGTCGTGGTCGTGGTCTGGGTCTGGGTCTGGGTCGCGATCGTGCTTTAGGTCGCGTTCGTGGTCTTGGTCGTGGTTGTCGTTGTGGTCATGGTCGTCAGCCAAGCGATCCGGGAGGGTGTCATCCGGTTTATGACCAGTCGGCGGCGAGGTCGGCTCGCCTTGCGTTTTCTTGTTCTTGCCCTTATTTTTCTTCTTACCGCTCTTCTGCTTCTTCGCCGCGCCTGCGCCTGCGTCGTGACTAGGTCCCCCACCCCCGTGGAACGCACTTTCGGTATCCTCGATGATCGCCTCCAGTTGCTCGGCGCGCTCCCTCCACTCTCTGCCGATGTCCTCATCCGGGTGGTCTGACAGCAGGTGCATCAGATCGACCAATTCGTACGCGAAATCCAGGCGCTGCGACGGAGTAGAGGCGGATAGAAATTGCGACTCCATAGCGTTGTACGAGGGGAGGTGGATCTCAGTGTACATTTTGAGCCGCTTGGCATCTTGGTAGGTCTGTGAGGAGGGCGGATCGTCGCGCAGGATGTGTTCATAGGATCGTGTGCCACCGCTGTGGCGACGATGCTTGATACGAGCCATGTAAGACACGTCGTTAATGGAATCTATGTCCAAGAAGCAAGCTGTGAAACGGGCTGTTCGGAGGAAAGACCCCGGAAATTTGCGAGGTGCAAGAGGCGGATGTAGCCGAAATCTGTGATGGCTCACAAGCTCCGGCAAGCTGCTTGCATAGAGCACTACATACATATATACTTTCCACAGTCTGATTTTCTGCTGATATCCTCGCACCTCGTCCCGGGTCTTCCGAATCAGACCGCTCAAGGGTCTATGTGCTCCTTCCGGCATCCGTTGAGATACAGCTAGCATGCACGATGCTTATTTGGAGCGCTGTCTCCCTATGAAATGACGTCAAAGAACCCTTTCCTCCCGCTGTCCCCATGTCTGCCATCCTCTCGCCCTCGAAACACCACCAAAACACCTCGGGCCCCTTTGAGAACCCGTGGCCACCTGTTCTGACGATGTTCGCCAGCGCAATATCACTTCTGCGGTTTCCATTCGAACGAGCTACGCCGCTCGAGCATGACCTGCATGGCGTCGCTACTATCGAATCGCGGAAACCCGACTGGTCTATCTTAGACCAGGCAGAGGACAGAGTGGGTGCTTGTTGGCTAGGGCATGCAGTGCGTGCTGTAGTGAGAAAAGTAACTTCCCAGAATGATTCTCGCTTCGTTCCAGGGTTTTCTCGTTCAGCTACCGACGGGATCACGGCCCAGACCCATACGCATCGTGTTCGACCCTATATTCTCTGAAAGAGCCTATCCCTCCGCGTGGGTTGGCCCAATTCGGCGACTGCCTGCTCCATGTCAGGTGGAAGATCTTCCCGAGGTGGACTTCGTCGCCGTCAGCCACAATCAGTGCGTAGCATATGATCGCCATATTCTCGGGAGCTGGAAACTGACTTCGGAGCTAGTTACGACCACTGCGACCTCGAAGCTCTCAAAGCGATTCATAATCGCTTCCCCGTTGTTGCGTTCCTCGTACCGCTGGGAGTGAAGACAACGTTAGTGTCCGAAGGCGGCATCGCAGATTCGCAGGTGCACGAGCTCGACTGGTGGGATGAGCTCGTGTTTCCGGATATCGCTGTCCGCTTCCATTGCACACCTGCCCAGCATAACAGTGGTGGGTGTCTGGATCTATCCAGTTGCTTCTGTCTCAGCTTCACTACAGGTAGGGGCGTACGCGATCGCAACTACAGCTTGTGGTGCGGCTGGGCTGTGAGCACATTGTCGGAGGGGGCTCCCTCTGTCTACTTTGCAGGGTGAGAGAAACACTCGCGTTCTTGAAGCCTCGACTCGAGCTTTCGCAGCGATACTGGTTATCAGACGGCAGATGGTCCTTGTCCTGTTTTCAGAGGTCGATTCGTCTCTATCATGCAAGTCAGCACATGTGCTCACTTTCAATCCAGAGATTGGGGAACGATTAGGTCCTTTCGAGCTGGCCATGGTCCCCATCTGGTCTGGGGCAACCCTTACTTTCCTCGGGAAGCTGGGATACCGCGTTTGTTCCTTCCGTCCTCAATATCCACTTGAACTGAAGCTCCAGATAGCTCTCAGACGACGCACACATCGCGACTATGCACGCGACCCCAGAAGATGCTGTACACCTCGCTCAGGACGTGCGTGCGCAGCACACCTTGGCGATGCACTTTGCGACTTTCGCAGGGACGGACGACGAGGCTCTGGAACCATTGGTGCGTCTCGCTCGAGCGCAGGATGGGACAGCAGATTGGCGGAAGGAGAACGGTGTTGGGGCCATCCATGTTGGCGAGTGTGTAATACTGAACTAGATAGACCAGTGCTCCGAGATTTTTTTCTGCGTCCCTTATTCATTCAGACAGCAGCAGCCACATAGACCTTCCAACATTGTTACTTACCGCTGCCCCTCATCAACGATAAAAATACTTGGTAGAATGTACCTTTCGGGAGCATCTGGGGCTGAACAAAGGTCGGTGCCAGATACATGGCGCTCAGGCCGGATCACTGTTCTACATCGTATTTGTTCGACCATGCAGGATATATTCAGACGCCCTCAGACAGATGAGACAGATGGCGAACACTACCCGAAAACATTCTATCCCGGAGAGACGTGGGTCCACATCATGTGATTCTCCGAAAACATCTGGAAATACGCGCCGCGGGCTCTGTATTCGCTTCCAGACATAGAAATCCAGAGCTATGACTGGGAGAAGAAGACAGCGGCGGGATAAGATCTGCGCAAACACAAGAATGTCATCGCGAAGAGACATTCACGCGGGGCTTCTAAAAGTCTCTGGCTCTGCGCAGATCATTTGTGTTTCAGAACCCGAAGTGAGCCGAGGCAAAGACGTATCTCATCGGAACTGCCTAGATGAGTGGGCCGGCATTGTCTCGGAAAGTGCCTTGTTTAGCTCTTATTTCTTGTCCGCCAAGCAACCTTCTCAAGCAAGGCATGCGCTTGCAGAGCTTTTCACTCTAGTTTCTAGAGAGGCTTCGACAGCGAGTTGGCTCAGAACTACGTTGTGGGCATGGTGGTATCTGACATTAGGTAGTTTTCGCATCGCGCATATATCCAGTCACGTTAGCGCGTTTGTGTTGCACCGCCACTCATGTTCTCTTCCTCCTTCACTGCCAAACTCGGCACCAACTACTGCCCCCGGGATGAAGAACTGGACGAAATTCGGGAACTGCTCGTTGAGCCTTCAAAGAGGCTGGAGGAAATCGAGCAGCAGATTCAGAAGACGACGAAAATATTGGGACAACTGCGCGCACAGCAGGCGTCGCTTTTAGCCCATGTTGAAGCTCACAAGGCGCTTATATCGCCGCTACGGCGGCTTCCGGTGGAATTGGTGGAGGAGATATTCTCCGCGTGTCTTCCGGTGGCTCGGAACTGCGTGATGAGTGCAACCGAGGCCCCGGTCATCCTGGGGCGGGTGTGCCGTTCGTGGCGAACGATCTCCCTTACCATGCCCCGGCTCTGGTCACGGCTCCATATTGTGGAGCCTACAAGACCATTCAACTCCCCCTACGGTGTATTTGAGTCGAAGCTCTCGCAGAGGCTTGAGGTGACCAAGACTTGGCTGGAGAGGTCGGGTGAGTGCCCGCTCTCGATCTCATTAGAGAGCAACCTCGACCACGGCCTCACCCCTCCCCTCACACCTTCGAATCACACATCGCTCAATACGAATCTGTTTCTGGAAGCACTGCTTCCATATGCGGCTCGATGGCAGAACATTAGGCTTGTCGTCCCGCCATGGGCGCTCGAGAATCTCTCTCGGTTAACCGAGCACGATGTGCCAATCCTCCGCCGCCTCAAAATCTTCCAGCGTCCAGACCACCCCAACAGCGCACCCCAATGGGCCATATTCGATCTCTTTCGTGCGCCTCAGTTGGCCGAGTTCTCCATCTCGGGCAGCAGCGTCAATCCGTCTGCCCTCCCGCTTCGTTGGGAACAACTCACCTCGCTGTCGATCATAGGACCGGCGTGGGGTGTCGGCCACATCCAGACGATGTCCAATGTGCTCCGTGTGCTGAGCAAGTGCCCGGCGCTGCAAGTATGCAAGCTGCTTGTCAATGCTTCCGATGCCGTCGAGCTTCACAGTACAGAGCTCAGAGCAAGATGCCCTGCATTACATACCATGGAGCTCACCTGTGTTGGAGCCCCGTTACAGACTGCTGACCACCTCCTCGCCCGACTCTCGTTGCCCGTTCTGCGGAATTTCAGACTTCGGGGTCAGGGCGAACCGCACGCCGGTTCATGCGAAGGCTTTGCAAACTCTCTCGCAGCGCTGTCAACTCTGGAGACCGTCACATTCGACGGTGACTCGTTTTCCAGGGCTTCGCTCGCCAGCGTCGTGCGGCGGTTGCCATTGTCACTGCGACGGCTGCAGATAGCCGATCTGGTTCATACATGGCACGCGAACTTCGAGGTCGGCGTTCTGGATGACGAACTCTTGAAAGCGCTGAGCCCATCGTCGCTAAACCCGGACCCCTGGTGTCCCGGACTGCAAGAGCTCGTGATCACACATTGCAATATGGTTTCAGACATGGGTTTGCTGCATTTCGTGGAATCACGGATGTCGAACTATCGGGGGAGACCGCTCACGACAGTGCAGGTGTCGTTTGATCGCGAGGAGCAGATGGACATTCGGCCGAGGCTAGAAAAGTTTGGCCTGAAGCTGAATCTGATGTACCTCACGCCTGCGCCGTTCCAGTTCTCGCCGTGGCAGGGACTGCGGGAGGGGTCGGGGATGTTTCCGTTTGCTCCGTATGCGGCGTTCTGAGAGGAGGAAGAGAGACATGTAGACGGGGACAGAGGAACGATGTTACTTGGTGGATAGTCTATTTAACCTCGTAGAAAACGGATCGAAGCATGGACAAGTTGCACAAAGAATGTGATGGTTGAATGGCGCGCAAAAGTCCCACCGGGGCCGTGGGATTCCTCTCAAGCAACAGGTAGAGAGCAGCAATGGGGGGATTTGCAAAAAGCGGGCAAGTACTTGGACAGACAGATGGAGCGACGAGTGAGGGGAACGTGGAATGACGATCACAGTGGAGGATCCGCTCGGAACACGTCCCATCACTGTGATGGATTGGTGTGAAGATATCCACTATCTTTCGACCCCTTCGGGGTGTCATACGAAAAATTGGAACGATACAGAGAAGATTAGCATGGCCCCTGCACAAGGATGACACGCTTTTCCGGAGTGGTAGATCTACGGATCTCAATATTTTTTGCTGCCTCTGACTTGACTCTGACTTTCAATTCATTTTCTTTGACTTTGATTTGACTGTGATATGATCTCTTGTGTGATTGAACCTCAGGCTTCTCTCCAATAACTTTCTCAATTTGGCTTACCCCAATGTCTTTCAATTCTCAAAAGGAACAAGGGAGAGTTGTTGTTGCTAGACACAACACATTGGAACAAGTTAACAATGGTCAACTCACAGTTTTCACATACTGTAGACTATATGACAGCCCTCCCTTTCATCATTCACTTAGCAGCAGCAGCACATCAGAACATGTCAAAATTATAGCTCTGGAGACTGGCTTTGCCCACAGCTGCCAGTGGCATACAGGATAGACAGCATACATCTTGCACTGGGCAACACATGTGAATTTTTTTAGCATCATCAGCAGCGCTGTTGCACTTGGGAGAGTGCTTCCCAGCAGGTTCTCTTCATCAAATCCAAATCAAGCAATGTATAATCTTTTCAGCAATCCACTGCCTCCACAGCTGGGGACCAAATAATATGGTCAGGATTTGTGACAGCTACAAGACCTGACCTTGTGTCGCAGACAATATCGCGCAGTGGAGATACGACCAGTAGCGATCACCTATAGAGACAGAGTCTCAGCGAGTGTAGAAGACACAGAGCTGACATTAGCAGTACCTATAGAGACAGAGTCTAGGTACAAGTCATGAGTATGAGTTGTAAGAGATCATAAGAGAGTATGCATACCTCAGCGAGTGTAGAAGACACAGAGCTGAGGATATGGAGCGTATAGTACTAGGTTTATATACCAGTCACTCTGGCAGATCACGTTTAATGGGAGCTAAAAAGAATCAATTATATTACACATATTGTTATACAAAAAATGTTTTAAATAGTCTAACCAATATGTAGACTATAATGCCACCTAAAAGAGTTCCCATTTTGTCAACTATTGAATGATAAATTGGGGCAATAGATAGATGCAATACTGTTACTCATTTTTGTTGACTCATCTATGTACGTATTGAGTTCAATATTGAGGCCAACCAAAAGTCCAAACATATTTTGACACATTTTGACTCTCAATATCACCTAAAATGAGATCAGAAATAGTTACTATGATATTAGTCATATTGCAGCCCATAATGGGAGCACACTTATATCATAGATATTGGGTCAAAAGAAGTGGTGGATCATCGGCTGACAGATATTTTTGACACCAATATCTATGATATAAGTGCGCTCTCATTATGGGCCTCAATATGACTAATATCATAGTAACTATTTCTGATCTCATTTTAGGTGATATTGAGAGTCAAAATGTGTCAAAATATGTTTGGACTTTTGGTTGGCCTCAATATTGAACTCAATACGTACATAGATGAGTCAACAAAAATGAGTAACAGTATTGCATCTATCTATTGCCCCAATTTATCATTCAATAGTTGACAAAATGGGAACTCTTTTAGGTGGCATTATAGTCTACATATTGGTTAGACTATTTAAAACATTTTTTGTATAACAATATGTGTAATATAATTGATTCTTTTTAGCTCCCATTAAACGTGATCTGCCAGAGTGACTGGTATATAAACCTAGTACTATACGCTCCATATCCTCAGCTCTGTGTCTTCTACACTCGCTGAGGTATGCATACTCTCTTATGATCTCTTACAACTCATACTCATGACTTGTACCTAGACTCTGTCTCTATAGGTACTGCTAATGTCAGCTCTGTGTCTTCTACACTCGCTGAGACTCTGTCTCTATAGGTGATCGCTACTGGTCGTATCTCCACTGCGCGATATTGTCTGCGACACAAGGTCAGGTCTTGTAGCTGTCACAAATCCTGACCATATTATTTGGTCCCCAGCTGTGGAGGCAGTGGATTGCTGAAAAGATTATACATTGCTTGATTTGGATTTGATGAAGAGAACCTGCTGGGAAGCACTCTCCCAAGTGCAACAGCGCTGCTGATGATGCTAAAAAAATTCACATGTGTTGCCCAGTGCAAGATGTATGCTGTCTATCCTGTATGCCACTGGCAGCTGTGGGCAAAGCCAGTCTCCAGAGCTATAATTTTGACATGTTCTGATGTGCTGCTGCTGCTAAGTGAATGATGAAAGGGAGGGCTGTCATATAGTCTACAGTATGTGAAAACTGTGAGTTGACCATTGTTAACTTGTTCCAATGTGTTGTGTCTAGCAACAACAACTCTCCCTTGTTCCTTTTGAGAATTGAAAGACATTGGGGTAAGCCAAATTGAGAAAGTTATTGGAGAGAAGCCTGAGGTTCAATCACACAAGAGATCATATCACAGTCAAATCAAAGTCAAAGAAAATGAATTGAAAGTCAGAGTCAAGTCAGAGGCAGCAAAAAATATTGAGATCCGTAGATCTACCACTCCGGAAAAGCGTGTCATCCTTGTGCAGGGGCCATGCTAATCTTCTCTGTATCGTTCCAATTTTTCGTATGACACCCCGAAGGGGTCGAAAGATAGTGGATATCTTCACACCAATCCATCACAGTGATGGGACGTGTTCCGAGCGGATCCTCCACTGTGATCGTCATTCCACGTTCCCCTCACTCGTCGCTCCATCTGTCTGTCCAAGTACTTGCCCGCTTTTTGCAAATCCCCCCATTGCTGCTCTCTACCTGTTGCTTGAGAGGAATCCCACGGCCCCGGTGGGACTTTTGCGCGCCATTCAACCATCACATTCTTTGTGCAACTTGTCCATGCTTCGATCCGTTTTCTACGAGGTTAAATAGACTATCCACCAAGTAACATCGTTCCTCTGTCCCCGTCTACATGTCTCTCTTCCTCCTCTCAGAACGCCGCATACGGAGCAAACGGAAACATCCCCGACCCCTCCCGCAGTCCCTGCCACGGCGAGAACTGGAACGGCGCAGGCGTGAGGTACATCAGATTCAGCTTCAGGCCAAACTTTTCTAGCCTCGGCCGAATGTCCATCTGCTCCTCGCGATCAAACGACACCTGCACTGTCGTGAGCGGTCTCCCCCGATAGTTCGACATCCGTGATTCCACGAAATGCAGCAAACCCATGTCTGAAACCATATTGCAATGTGTGATCACGAGCTCTTGCAGTCCGGGACACCAGGGGTCCGGGTGAAGCAGCGATGCAGGCGCGGAGTCCTGTGTGAAACGAGAATATTTTTCTTGTGTCAAGGTACGATGCTCCGCTGAAGGTCAAGAATTGTTTGATTCAAAAACAAGAAAAATCCTGCGTAAACGCGGTGGGTTGTGCATCTAGGCAGTAGTAGTAAGCAACGGAAGGCAGCAGAGCAGCGGAAACGAGCCAGCGAGCGGTAAGTAAGGGGAGTGTCAAGTACGCGGTACGAAGATATCGGATGACTACAATTAGGTTTAGTAAGTAAGGAGGCTACAGATACAGTGTTTTGAATTGTCCTGGTGTCCGTGCGGTGTGTAGTAGTGTCCGTGCACAAATAGTCCGAATGTCTAGTAGATAGTCCAAAGTCCAATGCTCGTAGATGTGCATGAATAATCGTAAAAGAGTCCGGTTGTCCGAAGGGCAAAGATAAGTGGAAAAGATGTAAGGAGCGAAGAGGGTCAAAGAAGGTCCGTAGGGCCGAGATAGTCCGTGTCAGAAAGTGAATCAGTGCCTGCAAGGCTGGAACGAGGATAGCCAGTCCGGTCGAAGATCGAAGCATGGTCATCTCTTGGAAGACGGTAGTCGTGACTTGCTTTTTATAGCTGCGGCAAACGTTTCTGGATCTTGGTGGCAGCGATGCCTGTGGAAAAACTGGTCAGCGATGGATACAAGACCGAATATGAGCCGACAACGCACCCAGGATCGGAAATTTGGCCGACAGGCTGTCCATGGCATATAGGACGGACGCCAGGTCATTGCGGATACTGTCGCTGCTGACTGGAGGCCATGATGCATTGACGGTCATGATCTCACGGAGGAGCACCTCAGCCACGGACGTCCAACAATGCTGCAAGAGAAAGAAAGTGAGTCTTGACGGTGATCAAGCACACAAACGCCACTTACACCCAAGATCGGGTCCAGGTAAGCAAAGTCGGTTTCGGAGAGTTGTGTGATAATAGCGCAGCACGCTCTGGCAGCGTGCGAGCACTGTTCGTAAGAGACCGGGTCGTTGGACGCGAGTCGGTCATGTAGAGAGATCAAGGCAGTGTGGGCGAGAGTGTGCACTGCTATGAGGAGATGTTTGTCCTCAGGATCCAACGAAGAATGCAGCGAAGGCAATGTCGTTATGAACGAGCTGATAGCCAACTCAAGTTCAGTCGACTTCATTCCTACAAAAATGCTCAGCGCATGACGGAAGCCAAGAACGCTAAACATACCTGAGTCCCAGTTGACGGAAAGGCTGGCGGCCCGTTCGAAGAGAGCCGATGCCTTGGAACGCAAGGCCCCCATTGAGTACCCATCGTCGGACACGTTTCCTTCCAGAAACGACTTGATTGTCTGGAAGTCGACGCTGTTGTTGAGAGCACACTGAAACGCATGTCAGAAGTTGGAAGCATGAGTCGGCGATCCGAGTTACGTACCCCATGGTATTCAGCGACATCCCTCGGCCAAGGGGAGTTGATGGAGGTCTCGGGGATGACAACCGGCTTGCGTAGCACCACAGACCAGCATCGGTCGAGATTGTACACCTGCCAGAAAGCGAGTATCCGCTCGCCGCGCTTCATGTCGATCTTGTACGGCTTCAGTTCGTCACCAGCGTCGAGGAACCAATCACTGTCGGACGCGGCGGCCGCGTTGGTGTGCAGCCCGCACTGGACTGCCATGGCAGCGGCGGCGCTCGCGTGGTAATTTCCCTCGACTAGGCGTCCGTTGGCCAGGAAATACGAAGACAGAATGCAAGAAGCACGGATGATATCGACGATACTGTCCCCTTCCCGTAAACCATCCCGCACTGCATCCAGAGCCAGCGCGAGGTAGTGCTCCTCATGCTGGGAAAGCAGCTCCGGCCGCGAAATGAAACATGCCCACAGGAAGATGGCGGACATCAGCGCCGGATGACGCTGCTCGTGGCTCGGCCGATTGAGACTATCGATCAGCTCGCCGGTTTGGATCTCGAGCCCACACTGATGACGATGTGGCGAGAAGATCTCTAGACTGTAAGAGAGCGTGAGACCGGACCGATTCTGGAAAGAAGACACGCATACAGCATGATGGCGAGATCCATCGGTGGCTGGAACTGGGGTTCAGGGTCCGGGAAGAACAGTTCCGGACTGAAGAGCGGGGGCGACGGCGAGACAGCCTAGGCATGCGATGAGTAACAGCCACGAGAATGTGCGAAAGGAACGCACATTGTTACACCAAGAACCCTCTGGCGAGTGTGCCGAGTCTAGGGATGAGGAATGGAAATCACGGGGTCAACTAGCAGCATGGACGACTAACCGGAGGGGAAGGGAGAGTGGGAGAACGAAGCCTCGGCCGAGTCATACGACGAAGACGGAGGCGACTCAGAGAACCCTCGGATGTGAGGATCGAAGAGTGCGACCGCCGGCGAAAGATATTCTGGGTCCTCGAGCTCTCTCACGCGATGTTCGAGGCGCACGATCGTCTCGCGTAGAATCTGCGTCCGCGTCTTGCTCTTGCCATCGTCGTACTCGCAGGCATCGCCCTTTTTCGCGCGGGAGCACTGCTGACATGCGGGCTTGGCACCATCACATCTCTGCAAGGGACAGATGTAAGAACACGGTCAGGTCAGGAGGGGACGCGAGAGGGGCACACACCATCTTGCGTTTCCTGCAGAAGATAAAACATATGAGTGAGCGACGGCGTCCAGTCACCGGGAAATGACGCGTGCGTACCTGCATCGAAGACACGCCTTGCCTCTCTGCAAAGTACCAGGCACGTTATCCGGGTGTGCGTTCTTGTGGGCCATTATGATGATTGCCAAATACGATTTAGTGTACAGGGAGCCGGGGAAAGATGTGCGCGATATGTAAATCGACGGGGAAAATAGGCCGGAAGGAACAAAAACGGGGGAAGAACCTCGATGCGGGTAGGGGACCAAGGGAAGCGCCTGAACCGGGACTATAGAACGTCGGCACAAGGCGTACACATCAAACGAAGAAAATGAAGTTGGGGAGGGAGGACAGAACGACAAAGGAGTCTAGCATCTCTGCCAGGACGGTTATAAACCGAAACATCAAGTGGCCTCTGCCGAGGCGTACCACGGGGCTCTTTCCTCTTCCGGCCAACGTCTCAGGGGTGGACAAGTGATCGATTGATCGTTGATCTTTGCCGATCAAATTGCCGAAACGCATTTCATCTTGCATTCCGAGTCCCCAGTGGAGCGGACATTTAGTCAGAGTCAGCTGTGCCAGTCTAGGCTGTACAACCATACACCCCTGCGAGGTTCGATTCACGGTCCGACATCTCTTCCGACCTCAAAGGATCGATGGGAATGCGATATCTCTCACAGCGGCCATTTCAGGCCGCATTTCGTGGTATAGCCTTCTTCGGAACCGAAATGCCATCAAGGCATGCGCTCTCGCGACGTGATTCCGGGTCTGAGAGTTTACGTTCAAGAAGTACATGCTGCACCGACTGTTCTGCCTCCTGGAATGTCGACCGGCTCAAGAGTCAAGTCCGCCTCCTCCCCCTCCTTTCCCGCATCAGTGGGCCGTGATCCCCGAAGACCAGGCTAGAGCTGTCATCGGACCATCATCTGCCCCGGCTGATACATGTCGGGTCTCCGTCCCCCTCAGCTCGGACCGCACTTCGAGACTTCCACGTTGTGCTACGAGGCGCTGGTTCTTTCTCCGGTCGTCTCTTTTCCGGGCTCTCTGGACTGCATTCAGATGGGGAAACCCGAATCAAGTAGTACCCTATGCGCAAATTCGGCGTCGGCAGGACCTCGGGGCTTCTATTTAAATTTCTCTCGCTTTATTGCACTTCCGAATCAGCCCGAAACGCTCCGGCGGAATCCGCGGCTGCTAAACAAGTGCAGCGTGCCTGAAACGAGGGTGCGGCAAGCCTCCGCTTTGCGTCACTTTTTCGCGGGATTCCGTTCGGCGAACTCACGATACTTGTGCACACGTTGTGCTGACTGGTCGCACCGTGCATCCAATCTGCCTGTTTATCATCTTCACTGCCTCTTCTTCGAGTTTCAACAGATTCTCAGGTGGAAGGAAGTCCTTCCTTTCAGGCCTCCCAATCAACAAACGCTAAGCATGGGACGGGATTAATTGCTTACTTGCTCAAGCGCGATTGTTGCGCAGGACTTGAGCGCAGAGTTGCCTTGCAACATATATCATGTTTCAGTCAGCCATCCCAATGTGGAAATCGGATTGCCTTTTCTAGGCGGTCGAGTCTTGGCGCATGCGAGCAACTTGCTGGTACCTTGCGGGCCCACGGTGGTCCGGGTTTAAAGCTTTGAGACGCCGACCCCAGAGCTAAATATCAGACTGAAGCCTCTGCTTCGAGTTTGCTTCAGTAGCACTGTCGAATCACTGGTAGACAGACCATTGTACACAATACACCCAATGGATAGGAGGTAAACGAAGGCTAACAAACAAGTAAACAAGATTCTAATACACCCCATTCACAGTCGGGGTCGTTGACGGGGGCCCATACAGTTTCGGCTGTTGTTGCTGTTCTAGCAACCGTCGTTCCCGCGCATGGGCCTGTCGGACATAGGCGTAGCGTTGGAAATGATTCAATGCCTGGAGAAACATGACTCCAACCTACTCAGAATGTCAGACTTTGATCCCAGTCAATGACCATCTCTCGCACCGGGAAAGCACGCAGCTGATTGAATAGATCTACTGCCGCATCACGCACGGTCTCTTTCTGATGGAATAGAGCGAATGCCAGGTGCAAGAGGCCGCCGCCGTGGGGCATAAGGTATGCCAGCAACTAAGAACGACTACTGTTAATCAGTTCACAGAAACAATACCGGAAGCTGACCTCTACAACTTGGTCGTACGTTTTGACACTCTCTGCCAGCGTCTTCATGATCGTAGTAATCTCCGCGTCCGACATATTCTTTGCATGTCGTATCCTGAAGAGTTGGTGCGAAACGTCAAAGCCTTGGATCGAATCCATCAGCTGCGAGTTGCGGAAATCCTAATAGGCAACGCTCAGGGCTGTCATGTCACGTATACTGACAGCATCACTCACAGCACAAGCATACTCGAAGCTATTCGTCTTGCGCCATCCCTCAATCCGCTGCGAGTTCGCAGCGAGCTCTTTCCGTCCTGCCGCGTCATCATTGAACACAATCCCGCTCCCCAATCTCGGATTCGGCAACCGGCTGTCAAACCCGGAGCTCGGATACCCGAACTTGGTGGAACCAGTGCTGTCCTCCTCGTATCGTGACGCCAGCCGTACGAATCGCAGAACATATTCCGTAAACCGGATGCGCACCAGGCTTTCGCCGTAGTGATACTCAATCGCAGCTTTAATCTGAATCAAGGTCACCCATCTGTCATGGAGCCATGCAGCACAGCCCACGCACCTCCTCCATAAATATGTTGTCCGCATTGTGATCCGCTTTCGGCAAGAAGTCAGTCTTAGCTCCCGTCCCATTCTCCTCACTAGGAAGAGACGTTTCTGGATTGAATGTCGCTGTCCTGGCGATGCCTGGGAAGGCGAAAGTCGTGCTGACTGGATGCGCAGCATGGATATCGCGTGCGACAGTCACAGACCCAGTCGAGATGTCTAGCAGAAGATCCCAGGTGGGCGATGACTTGAAGATAGGATTGGTCACGCCTGCGATGAAAGCTGGGCTGGAGTGTTGTTTAAATGTCGTCGTCACCAGAACAACCGCGACTTACACTGCTTCCCATTCGTCGCGATTGTTCAGATTGGCATATGGAAACGCACGCTCGATGAAACCGCGCAGGACCGCACCGCACCCAGAGCCGAGAGCACAAGCAGAAAGCACGAAACTGGACACCTCTCCGGCAGGTTTCTTGTGACCGAGGAAGATGATTCTTTTCCCCGTCACAAGCGCATTGAACAGCAGGATGATCGGGTGCGTTTGCTGTCCGTTGGTGTGTAGATGAGGATGGAAAGGTCCAGTGACGAGATTGGGATTGGAAAATGCTTTGACGAGCGTAATCAGAGAATACTAGCACCGTAGGGTCAGCAGGGCATCGTCACTCAAAAAAGACCAAGCTCACGTCGCCAACCTCTTCCGGAAATGTAGCCAAGGGCATCTTGATGGGAAGATGATGGTCCTTGTATTGTACTGTAGTATGGTAGAAATGGGTGTCCTTCGTCATTCCGCCGCGATAGGATGCGTCCATGTAGGACGGTGCGGCCATAGCCGACGGGCGCAACATACCATCCTTCATGTGAGAGGAAGCAGACGAAGCATCTGTTGACCTTCGGCGTCGATTTGTGGCGCCCGTTACCGCGGTGCCAGCGTAAGACATCACACTCTCCACTTCTCCATCCTCAGCACTAGCTCCCTCTGTCCCACTCTCCTCCCCGACCCAGACCGCACTACCTCCGAGTGAGAATGAAGCTTCAGATGGCGAAGACTGGGCAGTGGAATGCGCCGGTGGAGGAGGGGCATGAGGCAACTCCTCTCGTTCTTTACTCCGCATCAAGATCCCCTCCTCGAAGCTCGAAAACGATTCTGCCGACTGCGTCGCTTTATGCTGGAGGTTCGCTTTGCTGTTGTTCCAGCTCTGCTTTGCGGGCGTTGAGATCTTCTCCGCGAAGATGTCTTTGCGCTCAGACGAGCGCATGACCATCTTTTCGTTGCGCGATAGAAGTGGCGCCCCAGAAAGATCCATCGAGTTAACTGCGTCGAACAGTCTCGCCAGGCAGTCTTGTGACGGATCGGCCAGGTAGTCGTCAAGCGCCATAAGTAGCACAGGCTTCGCCGGGTGTATGAGTATAGAGACCAAGGCCAAGCAGCAACGCAGGGCACACCTTGAATATCTGAATAAACGGATGCCTCGTGCATATCGCCAACGCCAGTACCCTTGCCCCCCGATCCAACGTCTTGTCGTGCTTCGTGCGCACCAAATTTAGCACGCATAGCAAGTCCGGCTTGTCCCCCTGGCTTCCGGGACTCCCTTCCCCCAGGAGCGGCGTCGTCTTCACTTCAGGTGTGTCGAGCGCAAGGACGGGGGATATGGTGTTGAATGCCGTCTGATTGAGGAAAAACACGGTCCAGTCGTCCAGCTGCGTTTCGGCACCGTCCGGTAGCATAGACATGGCGAGAACGCTGGAACGGACGACAATCAAGCCCAGGTAACAGCATAGAGGCGTCTACGAAACACACACCTCTCATCGACACCGAGCGGCTGAGGGAACTGATATTTGAGTTGGGCTCCGAGGAGAATGTCAAACTCTGCCAGGAGCACGAAGGAGCAGTGACCACCGTCGCTTCCCATGGCCAGCGGAATAGAAGAGTAGTAAGGTAGATAGGTAAGTAGAAGATGGAGATGAAGGTCGACTTCAGTGCATAGCAGAAGGCGAGGTGATGGCAGCGATCAAGATATGATATTGGCGTGCATCAATTCTGACAGGGCGTGGAGATACATTGTCGCAGCTATCCGTAAGACACAAAAGTACTTATGAAAGCGGGAATTTATGGATCTCAACCGCTGACTACACCGAGAAACAGCAAGCCGCGTTTAGCTCGAGCGACTGACTCTTCCAAGTCCCTTCCATCAGCAGCTGTCCAACGCAATTCCTGCGGCAATTCTTCCGGAGGCAGTCCTCCCCGGATGGCAGTCTCAAACGCCGTCTTGCGATGATTCAGGCGCGCCATGTGTCGAGGATCGGAATGTCCGGTGAAGATGACAAGGGCTGTTCTCGGTGGCAGATTCGCGTAGAGGGTTTTCAGATGTTGGTCCAGCTGAGCGAGCACCGGATTCAGGACATCTGGCAATGGGGGAGTCGCCATCGGCGGTGCAGGTGCTCCCTGTTCAGGTTTGGGCACTGACCCTGACACCATGTTAACATTTCCTTGGAGAAGAAGCTGGAAGACTTACAGCCCAGCACGTTCGCAAGCGCCATGAACCTACCAAACACGAAATCGTGTGAAGGCAGGGCATCCAACAGTCCGGCAAGGATTTCGGCGTCATCCTTGCACCCAACAGAAGTCGTCGCCTTGCTGCCATGCATGAGGCCCGGATTGCCGATATCGACCACTGCCGACCGATGCTTTTCTCCACCGCTCTTGGATGAACGACCCATCCGTTCAAATATTGACTCGTAGTCCGTCTTGAACTCGCCAAAACCAGGACCCATCTCGACCTTTTTCTTAAGCAGATCCAAACAGGCTTGAGCATCTTCCTGAGGATCATGTCCCCCATCGCCACGGGTCTGGATCTCTCGACCACACCATTTCTTCGTGAGCCAAGCAAGACCCGGTTTCAGCGGCCGCCCGCGAGGATGATGATATAGCAGAGCGGTATCGATGCATATGGGATGACAGAGTTTGAGTGCTTTGAGATCGGACTCCAACGAGTGGCCGACAAGGATGGGTGTTAAGAATGGTTCGGTAGGTTTCGCAGCGGCGGAGAAGGGATTCGGAGCAGGCGGAGAGAGCAATTTGAGTATATGCGTTTGGACCTGAGCTAGGGTGGTTGTGACCGGTGCTAGCTGTTCAGCTGTGATACCTGACCATCTAAAAAGTCTTAATGCAGACTCATTTGCTATCTCGCCGGACACATACCGTGTCAAGTAGTCGATGACGGGATTCGCGGGTTTGACGAGCTGATCATACACGATAGTCCCCGTGTAGTACTCAATGATAGAAACACGAGTAAGCTCCTTGCCAGCTTGTGTTTGACACTGGTTGTCAACGCATCAGTTCTGCTCTCTGATTGGCGAAAAGGCTTACCATCTCGCAATCGACACAGTACACCTTCCGCTTCGGTAACTCTAGCCCTTCTAGAAGCGCTGTCGTCGGCTCCTGGGGCGTTTCTACCCACCCCTCCGTTTGCTCAAACACATCAGCCATGTACGATGGCACTGGGTACTCATTCTCCACCATCTGTTCGAGCGTGAGCAGGTATTGTGCTGGGTCTTTTTCGCGCGTACGTTGTGCTGCAATTATTCAGCATTAGAAAGACGACAAGCAAGGGCGCATACTCTGGTTTTGAGTCAACCGCTTCTTGAGCTCAGCCGAAGTGATTGGACCTTGGAAGAACGCCGTCAAGATGCTATGCATATGCGTTTGGTCGCCTGGAGCCCTCGTCGGGCAGGCGTGACTGAAAGTCGAGGCGATGAAAGGAATCGACGCAGATGACGAGCTCGGTGTAGGGAGCGGGATAGATAGCGGAATGTTCGGATTCGCTGTCGCGACGGTCGGGAGGGGAGGAAGATCCAAAAGCTCGGGCGTGATGCCGGGAATGAATAGTGTGACTACTTTTTGGATGAGTTTTGAATCCTGAACTCTGCATTAGCGAGCGCAGATTAGAGTAAAGATGTGCCATACATTGATGCGGAGCCAGTTCGGAGGAGATGCGTCAGCGCTCATATGCAGAACGAGGTCTCGAACATCCTGTCGTCGGTCAATGAAAAGACGCTGGCCAAAAGATATAACACACCTCAATGCCGATCGCATTAGTTCTCTTGACTATCTCGCTATTCGCGTACATGAAGCGCGGTTGCATATTCTTGCCCCATAATTTAGAGAGCCGTGTAGACAAAAGCGCGCGTAGACTCACTTCGCCTTTCGAGACTTGTTTATCTAGCTTTTTCTGCTTGCGCTTGGAAACTTTGGTCCAGCCTTCAGAGTCAGCCCCATTTGCATGATCGTCCGGAGTCTGAGACGGTGTGAATGCGAGTTTCGGCTTTTTGTTTTTGTGCGATTTATCGGCCACGGGTGAGCTGGTTTGAGAGCGCTTCATCGGGGTAAGGCGAAGAAAGCCTCGGCGCAGATGGGTTGTTTGATCCAGTTTGGCAACTCGGGACTGTCCGCACCACAGCTGCAGTGCTTCCTCGTGTCCTGCACCGACCCAAGGCATAGACGATCAAGCACCCGTGGCAACGCATATCCATACTGTCTGCCATTCCATGGATGCGGGCACTCTCCGATGGGTGATGCGCCGAATCTGTTATCGAGTGATAGAGCTTACAGCGCACGCCGGGATGTAAAAAAACTTCGATTACCTACTTTAGGTCTGCTCCTGTTCACATTTTCCAGCAAGTCCTATTCATAAGCTACCTCTTTTAATATGTCTGTATTGCAAGGTAAGAAATCTCCCTTAATAGTCCAGGAGAAACATTCTAGCGACCTATGCTGCTTTCGGAAAAAAATACGGCTCTGGATCGTGTTTCGGGGGAGGTGGACGCGCCAAATATTCGCGATCAGAGGAGTACCTGCCTACCCACTGGAGACCCAGATACGGAGATCTCCAACGTTCCCAGTTGAAGTGTACAGTGTCGACATGGGGCAGACCGTCCAGCAGCCATCGCGCAACCGGAGATGTGTCGATACCACAGGATAGATTCAAAAAGTCGAGCGAAATCTTCACCGTGTACAGATTCGTGAACCGTTGGAGAGCAGAAAGAATCCTAAGCTAGCAGATAGTTGCCGTCGGAAACTCACTCAGAGTGAAAGTGAGCTGTGCGAGGACAGGCAACGCCGGGATACGATTAAAGCCTCGGTGGCACTGGCGTTCGTCAACGCGAACTGGCCACCCTCAGGATAGAGGCGAGGATGCTCGACACGATACGAGTCCCGCTCAGCCACGATGCGAAGAGTGTGAAGGCTCGTGGGCAGTAGAGCGAGAATAGGATCATCTGCACGGACGTTGGAGATGACGACGGATGTCAGGTAAGGACAAAGCGACGAGAGCGTCAGGTCGCGATCGGTAGCATAGGGAAACGGCGGATGAAGCTCGGCGGGACCGCCAGTGATTTCTGCGGCGTAGAGGAGTGCAAGTTCCCGGAGGAGTGGCATCTTGGACAAGAGCGCGTGGGTCAACATATACGGGGAGGGCGTATGCTCTCTCGCCGTGAAGCTGCGTAACCGGGGCCACTCGAGCTCAAGAAAGTCCTCTGGCATGAGATCCCCTGAGATTTCGAGCGATTCCAGGTGACCCGCTACCGAACGGAGCAGCTGTCCCACATTCCTACGCTCAGCTTCACGGTCGATTCCATTCGGTCTTGTGACGCCATTGAAGCCGCATATACTGAGCAGGAGATGCCGTAAATGAGGAAAGGAGAGGTCCACAGGGAGATGCGCGTGATCGAAACGTATGCCAGGGATCTCGAGAGATTGCAGACTGGCACTCATGCTGAGGCTCCGCAGCAAAGGCACCGGCACTGGATCCTCGAAGCGAAGCGTCATATTGCGTAGAGCGGAAAGCTTGGAGAGCGCGTCGTATAATTCATCAGGGAGCGAAATTGGACGCGGACGTCGGACTGCCCGGTCTCGGATGTTGCATGTGCTAGAGCCAGCGTCAGCTGTCTTGCATGGAAGGCGAACGCGTCTTGCACTATGTGAGGCTGGATCGACTCCGGCCATACAGCCTGGCCAGGAACGTTCCAGTTTTAGACTTCATAGAAGATGATAGGTGCAACCTCGCTACGCAGAGCGCGGCACGTCTCCGAGAGCGGAAAGAGGAAGCGTCGTTTGCGCTTTTCCATGTCCCAGTCTTCCGTATTAGCTCCTCCCCGCGGAGAGATGTCCATGACAATAGAACAGATGAGGTTCAGAACATCTGCGGGAATCGAAATGAGGGACATGAGACGTCGGAGAACAACGGCTTCAAGGGCCAGTTGGAGTGGACAGGATAGGAGCTGATAGGAGGCGGCATGGTCGCCCAGCCACAGTATCACGGGATTGACTTGCAAATCATCAAAACCGCTCCAACGATGGTTGTGCGCAGAAACTGGCGGAAACGCTAGATACAGTATTTATGATCTGCTGATACCCACGGGATAAGTTGTCAATCGAGGCCCTTCATGATAACATAACCATGGAATACCCACCGAAATTGTGCTCACGTGATCGCGTTTTTCGAGATCCACGTGAGTGACCGTCCAAATGCGGAGCAGTCAGTCACTTATCGGCTTCATTCATGCCACCACAGCCTAGTAAATGGCTCTGAATCCTTGGAGGAGACTCGAATACAACTACTAGAGAGGGTGGAAGCGAGCCTAGACACAACCGGTTTTGCCACTTGAAGCCACGGACCGACTCGCCACTCCTAACTCGAGATGTGAAGCCGCAAGACCTTACGTCGACTCCTAAGCCTTTGGTCTGCCTCTTACGTGTCAGCTGCTCCGCGAGGGTTTCAACTCGCTTGAACCACCTTCATTCATCTCACCATGAAGTCTAACGGCCGCGTCATCCCTAGAACGCTCCTCAACACCCGTCTTCTCTTCCTTGCGACAACCACCGCATTAGCGCTTGTCCACCAGACACCGTTCGAGTTCGCCACGTTGGACCCACCATGAACAACGTTCTCTACATCCCATCAAGACCGTGGCAGTCATCGGCGCAGGGCCCGCTGGTCTGCAAGCTGCATCGCAACTTCTCGAAGCGGGACTGAGTGCGCGCATGTTCGACCGGGCGCCCTCGCCCGGGGGGACGTGGTTCTACACGGATGAGGTTCCCGTTCCAGAGGGTTATCCGTGAGTTGCTGTCATGGTCGGATGTTCATCGCTGTTCACGCCCGGCGGTCTCATACGTAGTGATGCGTCTCCGCCTATTGACTCAGTCCCTGATCACCTGCCTGCTACGAGGTTCATCCAAGAGGGCGAAGATGGGCTTGCATTGGACGACAGGTGGCGGGAGCATTGGCATCCGCGACCGGTCTGGTCGAGTCTCCTTTTGAACCAGCCAACTGGGAGTAATTCCGCTGTTTTGTGTTTCACCTTATAACTTCTTGTACAGACGATAACGGAACTGCCTGATCTCAAGTATCCTCCTGGGACGGTAAGCACATTACTGGTATTCTGCGTCGGATTCACGAGCTAGTTACAGCCCTGGCATGCCTCGACGCACGCTGTCCAGCGATATGTGCGCGCGTACGCGTCACTGCATGCTCTGAACGTGAACGGCAATCCCGCCGTCACGGCATACTCGACGCGTGTCGAAAGTATCGAGAAAGACAACACGACCTGGGCTTTGACTCTGCGAAAGCTGGACTGGCACACTGATCCCGCATCCGGCACGAAACTCTTGCGAGAAGCGTACTGGACTGAGACCTTCGATGCCGTTGTCGCGGCGACCGGCGGGCAGGGCCGAGCCTACGTTCCTAGCATACCCGGGATCGGGGAGTGGGGACAGGTCACAGTCGACGGCCGGCACTGTGTCAAGCATGCCCAGCAGTTCCGTTTTCCCGTCGATTATGCAAACAAGATTGTATTGATCGTCGGTGCAATGCTGTCTGCAACGGAGATCGCGCGAGCTATCGCGCCCTACACAAGTCGGCTGTTCGTTAGCGTGAGGGTACGTGTGCGTCCGTTGAGCTCTTTCTGCGCATCGCTCAACTTGTCGCAGCACAATCCGTTCCGCGATTCACTTGACCTCGACCTGATCAAGTTCCCGAACAGCACTGAAATGGTAGCTGAGATCGCCTCGTTCCAGACCATACCTTCCGGTTCGAGAGGAATTAAGAATGGGAGAATCCATCTCATCGACGGAAGAGTCCTCGAAGGCATCGATGAGGTTCCTGCAGTCTCCGACCTCGTGCTATCTATCTCCTTAGTCATCTCCTCCAGATCATTCTGGCTACTGGCTATCGTCGCGATATGCTACTTCCGGATGTCAACCGCGACGGATGGGACGCAGTGTACTGGACGGGACATTACGTTCACGACCCTACGCTGGTCTACACGCGTTGTGAGCCAAGCAGTGTTTTCTATCACGTTTTGGCTGACTTTCCAGATTCTCCCTGGTTACACGGTCGATATCAAAGTCTGGCCATCGCGAAAGTCTGGACGGGCAGGGCTCGCATCCCCAGCTCCGAACAGATGATTCAAGACATCAGGGACAAGAAGTACTTCTATGGATTCACGTTGACTCCGCTCTTATACGCAGGTGAGCGAATCTTGTATGCATCAACGGATTGACGCTGACCGGATTCGTTAGCTCTGGTGCGACAGTACGTGTCTTGGCTCAACACCCAATCGCTCGAATTTGGGGGGCAATTTGTCGATCAGTACCCTCTTGAGTACGTCGAGACTCGCTGCTTACGAGGTACGAAACTCCTGACCAGATACATAGATCCCGCGAATCATATGCGTACTTCACGGACAAGTTTTGGAAAAAGGTCTGTCGTTTGGTGCAAATCGATGGTAGTCCACCAGCCCTGATGCTGAGTAGGACTGGATCTCTCATGCTGATTATGCAGGCTTTGATCAGCTGCCGGCCAGCGAGTGGCATGGTGCTCATGCGGCCAACGAGGAGTTGGGAAAACTGCTCAGGTGGTAGCGACTCCAGGACGTGTCAGGTCGAATAGCACCATTTCACATCTGTGCGCCCAGATATCCGGGCGGACTTGTAATCGGACTAGATTATTCTCATCATTTTTGAGTCTTTCGACAGTGGTAGAGTGGCAAGTAACCCCACTTCCCGGGCAGAGGGAGGGAATTTTTTCATATCTTCAGAAGTCCTCGCACTTCGTGCATCCACACGGCATCTATACACGCCCCTGGGGTCTTTCCATCGATAGACATGTGTTTCGAACGAATTTGAACGTTTTCTCGCAAGGCATAGCAGATGATTCATTACAAGGCGGGAGAAACTACTTACGACGAAGATTGATTGCTTGCGAAGCACCGAATTTGATTGACACTACCAGGCTCCAGGGAGAGCATGTGGTTTTGCCTAGCCATAGCAAGTCAGCTTCCATGAGAGAGCTCTTAGACGGACTTCGTTTTGTCAGGCAGAGATGAGACAGTGTGTCCGCGATCTCGAGCCCTGCCTGCGGGTCGAGAGAAAGCATACTCCGGACGACCGACACGGCTGAAGCACGAGTCTGAACAGGAGAGCATTAGGAGGGAAACAGGTCTGAGGCACCGTCCGGCTGCTTCACGAAGAGCCAGGTTCAAGTCGATGGTAGAGATGTTACAATCAGAAGCGTCTTGCTACAAAATTAAAATGCTCCGGTCGGCATGCCATTACCCCCAAGCCCAACGGTCTCAGAACAAAGTCATGCAACGTCGATTCGAACTGATATAATTGACCAGATACCTCCGGTGCAATATTCCAATTCATTGCTGATGCCATGTGTCGGGAAAACGAGTGCGGATGCGAGGATCGCATAGTTGCAACATACAACATTTGAACGAGGCCCAAGTCAATTCGATCACCGGCTGTCGGCGACCGTTCAACATGACCATTCTGTTCTGAGCAAGCGCAATCGAATGTAACGGATCCTGATACATTTTTTTGAAAGTCAGACAGCACATGAACCTTTAACTGCGGAGGAGACCGTGCGCTCGATCAATGCTTGTTTTGCAACATGGTGAGGAACAAGATACTTGCAAAGAAGTACAAGTGGCTCGGAACTGGCCGAAAATGATACAATTGGTAAGCACATCAATTGATCACTGCATCAGAGCCGGCTCGTCTCAGATCTGTTCTCCTTCCACTCTTCTGTTGTATATCTGCAGACGAGCAATGTTCAAGTTCGACTTCGAAATAGACGACGAAGACAAAACCGCCGATTTTCTGCTGCCGAAAGAGGCCGAACTGGAGCCGAGTCCCTCGCAAATCGAGCAAGTCGAGCCGTTTGCAGAACACACTCTACCAGCGCTCGTCCGTCACCACCGTCTCCTACCTATGCAACAACCCACATCTCACAAACAAATCTCAGCTCGAGCGTCTTCCGCCGCTGATCTCGTACTCCCCTCTCACGATCTCTGACGCCGCGTCCAATGTAACGCTCGCTCGCCGGGATCTATTCGACGCGCGATTCCAGTTGATCTCGGGAGGGCGCGGTGACGTCGAATCCGAGTCGGCGGACTCGGCGCTGGAGTTCCTGGATGCGCCGTCCGACTTGGTGCCAGGGGTGTACGAGGGCGGGCTGAAGACGTGGGAGTGCAGCGTCGATCTCGCAGGCTATCTCGATACGTTGGGCAACGACAAGGGGTCTCGGTTCGCTGGGAAGCGGGTTCTGGAGGTGATTTTACGTGAGCTCGGGTGAGGTACTGTGCTGAGCTGGAGTCGATTGCAGATCGGATGCGGGACGGCTGTACCGTCAATTTTTATCCTCTCAAGATTATTCAACGGAGTGCAAGACGTCGAGACTGTGGTCGCTTTTCAAGATTATAACGCGTCGGTTCTGGAGTTGATAACTTTTCCAAACGTCGTTTTGGCATGGTGTACGGTCTTTTATCAGCCATCGACATCGAATATGTGCATTAATCTCCTGTTCAAACAGATATGTCCCCAGCATCGGAAGAATTCCGAAATTCGGCCACAGACTCGGAGCTCTCTGCCGCAGATCCGACAGTCGCTGGCGAGCTAAACATAACACCGGAACTCAAAACAGCGTTTCTTGACTCACTGAGGAGGCACAAAATATCGCTGTTGTTCTACTCCGGTCCCTGGCAGTCGCTTACCGCGCATCTGACGGAAAAATACGACGTCATTCTGACTTCTGAAACGATTTACCGATCAGAGTCGCTCGCACATTTGATCGCTCTGCTCCGTGCGGCATGTGCCGGTCCAGCATCTCAGCCGTTGTGCTTGGTCGCTGCAAAAGTTCTATATTTCGGCGTTGGTGGGGGTGTTTCCGAGTTCGTCGACGCTGTGCAGAAAGACCACAAGGGGCGAGTGGAAACCGTATGGGAAAAGAAAGCCGGGGTGGGCCGTTCCATCTTGGAAGTCACTTGGCCATAATAAGCCCACAACGAAAAGGCGTGTCTATGGTGTGTGTGTATGATTGCGGTTTATACATGTACAGATGATGATAGTAGATAGAAAAGCCAACTGCATCGAGTACCTTCACTCGAAATCAAAATCTGCATCCCAGTCGTCTAAGTTATCCTCCGGCTCGAAGAATCGCGAGGCGCGTTCCATGCGGTAAATGTTGACCGAAGGCATCGCAGACAACGGCGCAGAGAAACGGGGTTCGCGTGAACGTGAATCCGAGATCCGCTGCGCTCTGATCAGCTTCATGGGCGGGGAGGGCGTAATCACAACGCGAGGCTTGGGTGTGACGATACTTGATTGGATCTCAGTTAATAACTCTCGAAAAGTTCGGGAAAATGGGACAGACTTTTGAGTGAAGAACTCCCACTTCTTGCGACCTCTCTTCAGCGACGACTTCTTGGTTCTCGGACGCTGCAGAGGGGTAAGCGAAGTTCATAAAATCTCAATAGTCGTATAATCGCCTTGACGATGTCCCATTCTCCCTTTGGGATCCGCTCAGACGAGGTCGACGACGATTTCGACGGTCGACTGATGAAGGACTCGTCTGCGCCAGCCATGAAGGCTACGCGCAGCGCATGGGCAGCAGCCCGGGTCGGAGTGTGGAGGATGCTTTGAACTGTCATTTCGGTGGAGGGGAAGATGGAATTAGCCAGCGCTTTTGCCCGTTCTTTATACTAGGCGCTCGTCCTGATTGTGAGGTCAATGGCTTTGATGGGTGGCGATCAGGCGCATGTATTGTTCGCGAAGTTGACAATATGAGGCGTGCTTGGCGGATTAATTTTTCACTTGGGAGAAGACAATGGTAAAACGCCCTTGAGACGGTTGAGGGTTCGCGACAATGCAGATCCTGGGTGATTCTGTAGATTCGTTCTGAGGAGAGGATAGTGAGCGTGCATTAAATGATGGCAGTAATCGTCCACTATCACACCGAGGGATTGCGAATATCACGGCCCATGAAAAATCAATTATATTCTATATATTGGGGCATACAAAATGAAGGGATCTGATATGTGACATATCGGGCACCCGGATCATACCCGGCACCCGATATCTGTGGTATCAGGTCGTTTTTGCGCTGATATGTGACATATCAGGTCAGCGTCTTTTTGGGGTCACGATATATGGAATATAGTTTATTCTTTATGGGCCGTGTTATGTGTGATCCCCCGGTGTGTATAAATATCAAGACGATACATTCGCCTTCGATGTCGTGGAAATAAAGAGTTCAACTGACACGAAGGGTCTGAGGGCAGATCAATCGCGACATAAGATAATCTAATCTAATCAGATATCACTCGCTTCGAGCTCTCGATGCGCTTGTCTGGGCCTTTCAAGCTTACGGATGGACTGGACGATACAGCTGAGCAGGAGCGGAGCGTTTGATGTTCTCGGAACTCAGGTATGATTGTGGGGAAACTCGACGGACTTGTCTCTGCCGATCAACATGACCGAAGAGCAAATCAAGCCCCTTGCAATCGACCGGAGGCGATCACTTGGCGGCTACCGAGAAGAATATCCTCGGTAATGACCTGATTCAGTTGTGGGATACCTCAAGGAGCATTCCAAAATGGCTGGCCGCATCGACTCTGTTCTCGATAATTCCGGCTTTGAGCTGTACTGCGACTATGTATAGGATGAGTGAACCAGCGGCGTTTATTCATTGTGCTCACGTCATACAGCCGACTTCGTTCTGCAAGGCGGCCTTGCGTCCCAGATCCGTTTCCACGGTAATCGTTTCGCATGGTTGGTGTCGGATTGGCTTCTCAACATCGTGGTCTAAGGATTTAAATTGTTCCCGATGGCTCCCGATGTCGCGTTGGAATCTCTACGCCGCCTTGGTCAGCGGTGGAAGGTGTGTTGAGTTCCTGGATTCGTTTCTGTCCTTCTTACGGCCGTCTCAGCAATACGAGAAGGCAGGCAAGTGGGTCTATGGACAGCACCCAGGCTTCTGGTGCACAGGGTATGCGTTCTGGGAGTTGCATTCTGAAGCTCCCGACTTGTTCCTTCATCTGGTTCGATCGGATCAGGTCTATTTCAACAGTGATCTGAACCACCGCAAGCTCGCATATGACTGCGCGGCACCGTCGAGCACTTCGTTCGACATGGCCATCGGCCCGATGGCAAGCTCTGCCGGAGGACAAAAAGTTGCCGGTCCGGACTAGTCCGGACTCCATCAAAAGTGATGCGTCGTCGGACTCCGACGGATACAAGGCCGCGGAGGACGTGGACAAGATGGAAGATCTGAGTCAGTGGCAAATACGTCAGTCTTCCTCAGCCTTCCTCGTGCTCATTGTACTTATCTCCGCCTCTAAGCTGTCGTTATTCTCTCTGAGAGTCGTCCGGGAAAGAAGGTTCGATTTGCGTAGACTACTTTACCAGTCTCTACTTATTTTACAACATTACATGTACGCACAACCCAATTCTAGAGAAGCCGCATTTCGCGATTGACAGTTAGAAATTGATGGGCTATCATCCCCACAGTAGTGCTTTCCTTCTTTACATACGCCTTCAGCATGTTGCTGCCGAGATCCAATGCCCAATGCAGTTCTGCAACTGCTCAGAACACCATTCGATGACGACAACGGGCAAGATAGATCACCCAACACATGAAGGAACATGTGATGCGAGAAAACGCGTCCATGTCGACATTCGCCTCGGATGAGCTTCCGTATTCGACGCTGCATGGACCGTATGCACTTCGATTCAAAGCTCCATGATGGCGCATTGTGAGCTGGTTGTATAAAAGGCAGAGTGGTATCGAGACTATCCTCACCGGCTCGACCAGTCCTTTCTACAGCATGCTTGCTCTGACTCTCCTGCCCGCGATCCTCCTCGCTCTCCGTGTTTCCGCCGGCCCCGTTGTGGTCGACGAGAACATCGTCAGCCTGCCCATCGCCCGTCGCATCAACGCTACCACCGTTGTCGACATCAAGCAGGCCGACTACGCGCGGATTGCGAACTTCAAGGCCGGAAAGAGCAAGCGCGTCTCTGAGCCGGTGTCCAACCAGCTTGTCAGCTACATCGTGCGCCTCCCGTCCCACTCCCGCGTGCGTCTCACCGAGCCATCTCCAGGCCTCTGTCGGTGTGGGCAGCCCGGCTACTAGCTGTGCGTCGGACGCAGTTCCGTCGGGTGACAGTGCTCTGACATGTTTCTAGACGATCTCATCGTAGACACCGGCTCGTCCAACACCTGGGTTGGTGCTGGCAAGAACTACGTCAAGACCTCCACCTCTACCCGGACTGGACGCTCCGTCGTGAGTATATCTGTTTTGAAAGCAATCGCGGTCCCTGACGCGTTGATCACCAGTCTGTGTCGTATGGGTCTGGTAAGCGCCCTCGTGGCAGTTGCATTCCGGGCCGGCTCAAGTTCGTCCTCAGGCCAGTTCTCGGGCGAGGAGTACACCGATCGCGTCACTTTGGCGCGTGGTCTCGTCATCAACAAGCAGTCGATCGGTGGCGCCACCAGTGCCAGCGGCTTCAACAACGTCGACGGTATTCTCGGGTATGTATCTGTGTGTGCTGTGGGTCCGTGTGGATGCTCACGCCTTGGTAGCATCGGTCCTGTCGACCTCACTCAGGGGTACGCGCCTTTCGTGACAAGACAAACGTGGACAACTGACTGAACTTGCCCCAGAACCCTCGGCAACAGCAACAGCGAGATCCCCACCGTCGTCGACAACCTGTTCAGCGCCGGAACCATCTCCTCTGATGTGATCGGTATCTCGTTCGAGCCTACGACCTCGTCTGTGGACAACAACGGTGCCATCTCTTTCGGAGGCCCTGACTCCAGCAAGTACACTGGCTCGATTTCGTACACGCCTGTCACGAGTGTCTCCCCTGCCGGTGAATACTGGGGCATCGAACAGTCCATCACCTGTGCGCATCAGCGTCCTCATCTCTTGAACCTGCTCCCTGACCTCGTTGCGTCGCAGATGGCACGACATCTCTCATGTCCCGTACTGCCGGCATTGTCGACACCGGAACGACCCTGATCTACTTGCCCACTTGTGAGGAAACAAAATCCGTTGCCCCAGGATCATGTTGCTGACGCGTTCGCCAGCTGCTTACAACAAGTACCAGCGGGCCACCGGTGCTGTTGCCGACAACGCTACTGGATTGCTCCGCATCACCTCTGCTCAGTACTCTTCGCTCAAGAACCTGAACTTCCTAATCGGCGGTGTGCGTGCTCCACTGCCATATTCCAACCGCCTGACACTGAAGGCTCACGTTTCTTCAGACTACCCACTCCCTGACCCCCAACGGTCAGATCTGGCCCCGTTCCCTTAACAGCGCCATTGGCGGAACCTCGGGCAGAATCTACCTCGTGGTCGGTGACAACGGCCCCTCCGGTAATCCATTTCGCGACTGGCCCCAGCTCTGAGTGCTGACCCATATCTGATTAGGCTCCGGCCTGGACTTCATCAACGGTTACGCTTTCCTCGAACGTTTCTACTCGGTCTTCGACACTGGTAACAACCGGGTTGGATTTGCTTCCACCTCGTTCACCTCTGCCACCACCAACTGAAAAGATGAGTCTGCTCGGCAAGTCTCAGAGCATCGGGAGCTTGTAGACTACATCCTTTGTATCCGAAAAGGTGTCAATTGTTGCATCAATCAAGTTTTGTTGACCACCGATGCGCTTTCCGCACAAGAATCGTCTATCTTGATGGTACCATCTAGCCCCCTAACCCCACTTTCACCTCATCGGGCGCTGGTGCCCCTGCCCACCTCACCAAATCCCTCTATCGTTGTTGGACAACTGGTTGTCGAAAATACATGGAATGCATGCAAGCTTGACAAGTACCTCGGTTCTGAAGATTTTTTGGAGGCCTGCATAAATGCAAAGTTCCTTTCCTGGTGCAACTTTGCCTCCCAGGGAGCAATGAACGACCTGCAGATCTAAGTAATTCCTATTAGTGTCGTGATAATTCGATACTGACTGCTACTATCAAGAGGAGAGACATGTGAACCACCTGGCCCACCAGCGCTGCTCCGGATTCACATTCATGCGCGGGGAGGGGGTCCGACATGGAGATATCAAGGGCGTGGTGCGTGTCTTTCCTATCCTTGTGAATGCCTCCCTCTTCAGCTCACCTTGCTCAGAATGTCATGGTGACGCTGAACGGATGGAGACAGCCCGTAGTCAAGATCATCGATCTGGGCCTCGCACAGTTCAAATCCAAGGACTCCATTCCTGTCGTCAGTCCCCTCCGCCGACCTTACATCCCCGCACTCACTTTTACTTTCAATCTAGGGTACGACGAAAGACCGGCACTCTGCGCCGGAGGCATGGGATCAATTGAAGCTATACAATTCGGCGGTGCTGTTCGACGTGACTCTGCTCTGGGACAGCTGGGCGTTGGGGCATCTGATCTTCACGATGCTGACTGGGGCCTTCCCATTCCCATCATCCCACACGTTCGATTGTCGCCGGGATGAGATTAACTGGAATCTATTGGAAACGATCGTGCAGCAGCCGCAAGGCGTGTCACGTTTCTGTTCAATTACTGTTCAACCAGTTCTGACTTCCATCTAAGCTGTTTCATTCGTCAGGGTCTTCCTCTGCGTTGATTTCGAACAACGACTGAGGATATCGGACACATTATCACATCCATGGTTGAAAGCATTCAACGCGCGCAAGCGGCCGTTTAAGAAAGCCGAGCTGCCCATTGCTTTGGCCGCAAAATTCTGAATGACAGTCAAGTTATCGATAATCATCTCGTCACACCACGCTCCTTAACTTAGACTTGTATAACGTCAAAAATCTTGTAAAAACCCTGTGCTCGCATTGATCATCCAAGGATTCGAAAGATATTTAGAATGATTGAAAAGGCACCTCTAAAACACTGCAGATTCGATACAATAGTAGCAATGCATCATGTATCGTGTCAAATGCAGTGTTGAACCTACTTAGGGATCATGCGCTCATTTGTCTCGTGATCATGATCCACCTAAGGACTCCTCCATTCGTCGGAAGAAATCTCTTCCAGACTCTTTCACCACTTTTCCGAATCGTAGTAGGAAAATAGAGCAAGGTTGAACTCCATTCCTTGCAAATACCGAAAAAGTGCTTGTGATCGTCAACAATTATGCTGTCGGTGCTTTTTTGTGCTTTGGCCAATAGAGAACCGAGGAAAAAAGCACGCTTCAAGTTACAACGGGATTACAGCGGCATACACGGATGTCGTCATTGACCGGAACGGTAGAGTTAGGACAACAGGTAAGCGACAGCGACGCGTAGCAAGATGGTAGCAAGAAGAAGAGATCAACTACACCGCACGTTTCACACTGAAAATGTTGGGAGTAAAAGTACCGTTGGGGTCAGCGGCCTTCCTCGCTTTCATCAAGCGCTCGTATTTGGCCCGGTCTTCGTGATAGACGTTCCAGACCGAATCCAGATCGAAGCTGCCCCAAGATCCCCACAAGAAGCGCCGGTCCTTGTCGCTGAAGATCCCATCCGGACCCAGCACCTGCTTGTCGTTCTCTTTCTGCCATTTCTCGGCGTCGGCCTTCTTGCTCGGATGGTGGAAGTCGTCGATCACCATGATCATGGTCGTGTCGCGCCACTGTCGGGCATTAGCAGCTGAGCGAGTGCAACAACGGTTACTGCTTACGCTGTAGGAAGTGCCATTGTCGGCATTGAGTCTGAAACGAGAATGCTTGCCACCCATGGCCTGCAGTTGGACCGCCAGCCACTGCCCGGTTTCCCTCGTCGGCGAGCCCAGGATCGTGTCCAACCGCTTGGAGAGCCAATCGGCCCAGCCGTTGGTGCTGAGGTTCGTCGCTGCGCTCGAGTAAATGCGCTTGACGTACGGCTGCTGGAACTCGCGCTCCTTCTCGAAGATCCACTCCGGAGTCAGCTTCGACATCGCTTTGACCTCCAGTCCGCTGTGCAACACGGCGCCCTCCATCAGCTTCTCGAACCAGGCTTTGTCTGGCTTTTCGTCCTTGCCGAAAGACACCCACTGCGCGTAGGTGATGATCATCGGCCCGATGCAGAGCGAAGTGCCCGGCTGGGTGAGCTGCGCAATCTTCACTTGGTCTTCCACGCCGTTCGAGTAAGCCATGAGGTCCGCATCGCAGCTGAGGACACTGACACACAAATCGTAGTTGCGGGGCATATCGTCGTTGTCGCCGGTCTCCGCGAGCAGCTGGACGATGCGCCTGAGCGTCTCGGGGGTGTAGAAATGCATGATCCGGACGCCCATCGAGCCAGCGTAGTCCGCATCGCGGTAGACCCGGAGCGTGAGATGGGTCAGGACCCCGAAATTGCCCGGGCTGCCCCCAAGCCAAGCGTAGAACAGCTCCGCGTCGCTCTTCTGCGTGATGACGCGCTCCTGCCCCTCGTGGTCGATGAACTCAAACTCGACGATTTGGTCGCCGAATAGCCCAAAGCTGCGCCCGAGCTGCCCGTAGCCACCCGTCTGTGCGTGACCGCCGACGTAGACGCCAGTGCACTGCCCGTGCGGGACGAATAGCTCGCGCTCCCCCAGGAACTTGTTGACGCTGCCCAGCGGCCAGCTAACGCTCATGCGCACAAACGTCTTCCCGTCCTGCTCGAAGGGGCGGAAGTCGTCGGTGCTCTTGAACGTGTCGCGCAGGTCGAGCTGGATGTTGCCCCGACCCGTGGACGACGCGCCGCTGTACTGGTGCCCGCCGCTGCGGATCGCAACCGCCATGCCGTGCGCGTTGGCGTACGCGATCGTCAACTTGATGTCGTCTTTGTCTTCTGGCAGCACGATGAGCCCCGGGTTCATGCGTTCGGAGTCGTCTTGATAGCTCGAAGACGCATATTGGTCGACCCAGCTGCCGTGTTCGTTGCTGCCGATTTCGTGCTGGGCGCCCTTCACGCCTTCGATGGGACCCGGGGAGGTCTGAATCCGGCGGACTTGAACACGAGAAAAGAGAGAGTAGCTACAATGCTACTCACCTGAGTTTGGGCCGCACCAAACAGCGCGCCTTTGACGTTGTCAACGATTCCCATGTTGTTCTGGAGCCGGTCATTATCAGAGCAGAATGTCGAAAGATGCGTGCTATTCACCTACCAGCGATTGAGTGGCACGCAGAAGTATTCGAAGGTGTGGTCCGAGACAAGACTGGCAGAGAGGGACAGAGACGAGCAGAACTTATACTGGACCAGGATAGCATGACCGGAAGAAGAACGCGCGCAGTGACTGTTGACAGGTCGATGCTGGACGAAATCGTCGGTGAGATTCATGATGAAACGTCGCAATCCCAATCGTACGAGACCCCCATGGTGGAAGGATTGGGCTCAACTGAATGGGCGAAGGACCTGACCCGCCTTCCTGGATAAGAAGCTGTCTGGCAGACCGTTCGGACCTTGTGGCAAATGAACGCCGGAGAAGACGTTGAGTTGGGGTTCTGAGTTCCCTGTCATATGTATTTGCATTCAGTCGTCCTTCTGCGTTTGAGCAGGTCTCTCTTCTCTTCAGGACGGGCGTACACCACTGCAAGACAGAAGACCCAGAGTTCATGAAGTGATATGAACATCGGTGACCGGTATTGCAGACAAGGTTGGTTCTGGCACTGGGGAACTTCGACGATCTGTACTTGGTGAGAGGACCACGGTCGTACCCTTGTAGCCCGAGCTAGCCGGAGTCGTTGTGGGCAGGAGATGGCCGCTCACGTGCGGTGACCGCTCGGTAGAAGACCGTACAGACTCAGAGTGATGACTGCCCGCAACTTTGATGGGCATGAAAGAGACATGCAAGACAGCACAACAAGATGCATCGCAAAGCGCACTGAGTAAAGACCGCAGCTTCTCGTGGGTATCAACATCATAAGATTATGCACTGCATCTATGTACCAAAGGAAGAATTGACGATCCAGCGGCACGCCGAGTCTTGCTCGCGAGAAAGTACTGTGCACAGGAGTCGATCTCACAGAGACGACTGCGGGATCTACTGCACATTTTGCCTGTAGCGCGGATCAAAAGAGGCTCGGAGTAGCACGCGGGGAGGATGCGCTTACGCAAATTGGCCGATGATGTTTCCTTGCGGGAAGTACTCGCAGACATAGAATTTCGAAGCCTGCAAAATTCAAGTGAGTTGGGGTGTCGGAGCAGGCTATGGGCGGAGAACGCACGCCGAACTTGCTGAAATCAAAGATGTTGTCACATGTAGCGACCGCACAGCCTGAGTACGGATGAGAATCAATCATGAGAAGAGAACAACGCGACACACCGAGCTCGACAGAGTTCTTCCAGACCATCTGAGTCCAATGAGACGGCTGGGGGTTGCTCGAAGAGTATTGGGCTACGGAGCGGGCTCATGTCAGTCTAATTTATGAAAGCGGAGACGCCGATGACGCACGCTGCTCGTCAATCCAGCCCTGCATTCCAGCGGGTATATCGAAGGAGCCAGTCCCGGCCGACAAGTTCTCTATCAAAAGAGATGGATCATTATCAGCTACACATACGCCGTGGACGAGAAACGCAGAGCAGCCACGCACCACCGAACGGTCCCAGGGATCCACCAGAGTGTTGGAACACGCAGTTGTTGGCCCATTTCTGCGCTGCCGCCTCGAGGGTGTTGTTCCACGTCATGGTCCCGGCGCCGAACTTGGCACGCTCGGTGTTGTGGATGTCGAGGTATTGCTGGATGTCGGCAGCCGAGACGGACCCACCAGCCGCAGCAGGCGCTGGCGAGGAGCCGGAAGAAGAGGACGAGGAACCGGACGAGGAGCCGGACGAGGGCTTGGAGGCGGTTGTGGGCTGGGCCGCGGCCGCAAAGGCGTTACCCTTCGTGCTCGTTGTCGGTTTCGGGGTATTAGTAGTCGGCTGCGCAGTCGTCTTGGGAGTGCTTGTCGTGCGGATGGTCGTCAGAGTTGCCCGGGTGCTCGTCGAGGTCGTGCTCGGGGTAGGCGTCGCCGTCGACGTTGTCGAAGAGGTGGTGCTGCGACGCGTGAGCGACGGACGAGTGAGAGGAAAGAACACAAACGCACCTGAGGACCAAGGACGAAGACACCACTGACTTGGGCCGGCGAGGATTGCACGTCGGGCTGGCAGCGTTCACGGAGGCCGACACCGAAATGAAAAGGATTGCGACAGCGAGCGAACGGAAAGACAGCATGTTGTCAATGAAAGAACGTGTTATGCGGGAAGCGTCGTGGGTGGTGCTCTCGAAAACAGGTCGCAGGAAACAAGCTGAGTGGTATAAAAGAGAAAGAGAGCTGTTTGCGCGCGCCCGTCGTTGCCGGTTGGATATCAGCGTTGGTTAGTTACCGCTACAGCGCCCGAAATAGCTCGACGCATGGTCTTTCAATTTTCACGCGTGGGTGTTTCCGTAATGCACTCTGAGAGAGAAACGGGCTCAGCGCTCGGGACCAGGCGCTGGATCATGGGGGCGCTTGAAGACCTCGAGAATGCCAAGGGATCGCGGTCGTCGGCCGCGACCACAGCGTTCTCGTTGCGCTGATTGGGAATCATAATCATGGCGTGCCCACATCAATGAATCAGGGCACTACCCAATCACGAGGGTCTGTCCACGTTTCTGACAGGAAAACACGGCCACGTGATTGATGCGATATCAGGCCATCCTCTCGACCTTAGTTGCGTGCCATTCGTTAATAGTGAAATCGAGACTGACCAGCTGTGTTTATAAACGGACTCTAAAATTTTGATGCGCGACCATTGTGATCAATCTTGCATCTAGCAGGCGGGGTGCAGGGTGCAATACAGTCAAGGACCTCCCGTGCGCATAATATCCTCTTCACGGTCACCCGCGTGTTCACGACTGTCAAAAAGATGAACAGGAGGCATTTCTGCACCCCAAAAAATGGATACCCCCCTGTCATCTTCATCTAGTAGCCGAAAGGGAGTATACTGTTACATAAGATGAGACATTCCGACGCGTACGGGGCGGGTAGATGTGTACTCCTAGAATGTCGAGGCACAAATGCATTTAGCCAACCGATTGACCCACACTGCCTCCGTGTAACGCCCCCCCTCCCCCCATCTTCACTCATGTCATCCACAGTCGAGCTCCCATATGAGCTCAAGCAAGATATTTTCGAGCTCACCGCCTACGCCCATCCAGACGTCGCCCCGAGGCTAGCTCTTGTGTCTCATCAGGTCCAGCAATGGTGTGTTGATTTCTCTCGAGGGGAAAAACCATCTTCTCACTGTGTGAGAGGGTCGAGGCTGTCATATACGAGACCATAGTCCTCGGCCCCAAGTCAAGAAAACAAGACCTGTTCTGGAGGACATTCTCCTCTAGACCACCCGAATTCTTCGCCAAAAGAATTAGATCCTTGCATGCCTCCACGGGGGCCCCACCTGCGCAGGTGTTTTCCCTGTTCTCGGTGTGCCAAAACCTCGCCACCTTCACGTGGTGGGACAGGCAAGCCAAGTTCGACACGCATCTCGCCCTCATCGCATCTTCCTCCAACTTGCGCCGCCTCTCGGTCGATGCGTTGACCGTCGTCGGCTCCACTGTCCTGAATTTCAGACACCCCCTCTTCAAGCACCTCACACATCTCGAAATTGTCAACCCACCAATCGGATACGGTTGGACATCGCTCCTGGAAGAAGGAGCCCTTCCGGATTTGACACATCTGGCGTTCGGTGACTTGTATGCCGCGCACGCTTACCAAGAGCCTAGTATCGTTCCATTTCTCGAAGCAGCACTGGCGTCCGAGGAGCCGATGCTCAAGGTTCTCATCCTAGTTTCGCGCGACGAAGCGTTGCAGGCAGCGTTGGAGGAGGACGGAATCACAGACGACAAGCGCGTGGTCTGCCTTCCGTCGTATCATCATCCCCTGAATCCGGTCGAATACTGGGAGGGAGTGGCACGTCGGGAGGTGCAGTTCTGGGAGACAGACAGAGTCAGACGGTAGTCATAGGATCTTAGAGCTCGTTCTCGATAATAAATGGCCTGGTCAAGGCCGGATCGCATGAGAGCGGATTGCCGGGAGGGAGAGAGAGCCGCTGGATTACATCAGTCATCATCAATCCAAAGGAACAATCATCTCATCAACAAGGACGTGCAAAACGCCCATGACCGCCGAGTCAATCTGCGCGCGCAACCGAAATGCCAACGGTCATCGCAAGTCATCCCTTCCCTGACTCGACGAGAAGACCAGAGCATGACGAAATCATCATCTACGAGTTATCTCGTTGAGATCAAGACCATTGATCCTACCAATCTGACTTATCGCAATGCTTTCATTCACCCTCGTGCCTCGGCTGGCATCTCAATACAAAAGGCACATAGGTCGAACACGAAAGCCATCCTCATCCGAACATCCCCATGGCCTCCGCGACATTCACAACCACGCTCCTCCCGCGATTCCGCGCGCTCGTCGAAGAGTGGACCGCGAAACACCCCTCCTCAGCGGGATTCACCGTCCCGCTGTCGGACCTCCGATCAACGACGTCAGCCACGGCGAACAAAGACGTGGTAGTCGCGTTCCGGACGCGTCCCCCGCTGCCGAACGAGGCCGCGGAGCAGTTCCAGGCTGCGGCCGAGGGACACAGCTACGAGGCCAACAGCGAGGAACGGCAGCGACGCGCCGGGGAAGAGGTGGCGAAGACGCAGCTGGAGCCGGTGGAGTTCTGTGCGGGGATTACGGTGACGAGTGCCGAGCCGGGTGTATTCACCGCCCATGTGCCCGGGATGAAGGTGTGTGTGTGCGCGCGCTGTGGAACGGCGCGGTTCTCGTTTCGCACGCACGTTACTGAGCCTCGTGCAGTGGAACGGGCCGACTCTCGCTCACAAATCGTACGAGGCCGATCTCGCGTTCGGACCGGATGTACAGAATGAAGAGGTTTACAAGCGCACGGTGGTGGCGAATGACTTGCTGACGCTAGTGCTTTCCGGCGGGGTGGGCTGCATCCTGGCTTACGGCCAGACGGGCACCGGGAAGACCTACACGATGGAGAGCGTCGAGCGGAGCATCGCACGGGACCTTTTTGACCAGGCGCGTATCGTCGGTCAACGGTTCGTTGCTGCACAGGGCGGAGAACATCCCACGGGCGACATCTTCGAGTTTCAGGTTTCGTTCTTGGAGTTGCTCGGAAACCATGCTGGCGATCTGCTGGAGGAGACAGAAGAGGTCGATGTACAGGGAAACAGGGTCCTCTCTGAAGTGGCCGTTCGTGAGGATAAGGTTTGTGCGATCATTGATTTTGTTCGCCAGTGCTGAATTCGGAATCTGTCCAGGTTGGCAATGTGCGACCGAATGTCACCTATTCGTCTGTGCGTTCTTCGGAAGAGCTTGAAAGCCTCATCAATAAGGCTTTGTCACATCGACGGTCAAGCGCTACTCAACGAAATGCTAAGAGCAGCCGTAGTCACGCTCTGCTCAGCATCTCGATCAAAAATACGCTCTTGCCGTACGCAGATGAGGGCCAGCTGGTCCTGGTGGAGTGATTCTTCCACAAAACAGCAGACGTTCGCCTTCTGACTGCTTCTCGCAGCCTGGCAGGTAGCGAGCGCTACGAGGATTCGAAAGATCACGACAAGCAACGCCGCGATGAAGCGAAAGAGAACAACAAGAGTCTGATGAACCTCAAGGAATGCGTCCGGGCGAAGGCGAAGATGGCGGCAGAAGATGGCTTCGTGCACATACCCTGGCGCTCAAACAAGCTGACCATGCTATTGAAGGTTCGGGTGCTCGTTCGGTACTAGAAGAACTCGCAACTCACCACCCTACAGCCCATATTCGACATCGAGAGTCGTCAGCTCTCCAAAGCGGTCATCATTGCCCATGTCTCTCCACACATCCAAGACACCACTCATTCGTATGCCTTCGATGATGCTCAAAACAACGACTGAATCTGTCAGCAGAACCAACACCCTCTCGTATGCTGCGCCTTTCAAGACGGTGCCGCCCAAACCTCGTGGTGCTCCCCGCTTCGACAAGGAGGACCCCCGGACCTGGGACCACCAGAAGACGATCGATTGGCTCGCAGAGCAATTCGACCAGGGGACCGTCGACCCGCTTAAGATCTGCCCCGTCGGTTCGACCGCGAAGAACCTCGGGATGTTGTACACACCCGAATTCGTCGAGCGCTGTCTTGCAGCGCGCCACGCCGAATCATGCAGCGCGGAGGACCTCAAGATGAAGGCAGTCCATGTGATCGGCAACTTGTTCTACTTGATCTTGACCGCAAAGACGAGGAAGCGGAACGAGGTGATGAAGAGTCGTAGGAGGCTAGTCATGGAAGACACATACGGTGCGTGGCTTCGCTTGTTTTCTAGTGCCTCTAGCTGATTGGACGACTGCAGGCGTCGCACCTCGCAAGGATCACGACGAAGACTACAACTCGGAAGAGTTCCTCGAAGCCCAGATCTACTATGGCATGTCGCATGCTTTGATTCGATTCGTTTCCATTGAACTCCTAGCGCAGGCACTGGTTGGCAAGACACTGTTATTGCTGCCTATGAAAAATCGAAGGCGGAGGGGACAGACTGGCATAATGTGGTCCACCCTAACACAGTCAAGGACCTGATAGACAGATTCCGCGAACATCAAGCTGCGACTGAAGCACAGTCAACGGTGTAGTTGTATATGGTGGCGGGATTGTAGGCTGTTCTGGGTGTCTTCGATGGAATGTACATGTAATTTGGTGGCATGGTGCCTTGCAAGACTCGGTTGCGTATGGGGAGATATCCGAATTACATGCAGAGCCATGTCCTCTGTTTTGGAGCCCAGACACTCGACATGGGATAACGACAATGGATGCGTTCCCTCTTTCCATCATCCGAGGTACCGACCATGTGTTCAGGGCCAACGCCGTTCTCGACCCAGTCGACCAAGGCCAGAAGCAGGTTGTGGGAGCTTGCATTGACGGCACTAGGCAAAACTTCGCCTGACTGCCCGAAGTTGGGAGACCCAAGACCTCCTGTGCAATGACCGAGCCCAGGCACGAGAAACAGACGGTAGAATGGATCCAGTGTGGACATATCTAACGTTTGCGACACAAGGTCGTACATGCGCTTAGAGTTTCCAGAGGCAATGAGCTGCAGTGTATGAGTGGACAGAGCGACTGTATAGGAATGGCGCGGTACGCACACCATCCATCCGGCCGTGGAATGTGAGAAATTTCCCACCCCGATCGCGAAACGCGGTCAAGTTGCCAGAAAACGTAGCGACGCCCCCAGGATTCACCGCATCCATGAGCCTGCCATGCTCTGGTCCGTAGGTGCCAAAATCGAATGCTGTATCATTGATCACAGCAAATAGAAACCAATCTCGAAGAGAACGAGGAACGGTCCCGCTGAGGACTATCCGTGCGTAGCGCATCTCCACCCCAGGGTCGACTCTCGGATAGATAAGCGTGCCGTTGTCGTAGAGCGGACTGTAGATCTTGTGTAGCACCTCGACTTGCTCGGGAGAGAGACAGGTTACATCTTCGGCTCGTGTGGAGCAAGCGAGTACATCCGGACGGAAGAGGCATGCATCGGGCTCGGTGATGATCCCGTCACGAATACCGTCTAGCATGTCGCACTGATGCAAGATCTCTTCAGCGACAAGTTTCCAATCCCGGGCGGACAGGAACGTAGGGGTCCCTGGGGCACCGATGTATCGACTAAGCATGCCAGACCAGTGGAGGAGATGATTGAAGTCAGTGGCGGGTGCACCGGCCAGGATTCCATCAAAGTCCTCTGGGTACATGAGGGCTTCCTGCGTTCCCTGTCGGCCGCCCGTCGAACATCCTAGGTAGAAGGCTTTGCGGTGCGGCTGGCCGTAGTATGCCTCGGTGATCTGCTTCCCGACCACAGCCTCCACGTGGATGGAGCGGTGAGCAAAGTCTTCGACGACCTCAGGGTTTCGGAAGAACGCCTCGCCGCTGTTGCCATCGTGCCCGTTGTTTGAGCCGACGGCGGCGAAGTGGAGCGCAGAGCCATATGCGAGATCTGCGTAGTTGATACCTGCGCTCGAGGCCTTTGGTGAGTATTCAGGAAGATACGGGCGAAGGAAGTGTATACATCCACCCAGCGCACCATTCCCGACGCCCAGAAAGCGGCCATACCATTCGTCAGGAAGCCATGCCTCGGCGCGGATCGACGATCCTTCGCTTGTTTGGGTAACGAATTGGACGCGACAGAGGGGTGTTGCTGTGCGCCCGGAGGAGTACGGACAGCTTTCGTGCGCCGGGATAGTACTTCCTGCTGGGAGGAAAGAAGCCTCCACGACGGTAGTGTTCTCTACTCGAAGAGTGTCTTTCAGGGCAGCACATCTGAGATTTTGGGTGCTCGACAGCCAGCTTGCAGCAAGCGCATTATTGGCGAGGAAACGCGTGAGGGATAGCACGGCAAGGCCAAGGTCCATCATGATGATAATGTCGGTGATGGTATCATGATTACAGTGACAGGATTGATCGATCCTCTTTCCTTGAGTCGGTTTCATGTGCCCGCCTTCTGTTGGAAATGCAGCGCTGAATCTGTTCCATCCAGACAAGTGACCGGGGAAGTCTCAGATGCCATGCTCTCAGGAATCCAGACTCTCTAAAGCCAATGTCGCAGAATCAACGCTTCGCGGAATTGATAAAAGTCCATCTCCCGGATTCAGGCCGAAGCGGCGGGCGAGGCAGAGCTTGTAGTGCTGCAAATGCCGGTGACAGATGGAAGCCGAGGGGCGAACGCGTTAGATACGAAAATAACAAGTCCTGAACTTGGAGCAACATGCCCGAGCACTTGGAGTCCCTATTCATTGCCGTCTCTGCTAGCATTTCTAGAACGCGGGCCAGCTTTCGCGCTACACCGTTTGAAGGTCGTCTCGCGTTACGGGTTGGCCCCAGGCTTCACTACCGGTGCTTTTGATGATGCCTCGTCTCTTCCGTCTCTACACAAGCTTGGCTCTTCCACACTGGCCATCAATCATCATCTCGGCCTGTCTCGAGGATGTTTCACTGCAGCATGGGATCTATCCCGCAGCCCTACGAGCACGGGAGAGGAGCAGGGCCACTGAAGAACAAAAAAAGTCGAAAAGGGACGCGTATATGCTGCGATGGTTTAATCGGGAACTCAATGAGACGATATCATCGAGAATGCACTCAAATCTGAGCCGAGCTGATTGGCCTGACTCGCCCAGATCATTTCATTGGAAGATTCAGGTCCTAGACCGTCGAGCAGCTAGCAGGCTGTGCTCGTTAGTCAGGCCTATATAACGCTCAATGTGAGGAGAGCCCTCGGGGGTCACCAATGCATCGTGACCGAGACATGTCACACTCACGACACTTCTCTGCCTCCCACCACCAGCACTCAAGCGCCCTATCCACCACTCTCGTTAACGACCATCATGCACGCTACTGCCCTCATGTTCATCTCCCTCCTCGGTCTCGCTCAGGCGCATCCCGTCCGAAGAGCCTTGACTGGTACGTCTCGATTCGATCTCGTATACGCCGCACCGTCGCTCATCCCGTCCCACAGACCCGCAAGTCCTCAACTTTGCCCTGACGCTAGGCGAGTTTGATTTCTCATCATGTCTACTCTCCGACTAACATCCGGCGCTAGAACACCTCGAGTCCGCCTTCTACGATCAAGTCCTCTCTCGTTTCTCGCCCGCCGACTTCTCTTCTGCTGGATTTCCAGACTGGGCACGTGGGCGATTCAAGCAGATTCAAGCGCACGAGGCCTCTCATGTCACCTTCCTCACCACTGCTCTGACGGCTGCTGGTGCTAAAGCAGTCGATAGCTGCCAGTACAACTTGTCAGTGGCGATTTGTTCGTATGCTGTCTCTAGACACTTCCTTCAACGTTTTGCACAGCGGTATCACCGATGTTTCTTCTGCGGTGGCTGTAAGCGCTAGTCTTGAGGCGGTGGGATCTGCTGCGTACACTGGCGCAGCTCAGTACATCAACGATAAGGCAAGCGTCCAAACTGCTCGGGACGCTACAGACTTGACCATCTGTCCACAGAACTATCTCACCGCCGCCGCGAGCATCCTTGGAACCGAGACGCGACACGCCGGTAGGTCCAGTCTATGATATCAGTCCTGATCACGCATGTGTACATACAGGTTGGATTGCTTCGGCGGTGCTACATGGCAGTGCCTGGGACACAGCTTATCAAACCGCCTTGTCGCCTAGTCAAGTATACCACATCGCGTCAACGTTCATCAAGTCGTGTCCCTCCTCAAACTCTGCCCTCCTCCCCTCGCTCGCTTCCTTCTCACCGCTCACTGTGACGAATGCTCAACCAGGCAAAACTGCGACCGTCAAGTTCTCTGCGCCGAAAGACTCGCCATCTCAACTGTTCGTCGCGTTCATATCTGGTGTCGGTGCTCCGCTGTTTGTTCCCGTGCGCGACGGCAAGGTCCAAGTCCCGAGTGCTTTGGCTCGGACTGGAACTGTGTTTTGTGTCATCACCAAGGATGGTGGGCGAGCTGACGACGATACGATTATTGCTGGGCCTGCTGTCGTGCAGTTTCCCTTTGGATCGTCGTAGATACAGTGTACCCAGTTGCGCGTTGTGTACGATTGCGATGAAGATGATCAGCAAGGATAACATGCATGATTGGCCACCTCGAGGATTGCTCGCTTGTAAGGACATCAGTGGAATACTGAAAGAAAATTGACAGGATGCAAGGAAACTAGCATATAGACATGTACATTGGAGACTATGGACTACAATCTCACGCAGAAGGGGAGAAAGCTTTTGAGTAGATGCCAGCTTGAGAAACATCCATATGCACCGGAAAATGATGTAGATAAACGTAATCGACAACCCTGTGATCGGTTACGCAACACGCTTATTCCTCGGCTCTTTCGGTGATGAGATGACATCTTCGACATCCTCTTGTTTCGTCTTACTTATTCCTCGGCCTTTTCGGTGATGGGATGACATCTTTTTCGACATCCTCTTGTTTCGTCTTACATATTACCCGAAGAGTAGAGAGGACGGTATGGCCTGAACACGAGGGGCGGGTTTCCAACTGGAGTGCTTCCTCCCGGTTTGATCCTCGCCAGCGCTCTCCTTGACGCGGCGCCTTTTTGGAGGTCGTGACCGTAAAGCAATATTCGAAGCTGGTCCACACTCAGTAAAGCTGGTGCAGGTAATACTCTGCGAGCTTGTCGCTGCAAAAGACTAGCATCCCTGCACGAGAAGGGATTGAGAGTGATGTCCGTGTCATGGGCTACATGGTTGCGTTATAGTCCAATAATTCAGGCTTCAGTCTGATGGTCTCCCCGGATGGTCGCCGACAGACATCATCAATCCGGATTATTGACTTGGCCCTCACCGAAAGAGACTCTGTGTTCTCCAACCGTCACAAGCCAAGTTGATGCAAGCCCCTGCGAATCGAGGCATGATAATCTCTGGAGGAAATCGCCGTCCTGATGTCGTGGTAGTGAACGCGCGAGCACCCAACGCCGGAGATGCTTATTATGGGTGCAGGCAGGATTCCTTCACTTTGTGCCCCGCCCAACCTATTTTTACTCATCGATATTTTCGATCTCGGATGGATGATGCGAAGAAAGTCGAAAAATAAAAACGAATAATCACTACCACTGAAATTTTCTAAAATCCGCAGACATCGATTCTGGTGGTCCAGGCTGAGAATCTCAAAGCTGCGATGGCTGAGTCGCTAGCGGCCTCGTCAGGATATGCAGGCTGTGGGGTTATGTCATCAGTTTCCATTCGCCTAAGCAGATCGCGGAAGAGTGTGTGTGCTATGCGCACCGAAACTCAACACTCTGCGTTTTTGGGCTTCTCAATCCCCTAAAACGACAATTGATTGTGCTCGGATGGCGCACTCTGACTGTGAAAACACATTCCCATTCTGTCCCACGATAAGGCGGCGAGTACGCGAACAGAACGATCTAGGGAGTGACCGCGATGTGTTTCCTTCCGTCATTCGCATCGAAGCTGGCTTGGGTCCTAGAGATTTTTTCTCCGGTCACAAGTACACAAAAAGTGGACGCCTCAGCTGACGTCGTAGGGACATTGCCCCCCATACAGTCAACCAGCCACGGTCGAGCGTTTCGAGAAGATCGGTTGTCTGTGCGCCGCACGATTGCAGCAGCCATTACGAAATTTACGGGAGGCATATGCCGATCAGCAACTCCATGCTCCCGCTCGTGTGCTTGAGAGCGGCGACATTTTGAATCCATCCCCGTAAATTTCACAGGGTGATGCAAGTTGACATGGGTTATCATCTGCAGAGAAAAATGCGAGCGGAACATGGGATATGCATCAATCGGGTATGGCGCTACGAGTCGCCGATAGGCCAGCGCTCGGGATGTTTCCATAGAATTCAACCCTCGAACGATGCGATCACGCAATTATCCAACACATCACAGTATTTATTCTCTAATTAGTCAACATTAATGTTCGGAATCGATCTGCGACTTCTCGGTACGAGCGGCAGCTTCCTGTCGATACTGCTTCCTGAGGAAGAGCAGAAGTCCGAGAACGTACAGCACTGGAATGAGCTGTGGTTGAAATCATGAGCGTGAGGATGGGCGAGGTCAGCGAGAAAACATACAGTGGACCACACGATCCACAACTTGTTAACGCCGGAAGCCACGAGCCCGAGACCTGAATAATATGTCCACTGCCTGCTGTACCCGTCGTGAATCTGGTACAGCCCCAGACCGATGATAGTGAGTCCCAGGAGAGCGTGGAAATAGTTCTGGATAGGCCGGCGGGTAGAGTTTTTCGGTTTTACGAAATGTATCACAGCGCCAAGAGCGACCTGGAAGAGGTAGAGCACGAGAAGGACGATGCCGGTTGTCTGTAAATCGCGGATGTTATCGGCAGCAGTGATAATTGGACAACGGGAGAATACCTTGTGCTGATCCAGTATCTTGGACCTGATTGGCCCGGCTGCAGCGAATCCCAGGGAGATGCCGACGATCACCGCAGGTCCAGCTTATCAAGCGCCAGTTCGCACCACTTGCCGTAAACATAATAAATGCTTACCGAGTCCGAGCTGCGCAATCCAGTGCCCAGTGTACCACGTCGGAGTGAACGTGCGCAGATAACGTGCGAGAAGAACACCGGAGGGTAGCAGCAGAGCAAATGCGATCACGCTTACAATGGCGTGCGCAATGATCATCCGTTGGGTCGAGGATAGCATGCTACTCCCAGAAGTTTGCGTCGACGAGCTCGATGTTGAGGATCCCGAGCTAGAGTTGAGTGCCTTGCTGAGATCGAGGTTCAAATTGCCATTTTCGATGTGCATCTGGAGAGTCGCCGACGGATCAGCAGTTCCTGGATTTGTATCACAAAAACCGAAGATTAGGTTTTGCGCAGTCGAGCTGTCGGACTGGCACAGCTCAGTACTCCAATCAAGAGGCGGGATGTCCGACATACGGGAATTGTGAAGACGAATTGTGGATTCCCGGAAGTCTGAGACACTTTCAGGAAAAAATTCGGCTGGTCGATTGTAACGGACGCACCGTGCTCAGTGCTGTGTCCAGCGTTGCGACGCGGGCGGGATTAGCAACGAGGGTGGGCATCTGTTCGGTCGGCGCAGACCGCTGGGAGATCGTAACCGAACCGTTCGAGTTCGGCCACATTATGACCATCGGCGATCCAGCCATGACTGTGCCAAAACCGCTGCGAGGGATGAGACTCGAGAGACAGGAGGACAGAGTAACTGACATTGCCATCCATCCTACGCTCTGCTTTCCCGTGCTCGCTAGCGTGTCTGACGATGCGAAGGGTCGGACTCGGAAGAAATATGTTCAAGGACGGGTAAACGCACATTGGGTTGTAGATCCATTGAGTACAGCAGAAATGCACATATTCTGGTAAGTTCGTTGAGGGCATGTTAAGCCTTCTAGAAAACTATGAGCTCACAGTTGTGCATGCAGAGTCGCCTGTCAACCCCGCGGTCGTTGTATTGTCCCGCGCGGTCATCCTGTTACTTGGCGACAAGGCCGCGGAGACTCCAGTTGCGACCGTGCATAGAGCAGGGAGTATGGCAAGAAAATGGGAGGAGAGAAACATGGTAAGGAGGTGAGGACGCGCTCTCGGGGTAATCGGCCTTTATATCTCGAGGCGGTGTCTCAGTAACCGGGGTTTGACATGCATATGACGCCAGGAAAGTGAATGGCATGCTAAGCGCGCTACTCCTTTCATCTTGGTCCGTTCTGCTCTTCTTAGATCATTGGTCAGACCCTTAGGGGACGGTGACAGGTAGAATCTCGTGTGAACTGCTGCGCACCTGGTAAGCTGTAGATCAAGCGCCGCACTTGTGGCGAAAACAGCGCCCATCCTCATCGTTGAGGGGGTGCAGAGACATCTCAGCCCAAGTGCTTTGGTCGTGTGTCTGACATGTGCTCTCGTTTGATTCAAGACAAAGTTGTAGGTATGTAGTGATTTCTGGCATGATAAGCCATCGCAAGCCCCACAGAATGTCACTTGGCAGTTCCTTTGAAGACGGCAGTGCCGTCTTTCGGCGATACGAGATTTGGCGGGTGGGTCGATATGCAAGCTCGAATATCGGAAGCAAGTTGAGACAAGACGGCAGTGTTAGTAAGTAGTTGGTAGTTACGGGTGACCCTCCCGAAAAGGCAATTGATCCTATCACTATTTGCTCCCCCAGTGGAGTTACCAAACAACACCGATTCTTCCGCTCTGCGATCGACGTCGTCACGGCGTGTTTCCCACCAATTTGTCCCACTCTCACTTCGTCCACCATCTCGACTGCATATAGCTCCAACACCTCCTCCAAAATCCATACATTCCAGATTCGTTTGCCTCCCGTGATTTGCCATGTCTGCCGATACCGCACCTAGTATGTCATGATCCCCAGCGCTCGCGCCCAGTGTGGGTCTCACTGACGCACTTGACTCAGCGCACTCCACCGGACAGTCTCCTGTCGTGCCACCCGCAGACCTCCGCCATGTGACGTCCGCGTCAGCCCTTGCTATCGACGGGGGACGGAGGATCTCCCAGCACCTCCAGCCGACACCGAGGAAAGGCTCTCGCTCGCCCTCATCCATTCCCTCCAGCCCTACATCTGTGTAAGTCGCTCTGTTCTCTCTTCCAGTAGTCTTGTCTTCTTCCCCGGCTTCCTACTCTCCCTTCTGAGTGGCATATACCCCGCGGTCCCTTCGTAGTGTCAGGGCCCCGGAAGCTCCGGATAAACTGGCACGGGCAGGAGTCTCCGGGTCCTCTGTGGCTTTGCTGCATGGTTGCCATATCTCCAAGGACCGGGACACCCGGATGCCGTTTCGGGTTCTTAAGCACACCTCGCGATGCGCGAGGTCGTGTGGACCACCTTTGACATGCTTCTCGCATCATACGTCTTTCTCACGCGTCCGGCAGTCATTCGTCCTCATCGGCCATATTTGAGCGGGACATCGAGCCTGCCCACCTCTCCCTTTCGCCGTCGCTCTCAGCCAAGAAAGACCCCCATCGGATGCCCCGCTCCAAGAACACGGAAACGATCGAACAGTCTGTGCCCTCTGTGCTCGATAGCGCAGCGTCGATCCTCACCTCCATGGTATCGACGGAGGAAGGCGACTCGATCGCCGTCGTCGCTCCAGCCCCCCTTCCTGCCGGCGGTCTTTTCGACCAGAATACTCTGGGCCGTCGGACAAGCGGTTTCATATCTCCGATCGGATCGAGGTCGCGCAGTCCGAGCCCTAGTCTGAACGCGGGCAACGCGACTTCCCTACTACTGAGCATCCCTCCGTCTTCCTCGCCGCCGGCTGCGACCAGTTCTCCGACGTCATCCTCCCCACCGAATTCCGCTCCTCCGACCGCGAGGCAGTTTTCCGATCCGGCGGAGGGTGTACTGGGAGCGACGAGACAGGCCCAGGCGAGCAAGCGGCTGTCGTTTGTGTCCTACACGGACCTACTCTCGTCCGTGCCGACTTCGACGCAGCCGCTCTCGGCGCTGACCTCGCCCTCCAACTTGCCGCAGCACATCTCCGGTGTGTCCCTTGCGTCTGCGCCGGAGACGCTCGCGGGCTCCGCGCACGGAGGGAGCGGGGCCCCGTCGCTGCGGAATTTCGTGTTCGGTGTGGACGAGGACCGCACGATTGATGATGTCGGTGGGGAGTGGGAGCGGCAGGGGCTCGGCAAGGGTCTGGAGGAGCGGCTGGAGGCGCTGCAAAGTCTAGGGATGGCGTGAAACAGTGAATTTGTATTTTTATCATGCCTCTATGTGGCCTGCTCTCATGATAATGTCTGTCCCATGCGGCTGTCTACTACTATGATCTCTCTACTTGCTATCTTACCTACCCGTAACGAACAATCAAGGCCTTCTCTCCTCGCTACTACGATGTCATAGAGAAATCGTGCAATCTGCAATCCGGCTGTCAGTGCGTAGACTTGGACCAGTCTCCCGTAACATCCGTGAAATAGCCCCAAAAGGAAACGCAATCATCCTCCCCGTTGCCCTGGACTGGACATGAGTCTAGTCCCACTGGCATCCCCGTTATAGACTGGGATCTTTCACATATGTACACACACACAACAAAGATTGATCCCATCCTATGTGCAACAATCTTCGAGTCACTAATCCTCGCGCCTCCGAAAATATGCCTGACTCACCCCATTGCCTTATCGAACGTCGAGCACGATCCATGTAATCTTCAGCTATAAATCTGTCTATGCATCCGAAAGCGGAATCGCACCGCCCGAGCTTCATCTGAACACTGATACATGGCCGCCCCCGCACTGAACATCGCACACTTGCAGACGCTGCTGGATGACTGGGATAAGGAGCAACCGCAGCCGCAGACACACGCCGCGTTCGGTGTACCCCTGGAGCAAGCTCGGTGCGCGCTGCGGGACGCGCTGAAGGACGTCGTGGTCGCGTTCCGCACGCGTCCGCCGCTGCCAAACGAGGCTGCCGAGAAGTTCCGCGCCGAAAGCGAGTTCTGTAGGGGCATCACGGCGGCGGGCGCGCAGCCGGGCGTGTTTGTCGCGCACGTTCCGAGCACGAAGGTGTGTGCTTGGGCGTCTCGGCCCAGCGGTTCTGATCTTTCCCGTGCAGTGGAATGGCGTGACGCTCTCGCATAAGACGTACAACGCTGATCTGGCGTTCGGTTCTGCAGTCGACAACGAGGAGGTGTATCAGCGGGCGGTTGTGGCCAACGACGTGCGTCTTTCTCTCACCCAAGCGTCCGCGTTTCAAGCTCATCTGACGACAGGTCCTGTCCATGGCCCTTTCCGGCGGTGTCGGTTGTGTGCTTGCTTATGGGCAGACTGGGAGCGGCAAGACGCATACGATGGAAGGCCTGGAGCACAGGATCGCGAGAGACCTCTTTGAGGAAGCGCGTGTTCTCGGGAAGCGGCTGGCTGAGGCGCATGCTGGAGAGGTCCCGGACGAGATCTTCGAGTTTCGCGTCACCTTCCTGGAGCTTCTGGGCAAGCGAGCGAGTGATTTGCTTGAAGTGACGACCGAGGACGAGAATGCCGTCAGGAGTGAGGTTGCAGTGCGGGAAGATACTGTGAGTTGCTATGTCTCCCCCGGCGATTTAAAAGTCCATGTGCTTCAGGTGGGAAATGTCAGACCAGCGTTGGTTTCGACCGCCGTGGGTTCTTCAGAGGAACTGGAGAATCTCATCAACAAGGCGCTCTCACATCGACGAACCAGTGCGACTCTGCGCAACGCTAAGAGCAGTCGGAGTCACGCCGTCCTGACCATTTCGATCAAGAACGTGTTACTCCCTTTTAGCGCTGAGGGTCAGCTCATCCTGGTCGAGTGCGTATCTTCCGCGGCTGTGGGGCTCTGTAGTGGGTATTGATCGACACGCAGCCTCGCGGGAAGCGAACGTTACGAAGATTCCAAAGAACACGATAAGCAGCGGATGAATGAAGTGCGGGAGAATAACTCCAGTTTGATGCATCTCAAAGAGTGCGTACGAGCCAAAGCTCGCATGTCAGCCGACGAAGGATTTGTGCATGTTCCCTGGCGCACGAACAAGCTGACCATGTTGCTCAAGGTGGGCTTCTATTCCGAGCTATTTGCGCGATCTCATTTCCCCAGCCCATTTTCGATATTGAATCGCGACAGCCATCGAGAGCGATTATCATTGCTCATGTCTCGCCTCATATTCAGGACAGCATTCATTCGTACGTCGTCAGTTCGAGCTGATCCTAGGCCATACTGAGGCTTGCCAGCACCAACACACTATCCTACGCTGCACCCTTCATGACAGCCTTACCCAAGGCCAAAGGGCCTGCGCCATACGACGTGTCGGATCCCAGAACATGGGATCACGAACAAACCGTCACGTGGCTGACCAGGCAGTTTGCGAAACCCGCACTTGCCAGTCGTCTTGCCGCGTGGAAAGTCAAGGAGAAAGCAGCGATACTGGCTGGCAAGAAACTGAAGCCACTCGAGCCACTGGCTTCAGAAGATGTAGACATCGGCGTGGATGTTCTCCAGATCTGTCCACCGGGATCGACCGCGAAAAATGTCGGGGCCTTGTATGCCGCAGAATTTGTTGAACGGTGCCTCCAGGCTCGGACGCGCCCCACAGTGGGTGGTGGTCAGGCTGCCTTTTCCAAGATGGCCATCGAGGTCTCTGGAGAGCTGTCGTACCTTTTCATGAAAGCCAAGACGAGGACTCGAAACGAGCTCATGAAGACCCGGAAGACTTGGAATGCAAAGGAAATTTATGGTATGTCAATCGTGGTTTCCTGGTCATTCTGATTGAAATTTCTCACAGGTTGAACCTGATATGAAGCGACGGGGATGTATTCACTTAGTTCCATGTAGTATAAAGATCAGAATCTTTCGGAATAAGCCAATGCAGAACTATTATTGTGCCGTTACGATACAGGTCCCTTGTTCACTGTTCACGCTATGCGGTAGTACTACGAATTTCGTCCAGGTTCTGAAGGTCGCATGGACGTCATTGTTTTCAAAGACACGGCGACTCTCTGCGTATTTGCACATTCGACTCGACGGTGATAATTATCTTTCACCATTCGGCCTGAGGCGGCAGTTCATGTTTCGCATATATTCAAACGCTGTAAGAACTACATTATAATTAGCTATCGATTCCTTGGGGATGTCACTGCAGTGAAGCTATGGTTCAGCTGATATTAATGAGACAAGGATGACGTGAAATGTTTTCCTTTGCACACAATAAAGACATCACAGTCGTCGCCATCAGTGTGCGCAATCTAGTCGATACGTGAAGTAAGGTCACGCGGTCAGCCAGTGAATTGACGACGTTCAAAGCCTGACAGTCCAGGCATATCGAGCTGTTCACTTTGCACCGCGATGGCAGCTGAAGATCCAGTGACTGACCAAATATCATCGAGGTTGCAGTAGGAGCCAACTGGGATGTTGGCCATGAATTGTTCGGATTGTGGCACTGTCTGGTCATTTTCGCATCCTGACACTCTTTCCTATACATCTCGGTAAATGAATCTTTTGACAATCCCTTGGACTAGACGATCAAGAATTCGACCCTTTTGAATGCAACTTCAAAGTGCGGTGGCTTTAGTTGAGTTCGTGATAACAAGACCTCAGGAGTCCCTTTTCAAAACATCACCCAACTCACGGATATCGGCTGGGCCAGTCCGACAGCATCCCCCCACAACGATTCCGTTGAGCGTATCTCCGAGATCAATTCCCTTGATCATCGCCCCCACCCGCTGAGCCCAAGAAGGCCCTGATGTCACACTCTTGACGATCCAGGACTGCGTGACTGGATCGTAGATGTCCCCGCCGTTCGGGTAGACCACCAGCCACGGCTTCTCATCCCGTTCCCCCCGCCCCATCTCACCGAGCGCCGCCTGCATCTCCTGCAGAATGCGCGGCAGCTCGCCGGCATCGGTGCAATTCACGCCCAGCGCCGACGGGTGCCCGAGATTCCCATCCCCCGCGCCCGATCCAAACGCCGCATCCATGACCGAGCGCACCGTCACACCACCCGTCTCGGGGAACCGCCCGCCAGGAAAGACGAAACTGATCCACCACGGTTTGTGGAGCCCTCTCGCTGCCAGGCGGCCGACCGCGATCCGGATCGCGCGAATCTCGCGCAGCAGGGGCACCGTCTCGAACGCGATCAGGTCGACGGCGGCCCAGGCTCGCGGATCAGCCGCGACGATGGAGAGCCGCTCGAGGTGATACTGGGCGAGCGCTTCGGTCGCGGCGGCTTCGAGCTCCCCTTCCTCCGGCGAGAATGCGTTGACATTGGGGCCAGCAGTGGTGTAGGCTCGGGGGCCGTACGGCGGGGGGTAGAACGCGTCGAATTCCTCGATCGCAGTTTCCAAATGATGAAGCGGGATAAGAGGGACAAAGGACACACCTGAGCCGGAGAAAGTCCCGCACCAAAAGGCCCCAGCGACAGCGCGATCTTGGGGCCGGGCTCCGCGTCACCACCATTCTGGTGGGTCTCGCTTAGGAATCGCACCCTCGCATCCTCCGCCAGCAACACACACTTGCACATCAACTTTTCTCCCTCCTCATCTCCGTATCCGGCGCCTGCAAACGTCGAGGGCGAGCATTGGTATCTGTAGATGGATGGGCGATCATGCGGGGAAAGAGAATGCAGACACGATGCACGCACGTGGAGGTCAAGATGATTTGTGCCCCAGCACGGAGAAACGCGAGATGCGCATCGACAATGACCGTAGGGTGTTCGACGGCGGCTTTTGCGGACCAAAGCGGTGTGTGCGAGATGTCCAATCCGAAAGTCTGCTCGAGTGTGGTCCCCTGTAGATGATGGTGGGTCTAGTCAAGGTTTGTGTAGATGGATTGACGACGCGGTTACGCACCAAACCACCGTCCAAGATCACAACTTTCCTGTCCCCAGTGATCGTGGGGAACATCGGCTTCAAAATATCTAATCATGACAAAAATGTGCCTCACATGGCCAATCAGATCATACTTAGATATGCCACGTGATCCACGAGTGAGCTTAGTTGAAGTTCATTCCCGTAGCGCAGCAGGGGTTTGGAATATTCATATATATGTAAGCCAGCGCGCATTCATTCTATGAACTTCTCTTTGTCGAATCGAAAGTACTTGTCTCCGTTGGCATCACTTGGCCACAAATGATCCCTTCAGTCGGAAATGTTCTGATTCGGGTTACCTACAGTATGCCACCTTGAGACTTACTTCCGGCAATGATATCATTGCTCAATTGAAAGATTTTTTGCGACTGGACATCAAGGGTTTGCACGACGACTTTCAAGTTCTGTTAGCTGATGCAGCTTGCGCAGGAAACTGCTCACCGCGGCGGAAGCACTGCATCTGCTCTTTCCGATCGAACTTGCAATGATGCTGGCGAAATTGCTGTAGTAAAGGCTGTGGAACTGCAAAGCGAAGCACAGCCTATTGTCATATATATATATGAAAGGTAATTCATCTTCA